GCGTTGGACGTGTGAATTCCTAGTCGGTGGAAGGTAGTAGCGTATATTGAACCAATCCAGGTGCGCCATAAATATTTCAACGCGACCTTGATTATTTATCTCGAGACTAGCCCAAGCATCCTCGACTGAGTCTAAAGCACGATGGATTGGTAACGTGCTTGATAAGAAAAATGGTAACTTTTCGCAACGAAGGTCCGAATTGACAAGTTGTCGGAATAGATCCAAGGCGCGTAACTGGGGGTTACCCTTCTCAAACAATAGCCTAGTTCCGTCCGGACCTAACTCTAACGTCGCCTTCCAACGCTGACCATGTAGCTGCGCTGCCGTACCGGGCACCGATTTTAGTCGGTCTGTGTAATTAACCACGATCTTTGTAAGCGTAATCTCCTCACACTGGATATCCCTATCGCTTTGGCGTATCGCATCGATGCAGTCGGCTAGCTTATCAATGGCCTGTAGGCGTTGAGCAAGTGTGTCCAGCATCGTGCCTCCAATTGTTTCCTCCAGACGAAGCGCAAATACCCCTAACCGTCTGCTATATGCCACATCCCGTTCGACGTGTCCCTTGAGGAGGCCAAACCGAGAAGGCTTGGAAACCTGAATCCGAGCTTCTAGGAATATATGCAACGACTCTTTTTGTAACGATGCATGTTCCCCGGTACCCTCATTAGCCAGTAAATGACGGTCTGAAATCTGCGGTTTAGTAGACGGGCCACTTGCGCCTCTGAACATAATCTGCACGTAGTCGTGTGCCCAAGATGCAATCCGCCGACCGGGTTCGTTCGATTGGGGTGGCCTCAATATATCCGTAAGCCTTAGAAAGATGGCCGGAACCTTCAAGCTCGGGGGGAGTGCGTAGTTGATTCCAGCGTAAGTGGAGTGTTTGATTCGTCGTTGATGGAGGGACCTCATGTCCGTTATATGAGAGATTATAGCAGCAGTAAAGATGGTCAAGTTGGAGAAGAACTTGTTTTTGAGGTTTGGCATGTAAGAGCTGAACGGTAACTTGGTAAATGATGAGATTCGCGGGTCTCCTGTAGGAGGATTATAGCTATGCAATATTTCATTAGTCGTAGGCTCAGAAAGGAACGGTCTTCAAAACTTACGCTTCCGTCAAGCACCATATATCCCCGCTTAAGCTCATGTTTACCATTAAATACCACTGATCTGTCCAACCACGTCGCCTGAGCCACACAAGTTGGCCGACTTCCCGTGACCTCAATGCTTCCTTGACAGCCTCCGTTTTCACGGGCGCTTTACAGACGAACCAGCCTGTGCTCTTCCCGCGTCGGATAATTTCGTCGACGACGTAGTGACATCTTACACCTTCTATGCAGACAGCCCCATCTTGAATAGGATCCTTCGATAGCCAGTTTAATCTGTGCTCTCCTTTCCAAGACATGCTCGACTGCGGCTTCATCGAGAAAAACCCGGTGATAGGGCTGACTCTCACGGTCAGATAGTGGTCGTAACCTATTTGCACCCCGAGCGACGATTGTGCTGGGTCGTCCTTTTGTACGTCTAGAACAAGGCCAGCTTCCCGCTTGGCAAATCGACCATTCGGTTTTAACTTGGAGTATATTGAGCCAAGGATATGTCCGATATGTCTTCCGATAACACGGTTCAAGAGATCCTCGGTTGAGATAACCGCATCGTCAAGTGGAACCTCTATGTCCTTCACCTCCTTATTATCCCTAAACCAACGTAAGGTAAGACGACTCGTCGATTTGGGATCCTCGGGTGCGTCTGCTTTCTTGCCGGTGCTAACACCTAAGATGATCCAACTCTTCGGGCCCTCCGGCGGGTAGCGGCCGACCCAATATTGAATAGCCAAAGCCCGGTTAAGCCGCTCAACCTTGAGGGTATCCACCCAACGATCCCTATTCAGCTCGAAAGCCTGGCGCAGGTATTCCGTAATCTTGTGAGTCAGCACCAGCTCGTGGAGGAATTTATAACATCCCTTGAGGCCTTCTTTTTCTAGCACTTCATTGACTTTGCCGTCTAAATGCATTCTCATCGAGTCAGATAGCTCAGAGGGTGCCGGGGTGAAATCGAACCGAAAGTCGATGAACCAGAACTGCTTCTCGAAGTCCTCGTCAGCTATTGTGAGGTCTACCTCGAACTCACCAGGGACCTTGAAGGTGACGCGCCCAGAATCGATGGTGTAGTCTCGAAAATGGTAAGGGATATTATCATAGTCCTCTAAATTAAGTCGAATCGAAAGTAGCGTGTTCAGATTTTCGATCCATTGCAGCTGCTCTTTTTGAGTCAGAGGAGGAGGGTCAATGTAATTGAGGTCCGGCATCCAGGGGGCGGTTCCGGTAGAAAGTACGTGGAGAGCAGTTCGCAGGTCGGGGTTTGGAAGTCGCGCAAAGGCCAGGGACCATCGATGATCTGCCATAATGGCCATAATATCAAAGTATCTCTTCTGCTCCATTCTGATAAAAGAATGCAAGTCGATCAGACTGCTGACAGATGAGGCATTCCTGCTCCATCTCGCAATGACTGTCGCTTTTACCCATTCGGCGTGTTTATCCTGGATGAAGTTTAGAATTCTAGTCTTCTTGGTGAGATTTTCGGGTGAAGTATCGTCTGCTGTGGAGGAACTGTGTGAGGAATTGCCGTTAACAGCAGAGGACGGCGCCGGCATCTTAGCCAAAGCAACTATCTCGTCCGCTAGCTGGTTGTGGGTTTTCTGCGCGAGTCGCGACAACAGCACACTCAAGGGAATGAATCCATCTGTAATGTGCTTTATCTCATCTGGGAGGTCGTTCATACGCGATGGATTAGAGCCTATTCGCTGTAGCTGCGCTACATTCGCGGCGTCGCCATGTTCTTTCCTGCTCGCCATGGAGCTTCCTCCGTTATTGTTACTGGCCCCGGCCCCGGTAGAAATGCCATTGTGTCGGTCAGGAGCGGATTGAGGTGCGTGATTCCCGTTGCCGTTAACAAATTGGCCGTGGTCTCTGTCATGATTTGTGGGTAGCGACGCCCGAACGCCGTTCTCCATCATGACGACACCAGGCATCATATGCCTCGAACCCCCTTCCGCCGGCGCGGCGCGAGACTGAAGTTGGGCTCACCAAGGCTTTTGTGGTATCGATCGGGAAACAAGCGGGAGATATCGATGCTCTGATGCTCTGAGGCATGTGTATATTTCGTCGGCGAGAGGGGGATGCGAGGTCTCCTTTCGATGCAGTCTAATTTTTCTAGTGTCTTTGTTCTGTTCGCATGGGAGTTCTTGTCGTAAAAAAAATCAAAAAGTCGAGGAGATACGAGGGAACAGAATTAATAATGCCTCTTTGGTCCCTCTAAAAAATAAATGGCATTCGGTATTGCGTGTTTGACGTATATGCGCAAAGCGACGGTGAGGATTGTATGCAGCGTAAAGGGAATGGCGGAGACGCGATGCTTAACAAAATGTTCGTTGGTACAAAGAATGGCGAGAGGTGGAATGAGTTCATGCGTAAAGGAAATCGTCGAGGCGAGGCAAGGCAAAGGCGGGTACGGATGACGGACAGAACAACAGCGACCAGTGCGTTCTTGCCTGAATGAGTCTTGGCGTGATTTGGACCTACCTACCTACACCTGTACAACCTGTACTGTGCCTACAAGGTCGCTTGCTGTAGTACAAAGATACTTAGACAACCTAACTTTTTTTCCAGTAAGATCCCAATTTTAGTACTAGCCACGTTTAGTAGAACCTATCACAACGCGACAGCCACATTTATTCCACATTTATTTTTCAACGATAGCGATAAAGAGACCTAAAGTACCAGAGTACTAAAGTAATCATGTCATGCCCAATAAATTCTATTTTGGTTTTTGATCTCCGCAAGGTTGAATAGAAACATACAGGATGATGGTGAATTCTTTTAAACATTCACCGGAGCTAGTTCCAGGAACCAAGACTTTTCTCCTCATCTATGTCATATCATGTCATGACATGTCGTGTCTTGCATTTGACAGTATTACATGTACATACATTCACCTACATTCATCTATTTAACTCCCTAGATACCTAGGTATCTACCTTTGTCAGGCTTGCCTTTTATACTACCATACATTAACCATACATTAGCTTCCTACTGCTGTGCTACGCAGAATCATGGCCGCAATAGTTAAGCCGAGTAGCGGAGATGGCTTTTCGAGCAGCCTATAGGAATTATCCCGTGACCGGGAGGCGCTGTTAAAAGCGTTCTCACACCATTACCTACCTATTACTACTGTATATGCCCGCCGCATACCCGTCTAGCTACACATATGTAGTTGACAACGGTCAGACGAAACTGTCAACTGATCTTTTAAAAATAATAATGATCAAGGTTACTACCCAAGCAGTCTTAAGACTTATCCTTACTTACCTATAGAAATAAAATAGTTATAGAGAAACCCGACTTATACGAGCTCTATCAAATATTATATCAGAGTTAATAGACATTTGGAGACTACGGCGTAGGGCCTTTGACATGTCCACCTACTAACTATCATTGTAGCATAACCTAAGTACGAGAATGAAAGAAGTATTAAGAGGTAGGTAGTATCACACCATCACCGCGGATATGCTTACTTATAACGGGAGGTATTCAATAGAGAAGGTTGCATACCTCTCTTATAGCTTGACTAAAAAAAAAAAAAAAAAAAAAAAAAAAAAAAGATATGACAGGTAGAACCTTGTGATATTATTGACTTTTGATTGGTAGCAATAAGACAAAAAACAAATAGTATCATGGAGATAGTTATCTTAACAAAGAAATACCTAGGTTACCTATAAGCATAAATTGAGCGGGAAGATCTACCACTCGGCGTCCTCCGGGCGGGGCCGCTCTCGGCATAAGTTAGGTTAGGTACGGCAGGTGTGACGTCGACGTCGATGAGGTAAGGGAAAATAACACCCGGTACCTTGAAAAGATTAAATTCAATAAATTCCGAACCGTACAATGAATCTTCACGCTAGAAATTCCCCCAAATTTCCATGCATCTAATAACTCGGAGCAATTATGTCGCCAAGCAACTTCTCACTAGCCAGTAAAGTCAAGGTAAAGTGATGTATCATCTTTATAAAAAATGTATATATCGCAAGCCCCGTCTCACTCAGCTGACGTTAAGTTGGTCAGCTGCCGAACGGCAAGCTCATGCCCCAGATTCAGCTAGGCTTGTACTTGATGAGCCGTCAGGAAGTCAAGGTAGCCGTGCGGTGGGCGTTGGTTGCAGGCTACCGGGGCTTTGACAGTGCTCAGATGTACCGCAATGAAAGGGAAGCCGGGCAAGCTATACGGGAATATCTTTCCGGCTCTAACGGTAGTACGGGCGACCTTACGCGTCTGGACATATTTTACACCTCGAAATTGGCTAGCAATAGCACATCTTACCAATCCGTGCGCCGGTCTATACGGCAGTCTGTTGAAGCCTGCGGGCTCGGCTATATCGACCTGTTTCTCCTTCATAGCCCGTATGGCGGCCGTGAGGCTCGACTGACGAGTTGGAAAGCTCTTGAGGATGCGATTGATGAAGGGGAGGTTAAGTCGGGTGGGGTCAGCAACTACGGAGTCAGCCATGTTAGTCGCTATCTTTCAGACAGAAGATGTTATATAGGGAAAGATTTATTTGACTAACCGCTTAGCTGGGTTTAGATAGAAGAGCTCATGGCGTCAAAGCCAAGGATTACTCCAACAGTCAACCAAATCGAAGTCCATCCTTTCAACACACAGACTGAGATCAGGGCCGCATGCACCAAGTACGGAATCGTCGTCGAAGCCTACGCTCCGTTAGCTCGAGCGATGCGTATGAAGCATTCGACCATCGTGGAACTAGCAAATAAATATTCTTGTACGCCTGCGCAGCTACTGGTTCGGTAAGTCAAATCTATAATGACTCACAAATTTCTACGTTGGACATCGATATTAACGGTAGATAGGTGGTCGCTTCAGCACGGGCTCGTTCCTTTGCCAAAGAGCGCAAAACGCGAGCGTCTACTTGAAAACGTCCAGGTAGGTGGTTTTGAGATTTCCGCGGAGGATATGGAAACAATGGACGGACTTAATGAGAAACTTGTTACGGATTGGTAAGTCACGTAATAAATGCTACGGACTATAGTCTATGCTGACAACGTATTATAGGGATCCCACCGATGCTCCTTGAAGCAGTGATGGAGCGATGGGTCATCGATGTTGAACTATATTATATAGGGCAAGTCTATTGGTTTGCGACTTTTTTAGAATTGAAAATAAAGGGGAGGAGGGTTACTATCACTTCATTGTCTATATACACTAAAATCTTAGCAGCTACAGATAAATTTGTAGGTTATGTGTAAGAATCAGATAGGAGTCCAACCAGTATGTAAAGTCTATATGTAGTCTTTAGGTAGCTCGACCTTGGGAGAAGAGGCTTGTCCTTTCCAGTGGCAGGAAAATGTCTATGTCATACTTTTGCTGGAACTCAATAGGGGCTGGAAGAAACAGACAGCACAAACCCTATAGTTGACAGCAAGACAAAGTATAATGAAAGAAACTTGAACAGAAGCTCAACCCAAGCCAATGAACACGGCACAAAGGCCTTGCTACGTATATTGTGAGAACGCCCATTGTCCCCCGAACAGCTTCTAGATCAACTGCTTAGATCAACACCGTTCCTTAAGCTAGTTGTTACAGCCCATTAAGAGAATGTTTATACAGAAAGGTTATCCAATGAAATTACATGCCGTCATCAGTGGCCTGGCGACAGACACAAGTTGTTGAACCTAGAAACTACTCGTCAAAGGAAGATGTAGATATTCTTCTATATGAACTGCTTGTTCCCTCTCCTAGTACTCCAAAGTACCTATACAAAGCTCCTGGAGAGATTTTGGAACAGAAGGTTACGAATAGCTACTGACTCAATGCATCACGCTGCCAGCGGTGTGGGATAATTTCTACGAGAACCATCCTTACACCATTTACATTACCATATTACCACCACGGTGTGGAAAACATTACAAGTGTCATATCTACCTACCTAACCTAGGTTCCTAACTAGCACCCTCGTCGTCCCACAGTTGAGCAAACATATTAGTTTACAACTAGTCACCTCTACCTGATAACCAATACCAACCGTGCCCGGCAAAGTAGCTTAAGCAATAAAATTTTTTCCTCGTGCTACATATAATTCACAACTAGAAGTAGCCGTAGCGTAGCATAACTCCTGTCAACTGTTGCGAATGGCTGACACAACCGCACCCACGGAGTCTGGAAGCGAAGCAAAAAGTATTGCAAAGCCAGAGTCAGACACCACCAAAGAACAGACCGCAACCGGGACCAACGAGAGCACCGGGATTCGGTCCGCCATCGACAGGAGAAAAGGCGAGGAAATCTACGAGACCATGTGCATAGGTAGATTCAACTGCAACGGCACCCTGAACGACGGGCTAGTGAAGGCCAATACCCGCAGGATGAGGGACGTGAGAAGGTGGCTTTTGATACAGATGAGAGGGTCGCATGACGAGTTGGAATATCGACGACTTATGTCTTCTACGAACTCTAAAAACGGTGACAGATATACGCATAAATAGGTAGATTTACATATTTTGCATAATCCAACATAGAGTCCCCGTACGATGTAACATCGTTGCTTGGAATTACTAAACCGCGTGACTGTATCCGCCCAACCGCCTCCGTCCGTATTTGTACCATTTCCTAGCCTCGTCCGCCCAAAACACCGAGCTCGCCAACACGACTAACCTGATGAGATCAAATAGCCCTAATGCTTCCGTCTGGAACACCTCCTGGAGCCACGGGAAATAGATAACAAGTAGCTGACCAGCCATGCTCAATGACACTGCCCAATTGAATAATTTGTTGGAAAATAAGCCCACTTCACCCCTGAAAACAGATTTGCTCTCTGACCGGCAGGTTAACGCGTTGAACATATCGAACAGCACAAAGCATGTGAATGTCATTGTCGTATCCCGTCGTGAGACTTCGCCATCTAGCATTTCGCGAGTATATACGACCATAGTACCTACCATAATGATGGCAGCTGAGGTCAAAACACGTTGAAGTAGGGCCTTCGTAAGCACCGGCTCACTTCGAGATCGCGGTGGTCGGGACATGACATCGGGATCTACTCGTTCTACACCTAGAGACTGGGCGGGCGGGCCATCCATTATGATATCTTTGAACTTAGTGTTAGCTATAGAATAATAATAGAGAAGCGGGAGTACTTACTGATCCAGAGAATCTGCATAGCATTTAAGGGGGTTTTGAATCCCATGCAGGTACAGATGAAGACCAAAGCTAAACTAGCTACGCTGGTACTAAGCTGAAATGTGATAAAATTTTGGATGTTGTTGAATATGCCCTTGCCTTCTTCAATGGCGCGAAGGATCGTAGAGAAATCATCGTCCGTTAGAATCATATCGGAAGCTTCCTTTGCCACGTCTGTTCCATGCAAACCCATAGAAATACCAATGTCAGCCTTCTTTAATGCTGGCGCATCGTTAACTCCATCCCCAGTCATGGCAACAATATCGCCGCGCGATTGGAGGGCTCGAATGATTTTTAGTTTGTGATCCGGGTTTGTACGTGCAAATATAGTTGTGTTCTGGATCGCGGCCGCGAGGTCGTTATCACTCATTGCATCAAGCTCGTCACCCGTGAGTACGGGTTTTACTGCAACTTGGTTTGACGAGTGTTCACGAGGCGTAGCGATTTGCATGCCGAGTTCCTTTCCGATGGCTAACGCCGTAGTTGCAGAATCGCCAGTGATCATTATGACTTTGACTCCGCCTCGCATTAGTTTTCGAATGGATCGAGACACCCCCGGTCGCGGGGGATCGCTCATCCCTACCAATCCAGTGAAAGTCAACCCTCTATACAATTCTTCGTGAGTAGGCAGCCCTGGGCTTTGACTCTCATCTCGACTAAGCGGCGTGGTGCTTCGTGTAGAAACACCATGTCCGGATTTGCTTCGGAAGGATTTGGTGACCGGACCGCTCGCGAACGCCAAGACTCTGAGCCCCCTTTCCGCCATTTTTTCGGCTGCCTGTAATGCCTCTTGACGCCGGACAGAGTCCATGACAATCTCACGGCCATCGGCAGTAAGAAACGTGTCGCAAGCATCGAGGACCTTATCTATGGCGCCTTTCATGTATGCATATTCTTTGTCGCTGTTTCCAGGTTGCGCGCCGATTACCACACCCATCCACTTCCTTTCGGAGCTAAAGGGAGTCTCAGCTGTTCGGGGACCAATCGAGTCTCTCACGTCGTGCTCCTTAAATCGGTCGAGCAAATCGAGCATTGCAACATCAGTTGGCTGTCCAACCCATCGCGTATACGGGGCAAATTCTCTACCTTGGGAATCCGGCAGTACGGTTTTAGCGGACTGGGTAAGGCGCGCATTGTTTGCGATATTGCCGATTCGTAGGATCCCCCGTACTGCAGTATTAGGCGTCCTTTCTGCTGCTTCGTCATCGGAATCAACATCAATCGGATCCCTCGTGCCAAAATACCACATCTTTGCTGTTGTCATATGGTTCATGGTTAGTGTCCCTGTCTTGTCAGAGCAGACAACGTTAACGGAGCCCAGCGTCTCGACACTTGGCATTTTTCGAACAATAGAGTTATGCCTCGCCATGCGATGGACACCGAGAGCCAGAGTGACTGTCACAATAATAGGCAACCCTTCGGGAATCGCGGCAACAGCAAGCGAGATGGATATAGTAAAAATCTCAAGGATATTTTTACCCTGTAATAGCCCAACTAAAGATATTACACCGATTATGCCGAATGATATCTGACTGAGCTGTTTCCCCAGATCGTCCATACTTATTTGAAGGGGAGAACGGGGGCTTTCAGTGCCTGATACACTCGTGGCAATCGTCCCAAAATGGGTGTTTCCGCCGGTAGCAAAGACGATACCCTGTCCATGACCAGACTTGACCAAAGTTCCCATGTACGCAATATTATTAATTCCATGATTGCGCGCATCTTCTTTGGTTTCTCCATCGTACGAAGGGGGAGACAGGGCAGACGGAGTAGGGAGTCGTAATGCACTATGGTCAAACGTTGATGGTGTATGGCTACGGAATCGCGCATCGGCAGTCATTCTTAGCGGCTCATTCTCCCCTGTGAGATTCGATGCATCAATAGTCAGATCGGCAGCTCTCGTAATCCGAATGTCAGCCGGGATACGATCACCAGTAGTGAAAAATACCAAATCCCCTGGGACTAACTGGGCTGCCATGACCTTTGACGATGTAGCTTCCATTAATTCTTCTCCTGGTGTCTCTGATTCAGATCCGTTATGTTTCTCCTCGGGGTCGCTAATGGCGGGAGGCCACGTTGAATTTTTAATTCCTGGCGAAGGCCGCGCTGATTGCGCCCTGACCAGATGAGCATGGTTGGGAACTAAATGGTTGAGAGCTTCAATAGATTTTTCGGATCGATATTCCTGCACAAAGCCAACGGTGACGACTATAGTCACAGCGATGGTTATACTGACAGCATCGTCCGTATTACCAACGAAGATCGAGAGAAAGGCGGAGGCGAGGAGTAGAATAATTAGAGGCTCCCGGAACTGCATTATGAATCGAAGCCATAGTGGATCTGGGGGATCGTGGGGGATCTCGTTCGGGCCAAAGTCTCCTAGTCGGGAGAGGGCCTCGGTAGGGGAGAGTCCATAAGTTAAAGAGGTTTGAAGTCGTGCTGCTGTTTCGGCAGGTGTTAGAAAAGAAAAGCCATCTGCTACGGACTGCAACAATGAAATGTATTAGCAGCTTATTCTAGTTTGTAAACTAGTAATGGAAACCTCTTGGGCCATCGTTCGAGGTGTCCCTAGGAGGAAAACCTACCCGTGATTGAGCAGATGTAGTACGGGCATGGCCCGATCTTCTAGTGATCGACCGCGACCGTTCATCAAAGTCGTCTCCATCTTGGTTATAGTCCCGATCTATTCCATTAATGTTGGGTATTGATATAGGAAGTAGTGACTCGTTATCGGTCTCGCGATCGCGCCATGGCCACGGCATCTTGGGAACGAGGGCGACGGGCGGACCGCAGAAACGCAGTGCCACATCGGGGGGAATCTAATTACATTAACAAACACACTAGCAACTTGAGATTGCTTGAGAATATAGCAAAAATGTACTTGTAGAATTATAAAGTAGTAGAAAAATGCATATTAACGAGTTGGGTTGAATAAAGTGACGTCTGTTAATGATGTCTAAAGAAGATCGCACCTGGCGAACTTTTTGGCCAAATGCGCATCTGGAAGACGTGGACCTTTTTTTTCCAAAATTGGGGCCGCAACCAATACTTTGGGAGTATAATGCCCCTGTAAGGCAAGCTCGGATCTTGGAAAGTTGCTTGCCGATTTCGTACCTACCAAGCTTATTGAGCCTGTCGAGCCTACCCAACGTAGTATTTAGCGCCATCGTAGCACGCTAAGGCAAGATTAACCCCTTGTTGCAGTGGTGCTGCGTCCACTGCTGCGTGGCTGCCGACCTTCAGCCTCATACCATGAGCAACCTCAAATTTTATGAGGTAGGAATACAAACTCGTCACAGGTTATCTAATAGTCCATGTTACGCATTAAGTATACATATGTATAGGACATCCTTGAGCTTGATGGGATTCCTTTCGGGAACATAATCTATATTATGATATAGTTTAATGTTATAGTTAGACTTTCTTGTTGAAGAGGGGATAGCTTATGCTATATAGCGAGTTTCGTTTCCGGCTTAGAACTAGATTCCTGCATAGCTCTATAGGGGTATCTGGTTTATAGGCATACGACACATATGTTTTCTAAAAACCGTTAGCGGCGCACGTCTCAAAAGTTATAAAACAAGCAAGTGTTTGCATTTCCAGACAGCAGTTCTGGCATGCTAGGTACTCACTTATTTATATACTAGGTTATTGCTAATTTGAATGTACACGGTTCTAAATGTAACTCTTTAGAAGTTGATACGTAAACGCAATTATCTATATTTCATACTGAAGTATTAGTATAAAACTTAGCATACGAGTCACATCTCATATATATACCTATCTTGAATAAAGGCACCGTAAGGTGTAGGTTTAGGTACCTAGGTAGTACCTAAGTCACCTAAATCACCTATAACCAGCCACAGAATTTCAAACCGGAAAGGGTTTAGTCGCAGTTCACATTCGTAATCATTTTTCCAACATGATTTCTGGGGAGGTACAATTCAGGGTACAATTCAGCACTGTCTGCAGGTAGCAGCCTGGACATACCCAATTAAAAGTCATAGTTTAAGTCACAGGAAACCCAATTAGAAGAGTTATTCACTTTAGTTGCCCCACTATGTACCCCAGTAAGACCTCCAGCCACTTGGATTTTAAGCAGGGAAACGGATGATTTTTTTTTTTAGTCGCCCTGTTCAGCAATCTTTCGCTTGCGGTCAGTGGACGGACCCAATCTCGAATCACTTTTTCCTACGCTGTTCCCCCCCCAAAGATCCCCCTCCACTTCTAATTTCAGTCTTTCATTCAACTCATTTGCCCTCTCTCCCCGACCTTGCAAACATCCACCACCTTATTCAATATATACTTGCTATCGCTCGTAGCTTCAATCCCATTTACGCGCGCATTATTACGATTGCGCATCAGTCGCGCCGATTAATCTGTGGATTTTAAACTAGCAAAAGTCGGTGCGAGCGCTGGCTTCCAACGCGGTCTGCGCCCAAAACAACGCGCTCCTATTCCCTTGTTTACACCACCCGATACCTCCCGCCTTTCGTCATTATCTCAGACAAGGGACCCGACCCTAACGCGTTGTCGCACCCGCAAGGCCCTTATCATTTCTTTAATGTCATAATTATTACTCGGTTGCCTTGTATTTCCCTATCATCCTAACCATCTGCTCCTCCAAGCCACTTCGTCATCGCTATCGCGATGTTCTATTCTGAGACTTTGCTTCAGAAGACAGGGCCTTTGGCCCGAGTCTGGTTGTCGGCAAACTTGGAGCGCAAACTCTCCAAAACTCACATTCTGCAATCCAATTTGCCTGACAGTGTCGATGCCATCATCACTCCTAACCAAGCGCCGATGGCGCTCCGCTTAAGTGGTCAACTCTTGCTTGGTGTTGTCCGAATCTATAGTCGGAAGGCCCGCTATCTCCTAGATGATTGCAACGAAGCTCTGCTCAAGATTAAAATGGTTAGTCGTCTCTTCATACGGGCTATCCCTTGCCTTACTAACTTGGTTCATAGGCTTTTCGTTCCACTGGAAACAATGATATACCGGAGAATTTGAATATGCCAAATCGGGAAGCATTGATGCTTCCCGATCGTATTACTCCTGCCGACAACTTAAACATTTTACCGCCACCAGATGCCAACTGGTTGCTCGGCCAGATGGAAGATGTGAACGCTCCCCAAAGTAGCGCAGGCTCTCGAGGTCGTGGTCGACCTAGCAATCGCGATATCAACTTGCAAGAAGACTTCAACAATAGTCAGTTCTTACACGACGATCATATGGACGAGGACGAGGTAGCACTTGCTCCTATGGACGACTTGGAGTTAGATCTGGATTTCGGAATGGATATCGACGAACGACCCCGAGGGGACAAGAGTATTGAGATGGGTCGAGATGCACCTGCACCTCGCGCGGTTGAAGATGATATCTTTAGCGAGCTAGATGTTGCACCACCAGCAAAGGGTGCGGACCGCGAGCCATCGCTGACTTTGGACTTTGGAGACGATAATGTTAGGATCGCGGACGGGGATGGTGATATTCCAATGGACGATGATTTCCAGTTTAATATTGGAGATCAGTCAGTAGCGCCTGAGATGGGTGGTGCTCTTGGCCTCGATCGAGCTCGCATTTCAGAGTCTCCTCTTTCGGATATCGACGAAAACGTAGCCCGGGACGTAGAGGAGTGGACGCGCCTGAACAACACTAGTATCTACGAACCGGGCCAAGAACCTGAGGAGCCCGAGCCCCTTCCTCAGAAGAGGTCAAAGAAGCGCAAGATATTTGGGCTGGACCCATCTACTCAGCTTACTAGCGCGCACATTAAAGAACAGCAACAAAGTCACGAAAATATCCTAAAGGCACCAACCTTTATCTCACGAGATCCTTATTTCCTAGCCTTAATTGAGCTAAAGAACAGTGGCAGTTTTGTGTCTAGCATCATGGGCGACGCCCGTAGCAAAGCCTGGGCTCCGGAGCTAAGGGGACTATTATCACTTGATTCTATCAGACCAGTCAATGACCTAAAGCGAAAGAGAGATAGCGGTGTTGCTGATGTTGGTGAGGAAGAGGACCAAGGGGCATCTAAATCGCCTCGCTTGGACATAGGTGATGACGACGATGGACTAGTTACCGCCGATACAGGCTTGGGTGATCGCAGTGTTGCCCCTGATGGCACCATCCTTGAGATACCCGCAGACAACACTGTCGTACACCAAGACGACGATGACGATCACCAGCCCCGTGAAGGAAGCCCAATGCCGGCATTTGACGAGACTACAGCTCCTATAGTACACCCCGCCGATAGTGGCCCAGTCTCCATGGGTACAAAACATGCGGTCCACGTACTCCGAGATCTGTTCGGTGAAGAGGCAGCTGCAAATGAAGAAAAGCGGAAGAAGTCAGTAGTGTTCCAGGACCTTCTTCCCGAAGGGAGAACTTCCAAGGCGGACGCCACGAAGATGTTCTTCGAATGCTTAGTGTTAGCAACCAAGGATGCCATCAAAGTCGAGCAGAAGGAAGGTACGCTTGGCGGCCCTATTCGGGTCAGGGGAAAGCGTGGTCTATGGGGAGCTTGGGCCGAGACAGAAGCTGGCGGAGAGATTGCGAACCAAGAACAAGCACCACAAGCCGACCAACCCGAGCCTGCTATCGCTACGCCTTCTCGAGCTGTAGCGGCGGCAGCATGATTGCTTATTGCTTACTACCGGGTAATTGGTGATTGTGGTGATAAAGATGAAGTAATGGTTCATGTATATACTTCGCTGCACTTGTTGGGATATTCCCGAGCGGTTCTAACAAACATAGTCTAACGGTGTCACGGCGCATGGGAGATACGGGGCTGGGAAGATACCAACAGCCGCGGGCGTATTGGTCGTCAAAATCATGATGGGAGTTTCATTCGGTTCGGTTGGTTGCATTCTGATTATGATTTAACCTTAGATAGCTCTCGGGCGACAGAGTCTGATATTACTGAGTTAATACATCGCAAAAGCGTTGTCTTCAAATGAGTTCAAGCTTATATGTAGTATAATTTCATGTGGATATTAGTGGCTGCTTTTTAAATATCTTAGGGTGAATAATTGGTATAGAACTATATACACAGCATTAGTTTGAATTACATGTTAAAATTTATTGATCTTTAAAATATCTGTGGCGCATATCCTAGTCATTAATATACGTATGTACGGAAGTCGCCTTCAAAAGTTTTGTCCATAGGTCGGCCCTTGTCATCTTGGCAAGTCTTGGCAACAACTGTCGGCCGTAATACCAAATGTACTCCTTTTTATACCTCATTTTCATCTATTTATTTAACCTCAAATATATAAGATATAATATTAAGATTTATACCGAAATAGATTTAAGCTTCTATATTTACGATATATTCAAAGGCTATATTTTATAGAATATATTTGGTCGTGTAGTCATTTATATAAGAAATGGTAGATTCTAATATACTTCATGATTTTTGAGTGCCAAGTGGATCAAGCTACTTAGCAGCTGTTTGACAGCTGTCGCCAAGGCTGACAGGTGTTTGGTATGGACAAAACTTTTGAAGGCGACTTCCGTATTACACAGAGGTTAAGACGTAAATAGCGGGTAGACATAAGTAACGTAATATTAGATACTTAGCGTACTAGGGTGAACCGTAATATAGCGTACTCTCGGACCGGTAGGGCCACCAAACAAAAGTTAGTATCGCAGATCAGCGACCCACGTGTCAGCCTCAACTCCAACTTTATAACTACATCTTCTTTCCTTTGAGTCTTTGTACGAGAATAGAACCTTAACAATGTGCTGGAGCTTCAAAAAGACCACCTCCTTAACTTTAAATTATAATACCAAAAAACTGTATAGTATATGCTTATTCTTACCGACATATTACTTTAATTCTAATAGATCATCGCTCTTGCTTGGAAACCTTGATTCGCCTGGATGACCCCCAAGCATCCATGTGGATAACCTATTAAAGAACGGCAGGGACGACAATAGCATATACAATAGCATAATCGACAAGAACGAATCGGAGACTTCCTAGACGAGAACTGAGCTACCTATAGAAACCCCGACGTCCTTTCTCCTTGTACGATTCTTTCACTGCCTTCAAATAGTCGCCGATCCCAGATCAATTATGTGTAAATCTTCACAGCTTATATCCTAATCGACGACTTCCATATTTACTCCTAGAGATATCACATATTCAATTCGAAACCTTTCCCCTTTATCCGGACTTATTACTTTATCGTTGTCAAAGTAAACAAACGTAAACAACAAGAAAGGGAATAATAAACAATCGTTCTGAGTGGCTTGGCCAGGCTAGGTGACTACATTATTTTATTGTTTTTGCCTAGGTCTTGGAATCAAAACTACAATGGTCAAAACATTAGTTGATCTGTGCACTGCAGTGTGTATCAAAAACGTCAAAGGTAGGTCATTAATCCCATCAATGCTGTCAATGCTGTCAATGCTGTCAATGTTGTACCTTCCACCTCACTATCATCCCACCTTATCATTATTCCACATATCGTCAAAGCGCTTCTCATCCCACCATTTATTTTTCCCACCACAAACACTGTATTCTCCTCCCACTTTACCATAGCACACAATTTTTATTCCTTCTACAAAAATTTCAAACAAAAATTTCAAACAACATTAACATAATGGGTCCTTCCATAGACATCTCCGACGTAGGTAGCGCGCATTACTCGCTTCTTCGCCCTATTCTTTTGAGGATCGACAATGCCGCGCAACTACGAGAAGTGGAGGAGAGATCTCCTCACATCCAAGGCGATGATGCCGAATGCTGGCAGCGCCTCATCAACCGCCATTTCCCTCACCAAGTAAAGAAGCACAACTTCGAACCACGCAACCCTACCTTATGGTACAAAATATACGACAAATACAAGAAGATCGAAGTCGAGGAGAAGCGCGCTGCGTTGGAGAAGCTGACTTCTAGCCTGAAGACCATTAAGAAGGAGAAACAGGAGAAGGCCAGCAAGGTTATCAATTATGACGCAAAGATTCTCGGGCCCGCCCCTGGTCGTCGCAAAGGCGTGGGCGGACGAGAGGTTGCTGGTGCGGGCGGTCTTCGATGGGGTGGTGGATCGCGAACTAAGACGACGTCGGCCCAGAGCATTATGCAGAAGGCTAGACGGGAGGCAGCCGAAATCAGTCGCCGAAATAAGCTCATGACTCCCACCGGCCAACTACCAGTTCGACGGGGGCAGATCGTCCAAGCTCCGCTTGGTATGCGAGAGGAGCATCGAATCAAGACTCTTCCTACTATGCCTACCGCAAGGAGAATTCAAGCGCCCCAGTCGCGTACCGGAGAACGCTGGGAGCGAGAGCAGAAGGAACGCGAGGCTCGGTTGCTCAAATTGAAGGGCGGAACTACTACTACGAAAACGACTATTATTTCGGACGACGAGTTTGATGAAGACGACCAGTTCGACGACGATGATGATGACGAGGTCCAGAAAGAGGGTGGTTTGAATATTGAAGAGTTAGAGGATCTCTTTGACGACGACACGCCTTCTACATCCAATGCTCCCAAAACTATCAAGACTGCTGTGGTGTCTTCTCAAAACAAGCCCTCCTCGCACTCATCCCTTCCCAACTCTAACTCTACTCGCGCATCTGGATCATCCGGTCTCGCTGGGATGAAGATGGGCCACTCCTGGAAGAATAACCCTGTAAGAATTGTTCCCGTAGAGTCGCCTGCGTCAAAGGCGGCTTCCAAGTCATCAGCATCTTCTCCGCCGGCGGCCAAACATACAGCAGTCTCCCCCCCTCCAGGACCCTCAATGCCATCGAACGCATCCCCTTCGCATCCTCCCGCGGGGGGTTCTACCTATACGGGCACCAGTAGCTCAAGCGCCGACCCTAAACCCAAGCCTAAACCTATGCTTGGACAAAAGCGAAAGGATCCTCCTAGCATCTTCATGAAGCCAAAGCCGAAGGCCCGACGAATGTCCTAAGGGACATGATGTCTACCGCGGGTTATAGACTGCTCGTTAGGGGACAATGCATATGCAAAATTCTACATATAAATGCATGAGACCACTAAATAGCCGGCTCAGGCAAACTCATTCTACGACACTTTCGATACTTTCTATAAGACTTTCTCTTCTTTTCAACCACTTTTTAAATCGTTTTAATACCGAGGAATTCTCTACTATAGGATGGACAGAGCGATAATACCGGATCTTTTGTTTCTCTGTACAGCGGGTTTTCTTCTCTCTATTCCCCTTGCGAGGGCGCAATGATTTACACATGGCGTCGGAGGATATGATATTTATAAGGAGAAAGGCTGCGTTGCGGATTTGCTCCTCTTCATTTCGAGGGACCAGAGAGGGCTAGTTACTAGGCATAATATTGATGTCTATCATCTATCGGTATTGCGGTATCCGAGGCTGGCATGTGCATGGTTCAGCAGTAGGGGGATGGGTATATACTAATGCCATGGAAGAGAAGTGAATGGATGAGATATGCTGCGGTTGTATTTGGTCCATGAGCTACGGACTTTATAGACGAGCACTGATTTATAATGAAATGCATTAGGTTTTAAACGATAAGCCTATCTTTGTGTCTACGTAACGTAAACCATACTATACGTATATTTATCGTAACTTACAGTCGAGGTCTAGTAGGCATTACCACTTACAACTCCTCCGGTGCTGTCACGGCTAGAGATAGCTAGATTACGGACAAAATATTAAGATATATGTATACCTCGGCTGGCAAAGCAAAGCAAAGCAAACCACGGAGGCTCACGGTTAAATTCGGCACTCAAGATTCATATAAGTTCATCTTAATTCGGAACGCTACTTGTAGGTGCGTGGGTCCGCGTACTTATGGTCTATTAGCGGTAATTCCGCGATGCCAAGTCTACCTAGCGGAATACGAGTCTTCCGTAACAGCAGGGAGGAGGGAAGAGGGAGGATAAGTTCCAATATGCGCAGGCTTGTCCACGATGTTTCCCCGATGGCAGTGTTGTTAATTCCCGCATCAACGCCGTTGTAGACCCCGTCATTCCTGCTGGTACTACTACAGACTCGATCTTAAGAGGTGGGAGGTGTGTGATGACTGCCATGGTAGGTAGGTAGGTAGGTAGATACCGAGGGCGCAATGTGACAGATACGTGGTTGGGAGTTTGGAATCCGGAGTTCGAATCGGAAGAGGGTTGGGGGGAGAGTGGTGTCTAGTCTAGCAGCAGCAGCCGCCACGCAGGGTCAGGACTAAGTGCAGAGTTGCGTCGGGAACGATGGCGGCTTCCGTCATGGTCAACTGGTCGTGCCTGGGTACATCGCGTGGGGTTAGTTATAACTGTTTGCGTAGAGGGAGAGTATTATGAACTGGTGTATAAAGAATAGGATACGAACAGTTGCTTTCCGCCGTAGATAAGTCGCTGCTGATCGGGTGTGATTCCCTCCTTCTCCTCGACCTTCTTCTTGACATCCTCGATCTAGAGAGATGAGATATATCGTTAGCACCCTGATATCTAATGCGTTTGTATCTGTCTATCTATTTGCCTGCTTGCGTGCTCCTGGGGAATAGAGGTAAGATGGCGCAATGCGGTGACAGTTGGTCGCCACTCCTTCAAACGAAGAAGAGGCAAGATAGGCCAGCGTACCTTGGAAGTAGGCTCGACATCGAGCGAGATCAGCTTGCCCGTAAGGGTTCTCACTCTGCGCCGTCTGTTAGCTCCGTCTGTCCGTCCGATCTCACGGGCGCGGGTTCGAATAAGAGAAGGGCGACGTACTTGATCATCATCTTGGGCGGTGTTGGAGGATAACAACCTGGGGGTTTGGAAGTAAGTGGTTTTGAGGATGTTGTACCTATGGGTAAGTGGCAGCGTATGCGTATGTGTTGTATGACGGAAGAAAAGAGAAATAAGATGTCGACAATTGCGTTTGGTATGGTTGGTTTATAATAAGTAACGAGAGAGAAAGAGAGAGGTACCCATACTCGGACATAGTGGGGTGTCTACCTGGACAGGTGGGGCTTTTAAGGTATATACCCCACCTGAAGGCAGCTGCTTTCACTTGCTCCAGTCACTCAATGGACTTATGCTTAAGTACATGTACCTAAGTGATTGTTTTAAATGGTATCGTGCCTAGGTACCTATATACAAACGTCTCACTTAAGCAGATCAAACTCTTACTTTCGAATATTAACTAACATATTTACTAACATAACCAACTACCTAAGGCAAGTGAGTAATCATATTCATACTCCTATAAAATACTCTCCGTCTACGTGTAAGCCGAGTGGGGATCAGCCCAGGTTATCTTATGCAGTTTGAATATAACAAAGCGTTGTATGTGTAAGCACTAAGTTGTTTTCCTCATCGAAGCCTGAGGCCATAAAGCAGGACGTAGTCGTAAATTCATATTTTACAAGTATTATTTTAAACATACAGTGGGGATTTTAGTTACTCCTAACCGCTCGTCCCTACTGCTTGCTGTTACGGTCGTCGCTAAACACATTTAGGCCAAGACCTTCTGAGTCGAGTAGCAGTCTGTTTCTGCCACCTGCTTCTTGCAATTGGGCGGCAATGACTCTTGCGTTTTCGATCTTCTTCAACTCGACATACGCCTTGCTCTTCTTGATCGCCTCTCCGATAAGCTCTGCTGATCGTGCCTCACCCTGCGCCTTAACGACCATAGCCTGCTTCTCTTGTCTCGCCTTGTCGACGACGAAGGCCGCTCTCTGGGCCTCCTGCTGCGCTACCTGCTTTGCTTCAACCGCAGCAGTGAACTCCGGGGAGAAGGCAAGGTGCTAACAACCAAAATTAGTAAATTAATGTTCTGCTATCATAAGAGAACTCCTAACATACCGTAAGAGAAACGTCATCTAATAAGATGTTGAATCGTGCAGCTCGCCTCGACAGGTTGTCTCGAACTAGCCTAGCAACGTTCTCTCGTTGCGTGATCAGCTGGCTAGCATTGAACTGTGCTACCACGCTCTTTAGAACCTCATTCACGATAGAAGGCAGAACTCGCTCATCGTAATCCTGTCCGAGCGTCCTGTAAATCTGCGGGAGCGCCTCGATGCTAGGTCGGGAGAGCACACGACAAGTAATGTTGACCATCTGCAAATCCTTGGTGCCGGTAAGAGACGAAACATTTCTCGGTTTCGCTCGTACGTCATAAGTTATCGGAGTCTCGAACCAAGGGATCATAATATGAGTTCCTATAGGTAGTTGTATGAGCATGACATTTCATATAAGTACGATAGAAGTTAGGAACCCGGACGGACCGGACTAACCTTCAGTATAGATTTCCTTGCTAACACCACTTATTCTCCGGTACTTGATAGCTCGATGACCACCGTCGACGTTGAATAGGGAGTTCTGTAGTATAAAAATACCACCACCAATTAAGCCGACAGCTGCTGCTGCCATACCCGCACCACGAGGAGGGCGACCACCAGGAAATCCACCTCGGTTCTGACGCACCATGGATCGCATCCTCTCCACATAGTCGTCCATTGGAGAACGCGACATCTTGGGCAGAGTTATGCGATGTCAAATGGGAATGGTGGCGGTTTCGTTGGTGATGTAGTGACAAATGAGAATGTGGTGCTAGAACATTGAAAAGATCCGGAAGCTCTTAACTCCAACCAATGGTGTTCCGTCTTTTTTTCCCCTCCGACGTTGCAGTTTTACCATGACCTAACACTGTAAGGCTTAATGGAGCTGAGATACATGTACCTAGGTAGATACCTACTAATATGTACACATATATATCCACTTTTAAGCGGCCCGTGCTCGTGTTAGCATTAGTGAACGCGACTTCTACATAGGCTTTATCGATAACCAAAAACGTCGATCCTCAAAGCTACGAGGCAGACCTTCCGAAGCAAACCAATTCAATTTCGTAACTGATCCAATTGGTTTATCAACAGCTTCTTCTCCTTTTCCCTCCATTGTATCACAGCTTTTCTTCGACTCTCAATCCGCGAATTACTTTCGACAACAATGTCGACAAAACAACCGTCGCGTGTCGTCTTCGTCGGAAATATTCCCTATGGATTATCGGAAGAGCAGATTACCGACATCTTCAGCACTGCTGGCAAGGTCCTAAACTTCCGTCTCGTCTATGATCGTGATACAGGTCGGCCGAAGGGTTTTGGGTTTGCAGAGTACCCCGACGCAGGTAGGATCTTGGCCTCTACTACAATTATACATTGGGCCTATACTTACTGTTTCTCATTCTAGACTCGGCAGCTTCAGCAGTTCGCAACCTAAACGACTACGAAATCATGGGGCGGAAGCTCCGTGTCGACTATAGTACGGAAGGTCGGGTCGATGGCGATGACTCTAACAGCGCATCCACGACTACTGGCCAGCCCACAAATGGTGCCTCGTATATCGTTCCTCAGACTGTTCCCGCAGGCTCATTACCCCCTCTCCCACCCGGAAAAGAGTTGCCTGCTGGAGTTAGCGCTACCGATGCTATCTCTAGAACGCTCAACACTCTACCTCCGAGTCAGCTTCTCGATATTCTCTCTCAGATGAAATCTCTAGCAACAACCGACCCAGGCCGCGCGACTGAACTACTACAGCAGGCGCCACAGTTGTCTTACGCCATCTTCCAAGCTCTACTATTAATGGGTCTCGTCTCTCCCGAAGCTATACATTCTGTTGTCGATTCTTCGGCCGCACCGCCTCCAGTTCAACAGCCCGTGCCCGGCTATCCCCCCGCGTACACGGGTGCCACGACGGTCACACCCCCAGTCGCTGCACCGTATGCGCCGCCCGCTACAGCAACTGCTCAGCCTGGCTATGCGCCTCCTACAGCTAGCGCGCCGGCCATGGCGCCACAGCAGGATACGGAGGCCCTGATGCAGGCAGTCATGAACTTATCGCAGGAGATGATCGATCAGCTTCCCGAGGCGGAGCGCCAACAGATTTTGACTCTAAGAGCGGGCATGATGGCCCAAAGGCGCTAAGTGCCTTGGTGGCCATGAGGTATAATCATTTTCTGTCAATTTTCTCATACCCCCACGGACAGTTGCGAGTCGGCGTTCAGGTTACGGTTCAGGTACAAAGGCATTCGGAACATAAGGCATCGCGCCGTATCTCGAGGGAGTAGGGCTGGTACTACGCACTGTATGTAATAATGCTATTGGTGTGCCATGGGAGAGCAAGATTTGGCATTGATAATAACGTAATGCCGAATACTAAATCTACGATATGAACAAACACATCTAATAATGGATTTCTATTCATCTCGAGAGCTAAGCTTATACGCATATTTCGTACTGGAGTAGTAGTAAAAGTTCAACGGATATATTTCGGTGTCATACCTAGAATATGCTTTAACTTTCAACAATTCATCCTTTCGTATTCCGGTTTGTAAAACGGGGTTCTTCGTACTATTTTACTCGCACTGACTTAATAAGGCAACATTACTGTCAATATTCCAGTCCAAGCGTGTCTCATGATGATGAGTTGCCGTTATTTAATCTTGGACCTAATATGAACTTTATATATGATTCCGATTACGTGTCGTTACTAACTTTGAAGAGATAGCCGCGCCTCTTTACAAAGACATCGGAGCCAATGATACATTTCCTATATTTGATTAGATAGCATAATACCAGTATCTTGGTTTTACCGAAATACTATTGTTGTCTTTTATAATCATTAAAACCCCAAACGTAACACAAGTTATATCATGCAGGTTACCTATACACGACGATAACGGTAGCAAATAAAACAACGTTCAACGATTTGTATCAAGCTAGCGCCAATATTGTCAGTGCCAAATACTTAGGTATGTATTATACTTCAGTGGCTTCAGCATAATGCAAGCCCTCTGACCCTTTATGTAAAGTTACCTTACCCACTAAATGTTCTTAACCAAATTTGGAAGTTACCAAGGCTTATCTTGCAAGGGTTGGCATTCTGCACACTTAAGGTACCCGCCTATTTCCGTTGACATCACCACCGAGGGATATGCTAAGAATGGGCTAAAGAACTTAGAACAGCTAAGCTCCAGCTTCAATCCCTCCCATTCTCCCCATTACTCCTTGGCTTATGAAAAAAAAAACTTAACCTCGACTTCATCCCCGAGTGTTTGTCAACAAATAACTTAGTTTTTTTAATTACACTTCTTACAACGAGAATGCGTATTCGCCGTTATGTCTAGCAATCAGTTTCCTATTCTTGGTTCCTCTCGCGCACCCGCTGACCCCTCGATCTCTTCCAATGCGACGGCATCAACCAACCAAACACCCAAGAAAAAGCATCGTGCAGGACGAAAGCACAAGAAAGCGAGACGGAAGTCCTTCGCTGCTCCTCCAGAAAACATTCCAGATCAAGTTATACCTCCATCCAGCCACAGCGGTAATAGGGCCGGTTTCTACATGCGTGGGAGAAATCTAAGTAATACGAGCATCGACAGCGAAGCGCTTCTCGACCACAGGTTCGTTATAACCTTCAATTTATATCCATAATAGAATTATAACTAATTTCAATCCAGGGAGCATCAATATCCTCGTCCGCGACGACCCTCCACTCTCACGGCCTCCCTTCACATGCCGCAATCAAGCCGATCGCGTATAATGCAGAGTAGTCAGAGCCACGACCACGAGGAAGTGGAGGAAGACAATAACGAGACCGTACCTTTATTATCTAGTTCTTCGCGACAGGATCTTACCTCTTCGCGAGGCTACGGGTCGGGAGATGGACGACGGAAGAACGACACATCTATCAGTCGTCCCGGTTCTAGCAGATCGGGCAAGAAATCCCAAATAGCTCCTATAACACCGTCTGATAAATATAATGTTAACTATCCGCCATCCATTCCTGGGACGCCTACGCTCGGGCCTTCAGATCCCCTGGATATGAGCTTTGGGGATATCTTGATGAGAGATGATCTCGCAGAGGATGCAACTCGCCCCGATAGCGTACTGGAATCGAACAATGACCCACTTCGCGACCAGTCTCCCTTTGAGAGACGCCATACGATTGCACTGCAGGCACAGGAGGATGTCTGCTTTCCTCAAGAGGGAATGTCAGAATTGGCCGACGAGGACGCTCAACAAGCTCGCGACAGCCGTAGTATTCGGGCGCGACGTAGAAGACGAAATAAGTGGCCGGATTTGGCCATCCTTGAAGAATGGTCCCGGATCGAGAAGGAGGATCGTAGCGAAGAAAGGCGAATGAAGAAAATCACGGAACCACAATTAGTGAACGGTAGGTTGCGGCCGATCCATAAGGGGTGGTATCGAATAGAAGAAGACGCTCCGTATCGATTCACTTACTTCAATGAGGAGTTCCAAAGCACGATCCACAGCCAGACCATATCGGAGCTTGTTCAACCAGACGCAGGCTTCAAGGAACTTTTCCTCCCAGATCCTCCAATCCTATCCGATTCATCTGATGATGATGACGATGACGATGGACCTCTTACCCAGGTTCCAAATTTAACCAGAAATAGCGGCGCAACTACCAGAGGACTCTCCCGCCAGCCATCTTTCACACCAAATTTCACAACATCTGACCTTAATCCAGGTGCAGCTTCTAGACAACAAGTCTCAACGTCTGCGAGTTCCTCTAGAAATCCTTCGGGCGACCCCAGCCCATTGCGGTCCAAGTCCCCATTCTCCGGCATCAAATCGCCTCTTCCAAATGGCGAGAAGCAGCCTCGATACGGCGAACGTCCCGTATGGTGGCTGGATGTCTTGAGCCCCACCGAATCGGAGATGAAGGTGCTCGCCAAAGCGTTTGGGATTCATCCTCTAACCTCGGAGGATATCATGCTCCAGGAACAACGTGAGAAGGTTGAACTATTTCGACACTACTACTTTGTCAATTACAGGTCTTTCGATCAAGATGCCGAATCAGAGAATCACCTCGAGCCGGTCAACATGTATGTCGTGGTTTTCCGCGAAGGTGTCATCTCATTTCATTTCAGTCAGACCCCGCACCCGGCAAACGTTCGACGCAGGGTTCGCCAGCTTAAAGATTTTATGATCCTCAGCGCAGACTGGATCAGCTATGCAATTATTGACGACATCACGGACGTCTACCTTCCTCTCATCCAGACCATCGAGGAGGAGGTGGATGATATTGACGATAGAATCTTACAGTTCCATTCTCCCTCTGATCCTTCTCTGTCATCTGAAGAGAAAAAGCGGAGAGATGGTGAGAAAAGCACTGAAGCGAATGCGGATAATGGCGGAGATATGCTCCGTCGCGTCGGTGACTGCAGGAAGAAGGTTATGACTCTATACCGACTTCTTGGAAACAAGGCGGATGTCATTAAAGGTTTCGCAAAGCGCTGTAACGAGCACTGGGAAGTTGCTCCGCGATCTGAAATCGGGCTGTACCTTGGCGATATCCAGGATCATATCGTGACTATGACGGCCAACCTTAGTCATTATGAAATGTGAGTGTTAACCCTTTGGTCCCCCTTTTGGAATTACAACTAACCTGAGCAGGATTCTCGCTCGTTGCCATGCCAATTACATCGCACAAATCAATATCCGCATGAACGAACGACAGGAGCAGACTGCTGATGTTCTAGGCAAGTTAACTGTCCTCGGTACTATCGTTCTGCCTATGAATATCATCACCGGTCTTTGGGGTATGAACGTCTGGGTCCCAGGTCAGGAATACGAGGGCGATCTGAAGTGGTTCTTCGCCATTACCGCAGGGCTGCTACTTTTCGGCCTTGCCTGCTTTATCATTGCAAAGAGGGTATATAAAATCGTCTAGACAATAACTGCCGATATTCGGTATCGTGTATATGTTACACTTGTCCCACGACGGGGGCAAAGTTCGGAACAAGTGCAGTATCTTGGTCCGCCCTAATCGGCGTGGGCACCCATTCATATTCAGTAACATGTCGGGTACTTGCGTGATAGCCCACTTCACCCGGCCACCAAGGTCCTCATTTTCTTGGCTGTTTCACCCGGCCGAACAGATTCCAGCGACACCACCGTTCGTACTAAAAAAAGAAGCTTATCAATATTATTTTCATTCAACATTATAGAACACACATGCCGCGACGCGCACGCACGCACTTCAATGGGTATACGAGGAATTAGACGGGGGCGTCCCAGGATAGAAGATAGGGAATTGGAGATAGCGTTTTTTGAATAATTGGCTAGTATATACAGCGCCGTCATTTTATATTCATATGGAGTATGGGGTTGAATAGAAACGTTTGACACAACGATATCTATTGGGTATCTTATTACTTATAAGAAAATATGTTTACTTTAATTATTATAATAACACTTTGCTTATGTTGCACTCCATTATTTATATTAATAGTTATTTCATATCACTTTGATACAGTATAATTAAAAGATTAACGGGATAAACCTGCTTTTTAACTTTTAAGCTTTAAATATTAGCACCTTATAAATTACTAAACTACATGTATTAATGATGTATTTTGCAGCAAATGGAAAAGATAGCACGACTTGTCTTTGAAAGTAGGTGAAGCTGATTAATCTTGTTATCCGGGCTTAAGGTGTGGCTGTGGAAGTATCTAGATGTGGCGAGTGACCTACTCATAGCAAGGTTCCATTGTGGTTGGCCAGCCTCGCTACCTAACTGCCAAGCTTTTTGGTTGCGTTGTAACCTGCATCCCGGCTCCACTTAACTTCAAGCTCTAAACTTTATCTTCCCTTTCAGCGTTTCCTACCGTCCAGACCATTGGAAATTTCGACTCCCAAATACAACAACCAACCAACCACCCAACCGATCAATCGTCGCGATCATCGTCAAAGAAACGCGACAATTCAAATATCCTCCCTCGACTAGCCCATCTTCGATAATCAAATACACTCCATCCCTCATAAATCAATTCGGAAAAGAAAAGAAAAAAAAAACAATCAACACAAACAAACACACACACACAACACACCCATCAAAATGGCCAACTTCCTCGCCTCCATCTTCGGCACGGAGCAGGACAAAGTCAACTGCTCCTTCTACTACAAGATCGGCGCGTGCCGCCACGGCGACCGCTGCAGCAGGAAACACGTGAAGCCGTCGTACTCGCAGACGATCCTGCTACCATCCCTATACCAGAACCCCGCGCACGACACGCGAGCGCGCCTAACACCCGAGCAATGCGCGAACCACTTCGACGCCTTCTACGAGGACCTATGGTGCGAGCTGTGCCGGTACGGAGAGCTAGAGGAGCTGGTCGTGTGCGACAACACGAACGACCACCTGGTGGGCAACGTGTACGCGCGGTTCAAGTACGAGGACTCGGCGCAGAAGGCGTGCGACGAGCTTAACTCCCGCTGGTACGCCGGCCGCCCCGTCTACTGCGAGCTCAGCCCCGTCACCGACTTTAGGGAGGCCTGCTGCCGGCTGAACAGCGGCGAGGGCTGCGTCCGCGGCGGCTTCTGCAACTTCATCCATCGCAAGAATCCCTCCCCCGAGCTCGAGCGCGACTTGACCCTGTCTACGAAGAAGTGGCTCAAGATGAGGGGCCGCGACGAGAAGAGCGTTAGTCGTAGCCCGAGCCCGGAGCCCACGCGGAAGCGGTATTAAGGGAGGACATTATTGTATTATTTGTTTATTTATTTATTTATTCATTAGTAGGAGAGGGGGTGTGAGCGGCAGAGATCGATCGATCGATCGTTTCCTCGAGGCTGAGACCGAGGTTTCTTACTTACGTATGAGAGCCGAGTTAGTAGTACCTAATTGAGATAAAAAGAAGGCCAGGAGATGGGAGAAGACAGCAGCACATGCACAAACGCAATCTGTTAATATTAGGAAGACGAGACGAGACGAGACGTGACGAGACGTGATGAGGTGATATCTAGATAACAAGACGGAGGCGAAGAAAGAAAGCAAAGCAAGCAAGCAAGGAAAAACATTTTATACGAAACGCGCTCGTGTGAGAAAAGAAATACGCAGGATTCGGGATAGATACACCATACCCTTGGACCGGTTCGTCTCTCTATCTTTGCCGTTAACACGCTACTACATTGTTAGGAAAAATATATGCTGAGTGAGTAAAATAGGCTGTTCTCAATTATACGTGAAACGGGCATCATTTGCCTACCTTAGGTACTCACGGTTTCTCGATCCCAAGACAAGTATCGTGCTTAAGAGGAAATAGGGAACAGGGGCTCTTAGAGCAATCATATGTAAAATAGGTACTTGATTCGTTAGCAGCACGAGAAAGGTTAAATCAAGATAATATATATGTCTTGTATACTCTTGTCTATCTATCCACTTGAATCTTATAGTCACGATATTCCACAAGTAAAAGCTCATATAGATTTATCAACTTCATTAAACAGGGTCTTCTTTTCCTCATACTATATCTGCCTGTCTACCGGATCTAAACCCAATGGTTTGCCCTGTCCCACCCTGCCCCTATTGCCAAAAAGCAAGATACCTACATGCAGCATGCTCGTACACCACCAACCCAATAATCACCCAGCAGCCAAAAAAAAAAAGCCAATTGTTGAATAATTACCTAATGTAACTCAGCTCATGAACCCTCTATCCCACAAGCCTAAAATAGCTCAATCCAGGTGAAGCGAAGTAAGGGGGAGCTCCAAAGCAACGGGTAATCGCGAGGGTACAACATTGGTGTTTCCTCGGCTTTCCCCTGAACTATACGTGCTGTACCAACACAATCGATCAATCACCCCTCGGCATCAAAGAACGTATTATTACTGTCTGTCGAATCTTCCTTTCTCAAGTTACCCTTGGCCGGCGGTAAGTCGTTCTTCAAATCGCTCGTAAAATCGAGTAGCGGGCCGTTCTCCGCTTTTTGACCCGTCGACTGCAGCATCGTGGCGATTTCTTTACTAGCCGAATTGGTGAGCGGCGGTGACGCGGGAGCATTATGCGTTGTCTGGGCTTGCGTATTAGTATCGTTCTGGCCGAAGTCGATTAGATCCTGCGTCTCGCCTTGGGGAGCCGAAGCTTGTGCTTGTGCTTGTTTCTCAGCCGCTTGAGGATGCGGGTGTGGATGTCCGCCCGGCGGGATTATATTCCAATCACTGGACCTTTGTCCTGGTATGACCGGGTATATCGACATGATCTGCTCGGCTTGTTTATCAGGTGTTGTGGCATCGCTAGATCCAGGGTTAGTAGTGATATCTCGAAAGGGCCGTCTGTTATGGGGGCGCCACGCACATATGAGCGTTGATAATCCATTCTAAGTGATCCATATCCTCGCCCGTGCCGCCGTAGTCTTTGTCTACTCTTCGGAACAGCCGCGGATGCCATTCTACACCTGCGGCGGCTCTCTTCGCTGCTTCCTCTCTCTGCTGGTCCTCGACTTTAGTCTTTTCGTCCGTCGCCAACTCGTGATTCCTTTCCTTTACTGCCTGCGCTGTTTTGTACCATAATTTTTGCGACTCTCGTTCGTCCTGTTCCTCAAGTGGTCGAACGCGCGGTTTCGAAGATTTTACTTTTCGGGCGTCGAAGAACATATCCTTATGCCCATTCTATGTAGCGTTAGATAGCGACGAGGCAGCACTTTTACGGGTTACCCACCCTAAGATCTTTGACAAACATCTCTTCACTCCATAAACCCGACAATTCGAAGAGCACCTGTCCCGTCTTCTCGTCTTTTATCGTGCCGCCAATCGCATTGTACGTACCGCTGACCCATCCCTTCGTTTTAAAGTCGACGTCGGCTGTGAGGCCTAACTCGGGACACCTCACTACACTGTGGTCGCCTAATTCATATTTCATGTTGCCAAACAGGATTCCTCGCGCGTACATATTAGGCTGTGTTAACCAACTAGAGATACGTTTAGCTTATGTTTTATGCAAAAGTCTCATAGATCCCACATACTATCTTTCCCCTTGCTTAGGATTTTTACCCCTATTCATTAGGGTAAGCACGGCGATTCCTTCCATAAGACTTGCAGCCGAATTGCCTAGGAACTTGCTCCTAGGCTTTAGAGTGCCGTCGATACGAATATGGTGCTCGGGGGCCATGTAAAAATAGCTCGACTTAGGGGGGTGATGCGATGTCTGCTCAGAAATATAATAGGCGCGGGTATTGTCAGGCAGGTCCCAATAACACGAGAAAACTTCGCCGAGGATGGGGTTGAGAGGCTTTTTGACTCCCCTATTTTCGTATGTTAGTAAATATTGGTTGAGTTATAAAGCGGGCTTAGGGGTAGAAGCTAGGGGAGCTATACGGTGGTCGAATATGCCATCCGCTAAGGTAAAATTTGACGACAGAGACAAAACGTTCGACAGGATCTTCGATATGAGGGATAGGGAGAAGCATTTCTGGGTGGCACATGAAGCTATAATTCTCTAATGTTAGCCTCCGTATATTAGATTATAAAATAATATTTTTGGAGTACGCACTTGGTGATTCGTTCTAACATACTTCGAGGCTCGAGAATAAACGTAGGCAGAACAACTCGGCTTAGATCAGCGCCAGGCCGTAGTTGCGAGATAATATGTGTTAAGACTACCCAAGCCATACCGTTAGCTATAGTAAACCATAAAATATCGAATTTACTCACCGTTGCCCTGCTCGGGCTCTATAATGGAGGTATCATCGTCATCGACGCCATCCCCAGATGACCTACTACCTATGTGTGGTGGCATAAGTGTCAGCGATCTAGTATATCTAACAGCAAAAAATAAGATCCAGTAAAGAATAAGGGTTCAATGCGCCAATAATCAAATGCAGTCCGAAGTCGCAACACGTCGTTTAGAAGAAGTAGGGGGAAAACTGTTACATACTAGCATTCGACTGCGTCCGGCGACGACGGGCCAGACCCGACGCTATCTTTCCCGCGTGCATCTCTCTTTTTATATCGGATGCGCCTAATAATGGAGAGGGGGGGGGGAGGAAATATAACTTTAAAGAAGTTTGCCCGCAATAAATGTTGCAGGTACAGGTAAAGGTTGTCGAACAATATCAACAGAAGGCTGGAAGGGTCGCAACTGAAGGGTCGCAACTGGCAACTGAAGAGTAAACGCTGCCCTTGGCCTGTAAGTCCTGCCCTAAGGTCCTAAGGCGGGATGTTGTACGCCTACAGTGAACGTATGTACCCCTCCCCGCGCTGGAGAAGGGTTGTTGGCTTGTTATCGATTAAGGATCCTTGTACTTACAGTTAAACCTACCCCTAAAGCACAGGGGGTTGACCGATGACCTCACTAACACGAGCAAGGTAGAATATGTATGTAGGTAGGTAGGAAGAATGGATTAGGTATGTATGTATGTAGAAGAGTTTGATATTATAATACAGAGAGAAAAAAAAAGAGGGAGCAAATATTATAAATCCAACAGCAGCCTAGTTTTAAATAACTATGCACAAATAACGATGCCTGATTTGTGAACGAACAAGGGATAATAAATGCATCTAGGTATTCAGCTCACTACCCGAATAATCAGTGGGAAATATTAGGCATTAGTGATTAGTGACTACATGTAGTGACTAGTGACTGAATGCAGCGTTTGCACATTATGTGGTTACGTAGTGGGCTTTTCGAAATAGAGTTACTTAAGGGCATAATTTACGTATTAAAGTATCCACTAAGCTGGAGGCCACGAGGTTCAGGGGGAGGAGGAGGGGGGAACGATGACGTACGTCAATTGGGTAGGGCGTATCATTTCATTTACATACTTCGGCCGAGACAAGTAGGCATCTAAATAGGCATCTAAATACCTTAGGTACCTAAGCAAGTCATATAACAAGTACAAAAGCTAAGAGAGCCAGGTCGATCTTTAATAAATAGGTATTTGAGGTTTCTATCGAGTTTCAAAACCTAGCTTTCAGTTTAATAAATATATATGCAGACCAGTTCCAATTGTCTTCTTCAACAACCAAAAGTCTAGATGCAAAAGCATTGTAATTTCCTTGCGCCTCTCGGGAAGCACCCTCTTTTTGCTCGAATAACCGCAGGGGGTATCTTGACATAGCATTACTATATAGGACTCAACGCCCTTCCGGTGCAAACTTTATGCAGACCATCTGCATGAATCATGTTCTCGTTCAATCGTGCCGAACTCCATCATTTTCCCCTACTAAGGCGCGACCCTTTGACTGGCGCGGGTAGAACCGAACAAAGTCTATCTCTTTCTGTATAATTGTGTTAGTCCCTAAAATAAAATAAAATAAAATAAATTCAAGATACAGTTAAACTTACCAAAACTATCCTCGAATAATATCGTTATGTCATCATGTTCGCCAGCAAAATCGGGCATGTCCAGACATAGGAATGCCATCTCATCCGTCTTGTCACCGCCTTCATGCGGAGTCTTCGGCAGCGGGAACTTGGCGTCAGCTAATTTCAAGCCCGCTTTCCCGTTTCGGTTGAACGACTCAAACACATCGGTTCCCTTGAGTATGAACCCCATGCATTGCCCGTGGTGCCAATCTTCAAAAAATGCTAGTAGTTGAACCGTCTTTTCTTGCTGCACTACCTGAACTCGCGTAGTACCAGCCTCCCATTTCTTGTGAATCGGTACTACCATCCTTCGCCGCGAGATGTTCAGGCTTGCAGCGATACCGTCGAAGAGTACCGAGTATCCCGTGAGCCCCGCTTGGAACGCATGCAAGTCCCGGAAGCTCGGAAACCTGTAGGTACGCACTGTTGGCCCACGCTGGATCGTGTTCTGCAAACCCTGAAATTCGCGATGCGATTCTCGAGGTACAAGGCTCTCTAGTATGGAAACCGTTAGATCGACCTGTGCGTGCCGTAGAACTTGCAGCGTCAGAATATCTTTGGTACCGAGCCTGAGCTTCAACTCGCCAGGCGCAACATTGACTCTGTCCGTAATGGTGCTAACCACACCAACTCCGCCTTTATCTAACGATTCGATTTCAACTCTGAGCTTCTCCGCTAATACCGTTGGCGGCACTTCTGAATATTTATCGTTGATAATACGAGCACGTTGCCAAGGTAAGCGTTGGATAGCTGGAAGGCCTCCTTTCGTATCACCGACACCGTCTGATATGTTCATACCCTCCAACGGAACTTCCGTAATAACGTCCTCATCTTGGTTGATATACGTCCCTGTAATCATTTTCAATACCATCTCGCGCTCTCTATCATCGTCGAACGTCAAAACCATCCGCCCTTTGTCCTTCCCGTCGTTAAAATCCAGTTGGAGGACTGGCGCGCGCTGCTCACCCCGTAACAGGGCGAATTTGACAGGAAGTTGCGGCGAGAACAAATGAGTTACTCCGCTCAGCGTCCTTATCCTCGGCCCGGTGACTACGGCGAGTCGGAAACCCCGGTGGAAGGTCCTGGGTCCGGTTGGACTATTCTCCTTGAGGAGTTTCTCGAACAACCCTATAGAGCATTGTCCTATAGGCTCCTTAGGGAATGTCCTCCCTTGAGGGTTAGCATCAAAATAGTGAAAGCCGCGAAGGACAGTAGTATGCTTCATGACTTCATCCTTCCGCTGGTATAAGTAAGATTGGACTTTGGAACTGAAGTCGTACATGCTCCATAGCATCCGATAGTCTTGCTGCGAGCATTCGATAGCAAGCATGAAGCCTCGGGGCAACTTGATGTCTAACTGGTGAGAGTCTGGTCTCCATTTTACATCTTGCCATGTTAGACCTGCCTTCTTGTCTGTCTGTATGCGCAATGAAACGGAACCGTTTTGACTAGCAATAACGAAGTTGAGGTTTGGATCATTCTGCGATCGAACAACAGACAACATGCAGGGGAAACAAGCCTGCCTCGAGTCCATACCCTGTTCCATGAAGTATACGTTGGTCATCACACGGCCAAAATTAAAATTTTTAGTAGTATCGCCAATCGGGAGTGCTTCCAGCGCCTCCATAGAACGAGTTGGTTGATTTACGGCGGCAACAGCCGAGCCCCAGATTCCATTGAGAAGGGCAACTATATCTTGGCTCACAGCCGGGTACTCTACCCAGATAGATTTGTCCATCGTTTGCGGGAGGAAAGGCTCCTCGGGCGGTAGGAAACCATTTCGCTTCATAGACCCAGATAGTTTCCTCAAGTTAGATATTAAAACTTGCCTAACTTCGCCCAATTCGCCATCTACAGGGCTATACTTGCCTTCCGCAATCTCGGGAAGGGCATGCTCTAATAGCCAGTACCCCTTTGCCAAGTCCGTATAGGCTTGGTACCTGGCCATGAGAAGACGAGGCTCGTCGGGGTCTGCTGGACGACTTCTAATAATCGTCTCCAGAGCTGTTCTTCCCTTCAGGAACCACCACAGAGCTGCTCGACACATATCATCAGGTCGGGAGGTACCTAAGGGCCTATATTGCTCCGCGTGCAAACGGAACAACTCGTACAAGTGCTTCGTACGAACAATAAATAGTTCTAGCGCATCGACGTCAGGCACAACTACCGCCTCTTGAAGCCTGCGAGTAGTTTTTTCCGGAGAAGGTGGGAATCCACGTGAAGGATTCCGCGTAACCGGTGTTGCTTTGTGAGAAACATCGGGAGTTGAATGTACAGAGTTTGAATACAGGGACGTAGGACTGTCTGCGGTGTGGGTTGTTTTGACGCGTACTTCGTCGGGTGACACTGGTCGTTGTGACAGAGTGGGTACCATGTCGAAGTCCGGCAGTGCATCATGAGTAGGCAAAGGAGGTAAAGCTGATCTATTAGAGGAAGATGGGATCTGTGGTAGAGGTAGATCGTGGTAAGGGGACGCTGGTGATCCGGTGGAAGGACTTTTCGATGCTGCTTGCGGTATGGGTGAAGGCCGTAAGGGAGATCTCGTAGATTGAGTTCTTAACACCGAAGAGATAGAATCCTGTAGCGAAGGCGACACTGAAGACTGGTCCCGGTGAGACATGGATCTTTCCGGAGGTGGCGTTGGCTCCTGCATGGTCGGTACCTGAATTTGCTTGAGGCGCGGCGGTGTATCCCGGACCGGCTCGGGGGAAGAGGTCTGATCGTCCCATTGGTGATGAGAGTTGGCGCTAGCAGATCGCATTGCTTCTGCAAACGCCATTCCTTCAGCCTGCCGTTGCTCCTGCTGATGGATCTCGATAAACGAGCGGCGGTTTTCATCCTTCTGACTACTAGTGCCTAAGAAGCGGGACTGGGCTTCGCCCGCCGGGACGGTACGAGGCTTAGGAGGCGGCGGACTAGAAATAGGGGCAGGCCCCGGCTCCTCCAACCGGAAATCTGAGATTGTAGAAAAGCCCGTCTGAGTCCGACGTATGGGACCAGGTATAAATTCATCTTCCTTCTTCTGTACTTCTTGAAATGCCCCAACTTGCCTAGCATATTCATGACCTTCTTTCGTAGGCGGTATCGGTGCCGAGAGTGGTGTAGATTTGGACCTCTTCCTCCTACCGATCTCGGCAACGGCAGTCTCGCACTCGTCACCTCCTTCGCCAATGATCTCGGGGTAATTATCGGCGAACCGGACAACAAGTCCTTTATTTTTCTTTGGTCGGGAAGGGCTGCGTGATCGTGCCCGCTGTTGAGACTCATTCTCAACCCCTAGAGTTTGTGGGAAGCGGCTAACTTTGGACGTATCAAGAGCCAGAGATGGTGGGCCCCTGGGAACAGTTGAAGGCGGCTGAGGAACGGGGTGAGAAACGGTCAATCGGTCTGAGTGACCAAGAAAGTCGGATATTTCGTTTGCACTCTCTTCGTTGGACAATTTTTTATCCCTACCCGTACTGCTACTGCCGAACAGCTTCCCCATTATACGATCCCGTCGTCGAGAGCCTTCATTATGTGCATCATTCTCCATCGTCGACCGTGATTTCGCGGGGTATACCAACATATATGCCTAGATAAACCATCAATTTGCCGTGGTTCTGGCGTGTAGTTGCCAAGTAATGGTCGAGAATATCGTGAAGCGAAGTAATATTTACTATAGAGGGTAAAAATAAGTTAATTGATAAGAAGACGAATGGCTTGGTGGTGTCGCGTGTTCTTCGAGTGTGTCCAATGTATCGAATGTATCGAATATAATAGGTAATGCAATGGCTGTAAATGAGCTAGACTAATATGAAGTTTCGGCGGGAGTTGTCGTGGAGGGTTTGTGTTTGTTTACTTGTGTGCCCAGTTTCCACCCGACGGGCTCTCGAAAGCGAGATTATGATGTTATTTAGTTTGGCTGTGATCGTCGTCCACCAAGGACCAAGGGGGTGAATAATGATACAGCGTAGTAGTGTAATAGTACAGTAGTACAGTAGTACAGTAGTACAGATGCGCGCACAAGTATGCGGCCAGCCAGCCAGAGGGTTAGTTCGTCCTTATTACCCACTATAAATCTACCAAAGAAGCCAAAGAAGGTGGCGGTGGAATGCGACAAGAACTGTCAAAGTGATGCCGAGGTGAATTGGACAATAGATAATAGACAAGAAAGTAAGGGAAAGTAAAAATAAATAAAAAGTTGGATTCAATCTACTTTGTTAAACGGGGATTGTATGAATAATATGTCGTGTGTCACCACCCCGTCCTCTGTACTCTCTCGTTTTATTTCTGATTTGATGTGCTTTGAGGTTTGGGGGTGCAAGTTCGAGTACATAATGTAACATCAATTACATGGAAGTAATAAGGTACAATACATGTACGTATGCTAATATGCTAACGTATGCTAGTAGTTGGTTGGTTGGTACCGAACCTATACCAGGTAATTGCCTGCTCCTGCCGCTACTTTGTATCGTACTATGCTGCTAGGTACATGTATTATGTGCGCATGTGCTGAATTGGTCGTGCAGATCGACCAAGTTTCAGGTACACTTACAACTCACTGGGTCCGGGACTAAGGCGAAACCCGCATCTTTCAAAGGTCCGACGTCCCAGTCCTCGACACGTGCATAATATCTTAAAAAGTTAGGACTCTTTTTGAAAATCAGTTCTAAAAGGGACTGGCGCTAATAAAAGTACTATAACCGTACTTTAGTCCAATAGTAACTCATAATTAGGTAGATAAATAAGATGTATACATACCGATATTGCTTGCTTTATCAATGATACAGTACGTACATAATACCTGATTAAAGTCTTTCCACTCAATTGGAAACTGCGCAGTAAAGTTTTGTACATTACATAGGTACATGTATGAATTAGGTTGTATGTATGCATCTTGGTTGCACCTGGCGAAGCAACTCGAATTTAGGACATATCAGGACGAATTGAACGAGACCCTGACATTCGGGTGGACCCTAGACTAGTGTGGCGCCCGCCTATATACGTGCATACCATAGTTAAGGTACATATCCTCGTTCAGGGGACCACCCTCTTGGGCTATCCTTGGCATCGCCGTTACGAGGCAACTAAAAAGGAGATGCTAGGTATAATACGTATCCATAGCCATCTTCCACATATTCATATGCTCGTACACGAACCTTAGCCCGTGAGGCTCATCACGATATTCTCTCTTTTCTAAAATTGGTATATTATATGATACGAATCTCTTTGTAAATAATATGCCTTAAGCGCACCTCAGCCTTAGAATTCAATACTAGCAGACAGACGCTTTACAGGCGCGCATAGCCGCCGGTCTGGATTGCTCTGCTTCCTCGGCTCTTACTGAACTTTTATATTGTGGATGCTGATATATCCTAGGAGGTCCCTAATACTTTGCAAATTGCAATAGCCTATCCTCTTAAATCAAACCCCCTGAATTTTACCATATGCATGTCCTTTCTTACTAATATATCTCCTCGTCAACATATCTTGCTCGTATTAAGCTATATTAGTGATCATCAAATATCAGTCTATTTTGTATAAATTTGCTAAAACACGGATAGCATATGGATACACGCACGTTCTCGGCCACCATTATCTGCACATTGATATAAAAAGATATACTTAGCCATGTCGGTATATGGCGAGGCTAGTTGAGCGCTTCAAAATTAGATGTGCGTAAGGCTACGTTGGGTTACATTCTAAATTGGGGGCTGTGAGACGGTCGATCTGGTGGTGTTGGGCTGAGTCGCCAGATTGGTTACGAGGCGGACCTGTAAACGTTATGGTAAATCTAGATAGGTCTGCCGCTATGTGCTACATATTATCGTAACGTCCCGTCAGCCCCTTTTCTAAACGCACACCAGCGGGGCGGCGTTCGGTATCACCGGACATTCCCACTTCTTCTCGCATCCGATGTGGTCCGCGGGCCGTAAAGCCATATCGGGGATAGAATGCCGAGCTCGGCAATCGATTTCGAATTTCAGCCTATCTACCAGGAATCCCTACTCCGTTACAGCTCGTCTAGCCTCACCCTCGCGCATTTTTCTGAGTATGTGTATTTTCGGCTCCATCCTCGGACCAATCCACCAACCGCCAGTTAATGCTCTAACGAAATTCTTCACTCTTCTTACGAAAACTCCTCTGCCGAATACTCTATCTTGGCCATTCTCAATATCGCTACCGGAGTGTGCACTCGGTTTGATTAGTTCAACTCCGGCAAAACCTTCCACCACACCAACTATCTCCCAAGGGCCGATAGCCGAAGCCGGATCTTCGGCGAGCACGTAGTCGAACTTTTCCCAGAATGCCGGGCTCCGTAAAGTGCTTTCATCTTCCGTCTTATCGTAGTTAAACGTCAATCCATTTGCCGGGTGCCGATCATTAGGGGGGTAAGGATGTTGCCCAAAGAGTGTTACTCCTGTCATACACGACAGTACGTCCGTATGAACCATGATAGTTTGAAGATCAGACGAGGAAGACGAGGTAACGAGACCACGAAGTTCCGATAGCGCTTCGCCACCGGGATAATTGAGAGAAGATATAATAAGCATAGCGGTACTGAGGCCGAATGAAACAAGTACCGAGCCAACTATTGCAATAGAAGTAAGTAAGAAGACGATAGACTTATTATGTCTTGTAAAGATATAATTTGCCCCTAAAGCCGCTGCTGCTGTCAACGGTGGTGCAACATAGAATATGAAACGAGCTTCCTTGTGCGGCTGAAGAGAGTACATCGCCACAAACAAAAGGCTAGGGATCACTAGCGATTGAGCCTGTTTTCTCGTCCCAGCGTTCCAAAGAGCATAGGGAATGAGAACGGTCGAGCTCAACGGGTTCGTGAGGATCTTAGGTAAGGCAGATGTGAAATAGTAGTGCCAAGGGGAAACGCCCCATTCAGAGGAAGAACCAAGAACGGCGTTATAATAAAACCCCCATAGTTCCGGCCACAACGGCTTCTGCCAGAAGTAAGAGTCGATCGGTATCGTGAGTAACAACGACATGGCAAAGAAAACGATGAAGGCAGGGATGATTTTTACTAAGGAGATATGCGAGAGAGCTAGACCATAGAGGGTGACGGTCACCATGAGAATTGCCAATTCGGACCTGAATACGGCGGTAGCTATGGTGAGATATGCAATAGCCAATTTGTATCTCCAAGCCTGTATATTTTGAGATGGGTCTCCTATCAGTTGAGAAAAGGCCAACGTCGCTAGGAATTGTCAATACAAAATATAAAAAACTCTTAAATTTTAGTGACCACTTACTCAAGCCGAAAGCGAACATATTAGGTAGCGTCCTAGAAGAGTAGAACAAGATATGAAATTGGCTAAGTTGCAATAACGCATACCACCTCGCAGTCGACCTTCCATACGCCTTTTCCACCTTCGACTTGAACACCCACAGCGCTCCAGCATTGAAGAGCCCCAGAATACCTCTCACGACAAGTTGTGCATATTGGAAGCCTACCAGCGCGATGATAGGCTGACCGATCCCCGCTAGTAGAACTGGACCAATAAAGGTGCGAGGGACAGCACCAGGGAAGTCAAAGTGGTCATACTGAGATGAGAGCCGTTGATATATATCCTTAGTGGGCGTTCCATACACTAAAATATCGTGAGTTGCCTGGATGTTGAAAGACTCTTCAACTTTGGTATGTGGGGCTACCAAGAGGTGTATGATTATTAAGGCCGGTATAGCCAGCGACAGAAGTAAGTCTGTTACCATTGTAAGTTATTATTTCGTTAGTAAATACCGTGATACTAATAACAAACATACCGAGAGCTGCCATTGGTAGCTTATACCTGGATAATATGAGAGAGCGTTTTCATAAGAGATGCATCTGGTGTGAAACTCAATTGATATCAATTTGTAATGAGTGAATAAGTTTAGATTATAATTTCAAATCCCCATTTTGTTTGTTGACAGACCTGCTGTTGTACTACTTTAATTTATTTCATTCTCGAGAAGTCTGTAAGGAGTATCTGTTCGAACTGAATTACACGTGGCTTAGTTAGTTAATGCACCGCCACAATATTTCAATCATGTTTACATAAGGCAAACCTAATGGACAGTTCCCGTAACCTGGCGCCGCACCGTCGACACCTGTCTTGTACCTAAAGAGATAGACACTACCTAAACTACTACATAACATAACGTACATGCAGATATACAACATTTGATTTATCGCCCTTTGACAGAGGCAAGTCTCACGCTTCCCCAAATTTCTAACACGTCGCCCAAAACTCTAGCCTGTCAAAATGATTCTCCTCGGGAACCTACTTTATGGTATAGCATCTCTTAGACGCCCTACCGGAAACCAGCAGCTAATGCGATCATAGTCTCTATCCTCCTTATAAACGCAATCGCCATCCTGTCCGAAGACCGCTTCCTAGCACGCAGTATGTGTTTCTACCGTACAAGGCCCATCGCTCTGTACCATCTAACACCTCATCTCTAATTAGTAAACCTCTCATCCACCTCCTTCGACCCAGCGTTCGGCGCCGGCCCCGACACCCAAAGCGTAAAGGCGAAAGTTGTCAACCTAATTGCTAGCGTCCGGATGGTAATGAGAAGTATGTGCTTGGCCTATTTGCGAGAGAGAGAGAGAGAGAGAAGTCGCTTTATGGGTTAATAACACCAGGCTAACTAGCAGAGCAGTTCCTCTAATAGCGATCAACACTTTAATAATACTCTACGAGCTGGTCTTGGGTTAGGGAGGATACGCAGGTATTACGAACGATGACGGACGTATAGGGGCTTGCATTCGGTTTCAACCAGGCGTTCGGGTGTACATACACTTTGGTTTGGTGTAATATGGCTAAAATGAGATCGGCAACGTGAGACGCGCCGTCGTGCGAAGGGAGGTTTAGAGTGACAGCAACACGTCAAGTCAACACTATACAATCAAGATTTGGTCCAAGATGATGGCGATAAAGCTTTGTCTTTTTATTTATTTCGTACCTCTGCTACTACGAGGGGTATGAGCTCCGGCGTCCGGCCTTATTATACAGAATATCCATCATAACGTGAGCAGACCTCACGCTCATAGTGCTACTGAGAAGCAGAAGCAGAAGCAACCTCGTTCTACAGAGTATCCAAAACGAATTTCAGCTTTGGTGCGCGTCCTCCGTAAATGCTCAAGAACCTTTGCATTTCTTTTGATACCCCCAGAACTCCGTATATGCCCCCCATCCCGTGCGCTAAATAGCTAGGTACCTAGGGTATGAAGAATAACAATACCCTCAAAGATATTCCCCTAATTCCTATGTGTTTTTACGAGAGGGTACTATGGCTTTTTCTTCGCCCAAGACTAAAGCTGAAGCTCTTCTTAAGCTTGAACTGTTGTTCTGGCTTGTCGTGGCTCGACGCCGCGCTCTCGCCATTTTGTTGTTTGTTTTCGGGCAAAACCTCCAGGCTATCCCGTTTTGCTTTGTCTCTATTTAAAAACCCAAAGCTCTTTCTCGACATGGACCTGCTACCCCTATCCGGCTTCTGCAATGATGGAACACTATCATCTTGTTCTTTGCGACTGGCTTCGTCTTCTTCTTCATCCATCTTTTTACTTGCCTCGATGGCTTTCTTTAGCTCCTCCTGTTCGGCCTTGCGAGCTTCGCGCAACCGTGCGTCGGCCTCTTTGCGCTGCTTCTCCTTGGCTTTGAGCTCTTCCTTTTCTGCCATCTTCCGTGCCTTTTCTTGAGCCTTGGCTTCTTTCTTTTCTCGGCTCCTTTCTTCTTTTGACTTTGCTTCGCCCTTGGTCGTATCCGTCCTTTCTGAAATCAAGGGGCTGGGCGGTACCGCGCCGTCTAGCTGAGGTAATAACGCCGGGGAAGGAGCAGCTGGATCGATGAACATATCAGGTGCTGTAGCAGCATGATCTAGAGTGGTCAACCCTTCCCGATCTTCGGGTGGCCGAACCGGCTGTGTTAGCTGTCTTGATAACCCGGAAACTGAACCGTTCGGCTGACCATCTTCTTGAGCAACACCGGCCTTTTCGCTAGCAATCCTGACTTCCTCAAGACCCTCCGCCTCTTGCTCAGCTCGCATCTTCTCGTAAGTCGTCTCTTGATAAAATAACACGTATGCACAAGCCATACCCGGTTTGTCCCCAAAAAAGTTTCGGACGTAGTGCTTATCAACGGGTTCGACCATCTCATCGTCGAATAACAACCAACCTCGATCTTCCGTTTTGATGACCGAGACATAATGTCCATGGTATGCGTTGCCGCCGATGTGGATAACAACAGCGTACAGTTCATACAGCCGATCTGGGTCTTCGGCATCCTCCGTTGTATTAAACATCCTCAGATGATACGGGTATACTACACGATGGAACAGCTTCTGCAACCGACTATAGTCTTCCGTATACTTGAACCTCTTTAAGTGCAATGCCAGCACTTTAGGCAGTCTTTTGATCTTCATTCGCTTCTCGGCTTCTTGTAAGCCGCCGCAATGATCGCAATGAAATTTGTTTCTCTCGCAGAGCATCTCCTCGGCCGAAAATTTCTGTAAGCATGCAGTTACCGAGGTGTGCTCCTCCAAGTCAATCGATAAGTCCAGGAACGTCTCGTCTCGCTGGGAAGCAGTCTCGCAGGTAAGGCATTTCGTCTCCGATGTTAACACGCCTTCGAATATATCATGCACCCAACCCGTCCCCGGAGAATTTATACCGTTCGAAGTAGTCTTAGCAATTGCTCCTAATGCTGCTTTGAGCGATTCTTCAACACTACCGTTACTATAAGAGACCTGCTGGTTAAGTAACCGCTTAGCTGTGCTCTCGACGTTCGATATTATATCGTTTAAAACGAGCCCGTAGAATTCGTGTGCATCTTGGTGCATCGAATTGCGAAACATTTCGTTATCGCGCTTGAAGATCTCAAGGAACCGCTGCGGACTAAGAACCCCAGTACGAACAGTACTATCTACGAGTGTCATAAAAATATCTCGTAGGCCCGTGAACGTGCACTCATCCATCCCGTAGGTTTCGTGGCTTTCCTGTGCCAACTCTAATATAGGACCCTTCAGCATCGCTTGCTTCTTTTTATATTCGGGGGTGTCGGGTTTATCCTCTGGCCGAACTGGCTGGATTTGGCCCGAGTTAATCTGTTTCCTCTTCTCCATCGCATCAGCTACAGAGCCTTTCTTCGCGTTTGCGCCTCCGTGTGCACCTCCGTGCGCGCTTCCGTTCACAGCTGGAGCTCGGATTTGGACGTTAACCCTAGGTCGGCTTCCGTTAGGGGTATCTGAGGGTGATAATGGCGGGAACTTAAGCACCTGCTCTCGAAATGGTACGGTATAGTAGAGGGCTTGGACAATCGAGTTGCAATAGCTGTGTCTTGGTCAGATCATGGCCTTCAATGCACAAAATAAACGTGTTTTTCTTTACCAAGTATTTCCGAACTATACAATTGAAGTTAGTGTTACTCCAAAAATGATAGTATATACATATATATATGGTAGGTAAACTTACATTCTCCATGCCAAAGAACTTGTCGCTTCCATCTTGCCTAGGTGCGCCAGCATTCTGAAGCATCCGTTCCAACGGAGTGACCTCTAGCGGAGTCTCCTCTTTCTTCTTTGGCCCGTCTTTGCCTGTCGAACTCGAGGCCGCCTAGAAACTCATTAGCATGTTTAACAATCGCCTTGTACATAGCTCAAGATCCCAGAGGTGCACTTTGTCAAGTGGACACATCCGACTCGGCGTTAAGCTTAAGTTCGGTAACATACAGCACCGCTGGTCTTCCATTTATTTAGGAAACTCGCCATTACGAGCGTAGAGGCGACCGGATTGCGGTATTGCGCGAGTTCGATCGAGACAAGCCAGCGGCCGAGCGCGGCAGAGGGTTAGCGAGGACGGACGAAGTCGATGGTGATAGTCATCCGAAGGACTCTGCCTCGGCAGTAAACAGTGGGAACTCTCGGGATATCAGATAATACACTAGACGATATAAGTTTGCGCTTCTTAAGTCGTAGGTCCCGTAAGAGAAGGACGTTATAAATTATTCGTCTTTCTAGAGTATATATTATTCGAGGTCGCCAACTAAGGAGAGCGTCTGTAATACGTAGGTGGTGTTGGAACGTCTTAGACGACTTGATAACTTTCTTTGTAGTTTGTGCGGCAAGTAAGCGAATTGCGCGGGCAAAACTTATAATATGACAAATGGTAATTTTTTCGAGCGAGAGGAAATACGAGGTCGAAATTGTTAAAAAGGAGTTACCAGCTAAAGAATCGAAAGAGAAAGCGAGTGACTATTGCTGGTTCGATGGGAAGAGGATTCGATCGGGGGATAGATTGGAAGGAGCCGGAAGTATGACCGGGTTGTCATGCCGCTGACGGTACAACTGGAAGCACCCTGAACCAACGCCACAAATTTAGCACTAAAGCACTAAAGCACTAGAGAGTACTGGGAAAAAAAAGCCTGGAGATTCTAAAAAGATGGGGTAATACCTTGACTTAAGCAGACACTTACATATATCTAAGGGGTAACCCCCAGAAACTAGCGCTCTTCGGGCTAATACATACCTAGCAATTTCTCCACTGAAGACCATATGTTAGGAGGTACCTACCTTGTAAGGTAGTTTCCTTTATTCGAATTTTCTGTATTTTTGTATTAACATTTCTGTATTAAGCGCGTCGTGTAACTGCTGTCGTAACTTTTTTTTTTCTTGTAACTCCAAATACAAGCCCAAATATGTACAAGCCGTAGTACGTCGTCAATTGTCAATCGTCAATCGTCAATCGTCATGAAGCACAAGGTATATTTCTCATTATTACTACATTAGGTAGTTAGTCAAACTATCAAACTACGTGGGATGAGAATAGTCTCTCGGTACTAAGATTGCCTATCTGAACCTAAACAACCCAACAAAGATAGCCTCTGCATACACATATTCCTACATTTCCCGGCCTCTCTGGCTGATCTGCTGGTATGGGTAACAGAAGGTTGGTACTCTAGTTTTGATGTGACAGCCAGTCGGGCTTTCGATCTGATTCCAAAAGCGGCAGTTTTCCCATAACGGGACTCACCTTGCATCAAGGAAATCGAGTATTTCAAGAAAATTACAGCACTCTCGAGTTAATTACATGCTCATTACGCGAGAAGACAATATCAAGTCGTCTACTACATACTACGCCTGTTTACTATTTCTAATTTACTTACTCATCTTCGACTCGGGAATTTCCCCCTTAAGGAGACTCTCTCTGCCGAGTCGTAGTCGGAGCTTTCAACTTGGTACTACGACCTTGAAAATTAAGACCTATCAAGCCCACGTTACCGCAATTAGCAAGCGGCGACTTCGTCAAAGTGGGGGGACCGGGGAATCCAGTACGTACATCCATCATCCATCCATGAACAGGAGTTTCTTGGGAACCTTTTTTTGCAATTTATGTCTCAACAAGCTCCACTTACCACGCTTCTAAGCAGAGCCAAGCGTCTTCGTCGTTTGTGGTTCGACTGTTTTAAAAAGTTCTAGACTTGAAGGGGCAGGTGATCAACATAATGCCTACTAGGGACGACTGGTCCCAATGCTTTGGATACAGACAACTTCCATTGTGCTTCCAGCCTTCTTCCTAACTCAGGGGCGCCAACATTAAGACGGGGAGAGGAAGTACATACATCGATCTCATTATCGATACATCGATGCAGAAGTGTAACGACTACTACTATAACTGTTACAACAATGCGGTGGACTCCCACCATCACTTATCAGCAATATGTAAGACGGTAACTTGCATCTTGCTACCGCAAATCGTATCAGGCTTCTTCTCCGCAGGCATCGGTTCCCTGTTCACTTAGCGTGATACCAATTACCTAGCTTAGGACCATGCATACTATATCTGGTCTGTCCTGTCTGTCTGAATATCGACTTTTGTGGGGTTATTAGCCGCCAACAACGGTCGTGACGGACATACGGTATGCAAGCGGGCAAACTCCCACACAAGAACGGAGATAGTTCGCCATGCTAAACCCCAAACCTGGCCCAAACTTGCCAGACTTGCCAGATTTGCCAGCCAGCGACAATCGCTCCATGACCCTGAATACGGTCCTGCAAGCGCCCACGAATAGCAAATCAGCCCCCAAGGCTGACGAATGCATTCGGCCGAATAACCCATCTCGATCGCAGGAAAACGACTACAAGCAAGCAGACTACACTACTACAACAACATCATAATCTTCCTCCGTATCCCCTCGTAGTTATTGTCAAGTGATGTTAACTAGCTATTAATACGAACGTCAGCCTAGAAGGCAACTGACGTGAAAAAAAAGTGAGACGCCGCAGCTTGCTTAAGCTCTCGTAGCCGTTCTCACTAATCAACACTTGGCTTTTTGTGTCACTCACGCGATCCCAGGACGATCAGCACGCAGGACAGAACCGAGAAAGCGCCGCCTTGCATCGGGAGCGAGCCAACGAGCAAACCTGTCACGAGCGAGCTGCAGCCGTAAGGTGTGGTAAACGCGCGATGACGGAATGTAGCGGCGCGGCCTACCATAGCCCATAGTCCAATCCCGCTCCGCGCGGTCTGAAGTCCCCCCCCAAAGCCCATGTGGCAGGCCTGCAAGGGCTGACCAGCCAAGCTGCGAAATATCTGCTGTTGCCCCCTTCGTAGGGCGCCTTCTAGAAGGCACCGATACAGAATCCGGGCTACGTACCCGCGTGCGTTCCGTGCGACCTTGAGCTGATGTGTGCTTGAGGCCTTTTCCAGGAAATACGGGCAACCTAAATCAATGGTAGCTGAATACCCCGCTCCACCATGATATGATTACTGTCACCATCGCCTATCAGCGTCGCATTTCATATATATCATCAGGTATTCGCCTATCTATAAACTGATATATATATTGCAGCTGGCCACTCGGTGCTATTAATTCGATCCTAAGGCACGAATCTTATATGAATATGCTATAAATTTATACATATTGTAGGTAAGAGCCGTGACTTGTCTCGATAAATTACCTTATGGCTTTACTGTGAGGCGGTCAAGCTCATAATTACAAAGAAGTCCAGAACGGGCCATCAACATTCTCACTATTAGTTTTCATTCCACTTAGCGCCCATTTACTGGAATGTGTAGTCCTGCAAGGGGTAATTTATCAGGGGTCTCTCTGAGAGATCATACGAAGACATACACCATTTGGTTATGTTACTTATATAAATCACGCAAGCACTTTTATAGGCGTGCAAGACTTAGAAATTACGTTTCGTTAAGAGTAGAGAGGTAATCAGTTCGCACTATCTAAGTCCAAGACAATATTATGACATGGGGATATTCAGCAGTAACAGGAAACTTTGCTAGGACACAAAATAACTATATACGTAAGGGAGGGCAATATTCAACGCAAACGCCTAGAACCCTGACTAGAACCTAGGCAAACTCGACTACTAAGATTTACGCGATGAAGGAAGCGGGCCGATCAGTCGGATCGGACCAGCAAATAGCGCAGCAAGGCATGTACTAACGCATCCGCCTGGATAATTCTCATACCGCCTCGCTTTCCGTACTTTTTCTACCTTACTTCTCCTCCGGCGGCGCGGCACCACCTGTTGTCGGGAAACCCATGAACATCTTGAAGTAGTCCTATCGCGTTGTTAGCACATCGCCCATTTAACTAGTACGGATTTTGTTCCCGAGGGGAAAAGGTAATATTTGACACTTACATAAATCATCCACTGGAGACCAGTAAGAGTACCGATCATGACAATTCGGACTGGTAAACCGTTCCACAGTCCCATAAACCCGGTGTCCTTGTAGTTTCGGGCCACGGCGGCACCGAAGGCTTCACCAGCTTTGCGGTTCGCGTTGAGCTTGCTGACCAGCACGTCGGCAGGGTGAGAGACGATGGCGCAGAGGATACCAGCCAAGTATCCACCAGTGAAGGAGACGGCTGTCTGGGCACCCGTGCCATAGTCGCTCTTCTTACCCGGAAGGCGTTCGTAGATCTTCTCGACAATAGTCTCGAAAGAAGCGAACTTCATCATGGTGTAGGGGATTTGACGACCCCAGAGCGGGTATAGACCCTTGTATAGTCCACCAATGCCCTCGGCCGCTGTGATCTTGCTAATACCGTCAAACGTACCTTTGTATGGTGGCGGTATTGTCGTCTGCATACGGACTTTGACGGCTTCGAACGGACATAGGGCGAGATCAGCAAGGAACTCAGCGGAGGCAGAAGCGGAGAGGTATAGCAGCGTCTTGTATTTGTACGCATTCTCGGGGCCCGCGAGATCAGAATACGTCTTTTTGAAGTACTCATACCAGCCGTACTTGAACGCCCCCTGCGCCGAGTATCCGAACAGCGTCGGGCTCCAGCCAGTGAAGATACCCGGGATGCCCTCTTGTCGCAGAATTATGCCCCATGCTTGGAAGTTTCCCTTGTACAGCTTTGCATCGACTTGCCGACGGCACTTGACGAGATCTAGGGGAGTGACGGCGGTATGAGTCAGGCCCTATAATTCTAATATGAGACATCGTTCTCGGAAGCAATTGCATGATGAGTTTCACTTACACAGGCGAGAAGACCACCAAATGTAGCTGCGGCGTAGAAAGTAGGGCTGTAGAGCTCTAGCTTTTTGTTGTCGCTCTTGACAGCATTGCTAGCTTTGTCAAGCTCTTTTTGAGCTTCGGCGCTGAGCTGCTTCGTCTTGTTCTTCGCGTCGTCAACGACGGAGTACGCTGCATAGAGCTCCGGGCGGGCCTGGTACGGAGTGGCCTTGGTAGCCGGAGTAGTCCGCGCCTTGGTGTTCAGCGGCGGGCCGAAGGACTGGTGGAGAACATGCTGGTTAGGAAATAAGTATGACATGGTGACTGGGTCCGATTCGATCTACTGCCGCTCAGTTAGTATGAGACATTTCATTATCAACAATATCAACTATTGCCTTGAAGTCTAATGCTCTACAGCGCAATATCTCTAAACTTGAATAATAACTCAATAGAATAAGAGAACGTAATATGATAGCGGGTTTAACAGGTAACGTACCGTTTCACTTAGGTAGATTATTATATTCTAATCAATTCAAGGTCGGTCGCAAACCTCAATATCCCGATGTCAAACACTCTACTACAATGAGGCGACTTGACAAGTTGGTGATGGCGAATCTAGTTGCCGCTGAGCAGGAGGTAATGTTGTTCGGGAGAAGATTTCTAGAGGCTCAAAGATTTAACAGGGAAAAGGATTGAGGGAAGGATGCTCCGGAGATAAGGTATGGTTACTACCAAGGTAGTCTAAACGTCCAATACGATTCCTTCCCTTGTAGAGGCATCTCCTGTTAGTGACGTCGGAGGGGTCGGCAAGGTAGGAGCTTACCCTGTTACAGAAGCCCAAACCCAATGATTGATTAGACTTTCCAATTTAGTGGAGTTAAGCAGCGAATCTACAGAGATAGATAAACTTGTGTATAAAGTTTATGTAACTATATTTAATATAAAGATGAAGATGAGTCTTTTTTCTTTTTTACTTCACCAGATCAATTGAGATTTATAGAGTCTTTTGTAGTGGTTTTGACTTTTTGCGCGAGATATCTAATAGTATACGACGTAAAGGCGCAATTAGAAGAGCTACTACTACCTCTAGTATACTTCCGCGGGGTAATTTCGACGCATATTATTATTAGAGTATAAAATATAATACAATACGATTCAATATAATTCAATTCAATCCAATACACCTTTAAAGTTAGTTCTAATTCAACAGGCAAGCTCAAGATATATGTGTAGGTACCTACCTACTTTAGTACCTAATGTGTAGCAGCTTCCAAGTGTAGTTTACACTAACCTAGAGCTGTGTTACCGTGGGGCATCAAAAAGTCCCCACCTCGAAATTGTCAAGAAGGTTAGCTCGTGATATCTTCCGTCATCCCAAACTCCACAAAGACTCAAGCAAATCCAAAATTCTTACTCATACATTGAACTAATTGACCTCTCTGATATTTGTCAGACGGACCTTGGAATTACGAGGCCACCTTTAGGCGAAAAGGCTGTTACCGAAGATAGGCAAATCTTTCATTCGAAAAGAATAGACCGTCTTAATAAGCTCTTTGCCAAGGACAGGATTCTCCGATCTAACCCCTGCAGCATCGTTTCTATACACAATATACAGACATGGCGCAAACGATCAAGAGTTCTGCGCACGTCGGTCCGTCGCCTCTAGGAGGCAAGCCGTTCGTATCGAAATGGTCTTCCAGATATAGAGGGGTATGTCATATTACCCCTAAGAAATTGAGTCTAATACTATGCAACACGAACACCATATCAATACTCATACATCTCCTATTCAATACCAGATATATCCAAGACGAATATTAACATATTACGTTAGGCTACAGTACAAGACCTCGAGCCTCCCGCAGCTCTCTCGCTAAACCCCTCGGACCCCGTCTCTCTCGCTCTAATATCATCCTTCGAGCGCGACTACACGCACCTGACGATCGTAGACTCGGAGACTCGTGCGCTGCTAGGCTACGTCGCCATACCGGTGTTGCAGGCACAGCTCGACACGGGGAAAGTAAAGCCCGAGGACTCCATCTCCAAAGCCATGGCGCACTTCGAGCGCAAAGGCAAGAAGTATAAGGTCATCACGATGGCCACACCGCTAGAGGAGCTCGAGCAGTTCTTCGAGGGCGGCGCTTCTGGCATCGGTCAGAAGCAGGAGTTTGCTGTCGTAACCGACGAGGATAGGAGATTCGTCCTCGGCGTTGCCACGCGGAGCGATCTGGAGGAGTTCGTCAAGAGAAGACCGGCGTGATGGATGAGCGAGTGAGCGGATGTAGCGCCTAGGAGTTAATCGACATGATCTAGACGGGGTTCGATATTAGGAGGGTATGGCAAGCAATGGGCTAAGATTGGGCAATTAAAGGAAAGGCGCTATAGGAAGAAGGTGCTTTATCACACCGGGCTCGAGATTGTTACGGAATGTTCCTTGCATCGAGGGATTCAACACCTCGGGTTGGTTACGCCACAAGAGCTCCGTTCAACAAGAAATGGAGGCAACATTCGAGCAAAGACGAAGAAGTCCTAAATTGTACGTAATGTGCTTCAGATTGCGAACCAACACGAATAATTATGCCGTAATAGACATTTATATTTACCCCCCTACCCCCCCCCTTTAAATCTCACTTGCTCGAGTAACACCCCTAGCTCCCGGCTAGATGGAGAGCACTTCATACCAGATGCAACAAACTACTCAGGGACCCAGTCATACACCATCTTAAAGTTGACAAACGTGCCGTCCTTCGCCACAACCACATTCCGCACATACCTCCTCTCACCACCCACATTCTGGAACCCCCAGACCTGCAGCGCCGTCCACCCCGCATCCAAACTCTCCACATGATTCAAAACATGCGTCTCGCCCAGCGGCCCGCCCTTCTCCTCGTCCCCCTCGAGCCAATCCCTCGCGGCGAAGTCATCCTCGACAACGGCGGTCTTGCGCGCCTCCCCGTCGGGCCCCACGTGCTTCGCCAACTCCTCGGGCCCGATCCAGCGGCTGCGGCCGCGCACGCGGCCGAACAGCCAGTCGCTGTGCTCGCGGAACTCGTAGTCTAGACACCGGTTCTCGGCGGTGCCCTTGACGCCGGCGGTCGCGATCTGCTGGATGTCGATGCGGGTTACTAGCTCGGTGCTGGTGTTGGGAGGCGTGGCGGGGCCTTGGTATTGCTTCGTCTCGAGGGTGACGGTGGCGGCGCCGATGGCTTTGCGCACGAGCCAGCTTACGCCTTGGAGGGAGAGGGCGGGGTCGATGGGGTCGGAGAGGGTTTTGTTCTGTAGGAGGAGGAGGAATTATTTAGTGTATGTACCTTAGATATGTAAGGGCGGAAGATGTTCCGAACGGGAGACGGTGGTGGTGGTGATGATGGTGGCTTTGCTTACTAGAACCCACTTCCCGTTCAGATCGCCAATTGTCTTGGATGCGGGAGCCGCCATGGCGCTTGATGTCTTAGAAGGGGCTGCGTCTAGGACCAGGACTAAAGATAGAAATAAAAATAAAATAAAATAAAAATTCCAAGAGGAGCTTGTGTTAGCTAAGGTCGATAGGCTAAGGCGGTATGGTATAGCTTTGTACGACGTCGAAGCTCAAAAAAGTTGTATTGAAAGAGAGGTAGGTATCGGTATCACAATCAGGAACAAGAAAAAATAGCTCACGTTCTACGACCTGGCTAGTTAAATTATTGTCAAAGTAGATCGATCGGTTAATATGTATACATACATACATACTAATGTTATTTCTATAACTGGTAACGATCATATGCTTCTGCAGTACCAATAACTCAAAATCGTGGGACGACCCGAGGCATGACGCACTCCAGGGTATAAAGCTTGCGTTCTGATCTGAGTCTGAGGGATAAGCGGCCGTTCGGTGGAGGGGTCGATTGCCTAATTTGGTTATGCGAAGCTACCTACATCAATAGGTATGTACTACCTAGGTATGAGGTAGCCTGGTATCTCTCTATGTATGCGGGGTATACGCTAATATGTAAGCGGGCTTGGGATGGGAAGGAAGCTACTATCGACAGCGGCGTCTTGGAAATGTTATTCAGGTAGGTAGTCTATGTGGTAAGTACATCCCATGTGTCTTAGTTCCATACATGTGCTTAGCTACCTCCTAATATGTATCTGTTGTCTCGTTTCGTCTGGTCTCAAAGTTTAATAGTTGGAATGAAGAAATTGAAACTACACTTTTGAATATTGATATCTTTCTAGTTCGGATCATGCATTCCACTAGCCCATCTCTAGATGCAAGAGTAGGTGACGCGTAACATACCTACGGACGCTTGTCATATCTCACCTGCTTCTACGGGTGCCAATGCTTATATGTAACGCCATCACTTACATACAAGCTCACCGCTGATAAGCCTTCCCGTTTAGACGGATCTTGATGATCAGAGCCAGGCTACTTACATACTCTAAAGGATACTACAGGAAACATGGATGAAAGGAAACGTAAAGCGCTAGCAAAATATAGACTAACTACAATGTTCTCGGCAATGTTACTGAAGGCTTAGCCGTTACTCAACTTCCCATCTAGTCTTGTACTTTCATGTGATGTAACAGGGAGATCTCATATCTGTAACCAACGGGGAAGAATAGACAGTCTGGCTGCGCGGCTTGAAACGTTACTTGCTCGCGTACAACATCTCCATGGCATTCAATAGCATTACTTAGAACTAAGCCTCTAATGTGTTCTTATTAGAATGAATTAGGTCCCGGCTCTAAGTACGGTGAAAACCCCATACGCCTAGGATCTTTTATACACGGACATGATTTCTTGATGAAAGGGAACGCGGGATAACAAAAAAAGGGGGATATCCTACTCATACAATACAATTGTGTCGCCTGTCTTCTGCTCCTGTACACCGAAAAAAAAAATAGTTATTTTTTGAGACGACAGCCTACCATCGCCTGCAATTCCAAATCCGTCGTCGACCCGTTATCATGGAGTCATCACTGGCAACCAGATTTTCCCCTTCCCAGGCTTGGAAGGATTTGGGATCGCCATAGCCGTTTGGCTGCTTATACATGCTCGCCTTTAAAAGGCGAGTGAATAATGTCTTTGGGGGGGTATGTAAGGTTATATTTCTCGAGCTTCTCCTGTTAGGGCTGCTCAAATCAAGGCCACCACTTCATCCTCTTGTAGCTCTCGATCACTTCCTCCACTAGTTCCTTCGTGATAACTGGTTTTTGGTACTGGAATCCAACAACTGCCTCCAGTCGGCTACCGTCCATGCTGAGGTCCGTATCCTTCAGCAGCTCCTTTTCCATAAATGGAGTCAGCGGACCCGGTCTCGTTATTCCAGCATCTGCAAGAAGGTCTGCCCAAGGTCCTAGAACATCGTCGTTGACATCATCTACAACACTGTCCATGTTGAGACGAGCGAGGTTACTTAGAAGTTGGCCTTGGAATCCAGTCTCGATACCGAACACTTGGCCAATGATTTCGGCGATCGTACCCTGATTTGTCGTTCCTTTGTCTACCACGTTGAATGTCGGCGTCGCGCCCATATTCTTCTCATCCCAATTGGCCTTGCCAGCGTTGTACCAGGCGGCAACCGACCATAGAGCCCGTGTAACATCGTCAATATGTGCCGTGTTTGTGTACAGGTCCTTGGTCCATAGGAATTTCATGTCCTCACCCATCGCTTGGTAGACGCGCGCCATGCATAATGCCGTCGCCACCCATTGAGATGCATACGGGCCGTAAACATGGGGTAAGCGTACGATAACGAGATTTAAGCTGTACAGGAAAAAGAGCTTATAGTTAGATTCGACCACCCTTTGAAAACTTAAAGAGTGTCAACTTACCCTTCAATCTTGGCGAGTTCCTCCTCCGCCTGTAATTTGAATACGGCAATCTTGCTCCAAGGCTTGAGCTTGTCCGTCTCTTTACTCGGCGCTGAATTCGCCTTGTATACCATCCCCGTGCTCAATTCTACGAAGCACTTCACTCCTCTCTTCGCCGCCTCTTTACCAACTGCTAACGACAGGCCTAGAGACCGTACTTTGTATACTTCATCTTCCTGGGAATATCTCGTCTCGCCGCCGCAGTTGAAAACATAATCCCATTGTTTGCCATCGGGCCGGTCAAATATCCGTGCCAAAGCCTCTACACGGGAAATTCATAATTAGTACGGCTCAAAGGGAGAAAAAGTTTTAACGAAGTTTGTTAAGACCTACGTTCTTTACTTGCGTCTGCTTGTATGAATTTGTCTGAAGAGCATGCAGTCTCAAACTCAGGCGCAAGCCAAGCGAGTTGCGGTAATACCTTATCTACTAAGCGAATTTCTGATGCGAGATCGTTCTCGTGTATATACCGGGCCAAGAATCGTCCAATATAACCAAGCCCGCCGATGATGAGTACCGACGGCTTCTCTGCGGCCATTGTGTGCGCTATTGCAACCCGATAGGTTGTGATGTATTAGAGGGAAGAAGGAAACGGGGAGAACGGGATTCGAGGCGCAACACGGGCGCGGGGCTATAGACGACTTTTTTTTTTTCTTCCGAGGGGCCGTGATCGTGAAGAGATGAAATGACGGACAAGGCTATTGTTGGGAAAAAGTTCCCGGTCTTGGAGACTTCAAGAGCTGAACTCGAACAAGCTACAAAGCACCGACACTGCGGTTATGTACTAAAGACCCAAGGGAATGCCTGTCTGTATTGTCAAGGTGGAGCAAGGGGCTATCCGTCCAACTCCGTCGAAGGTTGTGTCAGCTGCCCGAAGCTAGTAATATTGGTTCATTTCGCGGTTTAGGGGGGGGGTGAGGGCAGATCCAGTCCAAGCGAGCAGACCAGCCCTATATAGACGGAACAGAGCTAATAGGCCGCAGAAGGAATCAAGATTACTTTTACTGCTTCGATACTTTGATATCTAGTGTAACCCCAACTTGTTAAGAACAGATAGAGAGAGGGAAGTAAAAATTTTAAATTTAAAATATGTCGTATGTGCAATGTGCAATGTGCAATGTGACGCAGGGGAGGCTTGGATTATTATGTACGTATGAGATATCTGCAAAGAACAATTGTAGGATGTTTAGGTCTAATGTACATACCTACCTTAACCTTACATGATGGGAACAAAAAAAAAAAAAAAAAAAAAAAAAAAAAAGCAAGAGAAAATCAATATGTAACGTACTGTAGATCGGTACGCATGGGGAGGCCGCCACCGCCGCCAGCCCAGGTTTGGGCTGGTATGGATATGGTTTATGGGTATGGTCGATGGAGCATCAGGAGAAGCTGTGGAGTCCCAGTAGGTTGCTCCTTGTGGTTCATTTATGCACCAAGTGATTACGGTAACCGCTAAAAGAGCACCTTAGCTGCAACCCCCTTGTCTGTTCAAAAGATGGATCGCTTGGGGGCCCGGGCTTAGGGTTGGGCTTGGGAAGGAAGGCTTGGTTTTAGGTACGTAGCGTTATGTTAGTGAATAATCGAACAGCGAACAGAGACAGAAAACGGAACGAACCGCATCAACCTTCCTTCTCATTAAAGATTAGAAAAATATAAAAAACTTGATACAAATGTTTATAGTACATAATCAACGCATAGGGTGGCGTACCTAACGAGGTTGTATATACCTAGGTAGGTACTAGTTCATTATATGTATACTACATACATAACGTTGCAGATGGGATGGGATGGATGGTCATGGCCACCGCCTCGTAACGCACGTACTACATATGTATGTATGTAGGTAGTGGACAATTATAGCAACTACGCGATGCAACTCAAAGGGTGTCAAAGATGTTCGGTGTTGATTTGATATTATTAACGGATGAGACCATATGTCTTGGTTTATCTTACTTTATAGGAGGAGAGGCGAGAATGAAATGATAAATAAGGAATAAGGAACGAGGGAATGTTTAATAGGTTAAGGTTTTAGGTATTTGGTATTTCATCATCAACTACGACATTGGGCATTGGGTACCGGTCTCGTATATGTTTAAGACGAGGTCTTTCTCTTTCCCCGTCCCCGTCCGGAAGACTGGAAATACCTACCCAAGGGATAGAGAAGAGAAGGTACGCTAATGAGATACACTACTGCGTAGCGTAACGTAGAGATACATTGGCGGCATGGGAAGCAAACTTTATTAATATGTATGTAAGGTAACTAACAGGTACTAGTTATTAAGTATATCCCCTTTTGGTTAGATAACTCCCAGCCAGCTGAGGCAAAACACTATCATAGTACCACTAATACCAGGTTACTAAACTTGAAACACATACAATATCTGATATCAAGCACAGTATCCAGGTATTAATGCATTCGCCATCGGTACATATATAACACCGGTGACAGAAACTTCGGCTGTTACTACTACTAATTACTAACTCTTAATTACATACTCTTCAGTCTCGATTCAACTTCAGGTATAGATAATTAACTAGGTCTCGATGACGCCACGGCCGATAATTGGGTTCCATTCTCGCGGACATAGTCCCCGATACGCATGAACGTTGCGGAATCTCGTCGTGGAGATGGTCGATGATTCGGTCTTAGACGTATATAATGCTCACACATATTGGACATAATTGCGCACGTATTTCCGAGAACTTCTAAGACTAAAATATAGATCACCACCACTGGGCATCAGTCGTTCCGTAGTCCAGACCTTAATAGACCTAGTTCCATACAGCGTCAAACGGCCGATATTCAGGCACTTTAGGTCACCTGTCCACTCTCACGACAGGGACAGTCTCGGTATCGCACCTTTTTTATCGACGCGGGTTACATGGCGTATATTATATTCATACCTACCTAGCAGTCTAGGTAGTAAAAAAGAGGCTCTTACGGAGAAAGCTTCGTCTGATGTACGGCCAAGAAGTCTCCATATCATCACCTGAGCATCAAACGTCCCCGGACTTTAGGATCGTCTGTATCAGATATCCGCTTCGAGTCCCCCTGCTGGCTCTGCAAACCCACACGCATTTTACATAGATAGATAAAGGTATCGATGGGGACGTCCATGTTGGGTATCTACATACATACTTGGATAGATACCAACATCCACGGCGCGGATAGGCTCATAATGACACACCACCCTGGCAAGGCTCATAAGCACTACTGGACCAATACTGGGACCCGAGAAGATTCCCAGGTTTGTTCTAGCAGAGTACCGAAACCGTCCTGCCGTGTAAGCTCACAGATAATATCCCTTCCCGGCCAATCGTAAATTCTCCTCGGCTGGCTGGCTGATGCAGCGAATTATTCCCTGAAATGATAATTGACATGAAAACCCCGTGCGCCATCCGCCCAGCCCAGCAAAGCCCAAGCAAGCCCTAGCTGCAGGTCTACGAATCTTTAGAAACAAGGGGCTTGCCTATGTATGCCTACCTATGTAGGTATTCGTCTATGTATGTCAGGACATCTATTCCATACCGACTTGCCGACGTTTACAAGGAATCCAGAATCCAGCCTCTCTGACATCCGTGCTTTTTCTTTTTTTTCAGCGAACCCCCTATTAGAAATATCCAGGAAACCCCAAATCGCCCTGACAGCCGAGCGAATCCTACGTGGGCTGGGCAGAGACACGAAAGCGGAGCGTCCTTCTAGAAACATTCCATGCAGTGCACATCATCTTCACACAGGCACAGGGCGTAAACGTCAACCAACAATAATTCGCCTGTTTGCTCTGCGCTCTGTGCTCTTGTCCCTTTTCTTTCCGCACTTGTAGGTCTTGGCGAAACGTGCCGAAACTTGCGATGCTGTGTACGTAGGTATGTACATGGTGTATGTAAGTTCTCATCAAATCTCAGACCACCTTCTCAGTTGCCTAACTTACCAATGTACCGACGTGCAGCCCGTGCAGCGGGAGGATGGGAGAAAGACAACAGCGCGCAAGGCAAGGCAAGGTAAGGCAAGGTTAGCCTTAGCTTAGGTTGGCCTAGGACTTCGCTCGTACACCACGTAGACTACATACAATTTCCGATGCGCGCAGAGAAGAGGCAGAGCAGAGTCGACAAATACAACTACTGCACCGGATACCATCCCCGGCCGGCCGCGTGGACATAGGACGATCATGGCAGGCAGATAGGCAGGCAGGATAATAATTCTCAGTATATGTAAGTGTAGGTTATGTAGAGTCGCATCACAAAACATCCAATGCAAGACCTGTCTTGTCCTATTTCTACGCTAGGTAAGTACCTAAGTGAGGTATGTCCATTACTCGCCCGCCTATGTAACAGATATCTAAACCTACACTAATACATAACTCCAAAGCCCCTTCTCCAACTTGGGTATCTAACTCGGCGGGACGGAGCGAGAATACCTAAACCTTACAACCTTACATACCCTAACCTAAACCTAACCTTACCGTATTCTCTTCTAGTTGCACCGGTATTCTATCGCAGACTTTTACCTGCATGTTCCCGAGTCTAGATCTACCTAAATATAATCCATACACTACCATATTTTCTAATTACCTCGAATTCCAATGCTAGCATATGCCTGTTATATTTTTTTTAGTCTTATTATTATTTTTTACGGGGTTCCTTACCGCGTACATAGATCGACCTCCCCTTTCTATCTAATGACGCTATTTAAGATAGATCGTCTTGAAGCTAGACACCTACGTATTTATTTATGTATGTATGTATGTATGTATGTATAGTGGAGGTAGTATAGGTAGCGGTCTAGAAAGAAAAGAATAACTAAAGAATAAAGAAAGGAATGTTCTATACGGGTTCCATTTCGTAGTCTATCTAACCTAACATATGTATGTATGTACAACCGGGTCCAGTATATGTAATCCAAGACCTGAACTGAACCTCTCTGATGATGTGTTCGGCCACGCGACACGACGGCTCCATCCGTCCCAATACATACCTACTTATACACACCTCTGTACCTTACATACATACATACATACATACATACATGCGACGTACATAGAAGAAAACCCGAATCATTCCATCCGCGATCTGGATTCCTTCTGGAAGCAGAGATCATCGGCTAGAAGAAAACGCGCCAACCTGTTTCTCTTTCCCCCCGTCCCTCCCCCCCCTTTTTATTTATTTATTTCTTGTCTAAGGGGGTAAGTAGGTAACGCGAACAGCCAGCAGCAAGCAACGCACATGTATGTATGTAGTGTATATAGAAACGTGGTCATGTTCCATTGCATCCCGTCGTTCCCTTTTCCCAATTAATCCTTTCCTTTCCTATCAAGGGGTAAGGAATGCAAATAGACGCAAGAAGAAAACAATAATAAAAAATAACAAAATAAAATAAAATAAACATAATTCTTCTCGATCCCCCCCTTTTCCCATCCGCCTACATACATCCAGAGTCGCAGTCACGAAATCCATAAAGTCTTCATTCAAACCAATGTTACAATGTTGTATTTTGCAACGGTCGCTCGCGACGCGGGCTGGCCGGGTTAAGATACATACATACATACCTACCTCTATGCAAGTCATTGCCCATTTGCTCATTTATTTAAATTCAGCAATACATACATAGTAACGTAGTCTCCATCCGTCCAGTCTGGTTAGTCCAATATGTATCGAGGAAAAAAAAAAAAAAAAAAAAAAAAAGAAGAGTCAGAAAGAAACAAACCAATGAACCACGGCGTCGACTTGCATCGTCCTTGAAACAAATGAGTCCAAGACGGAAAAAGTTCTTCTTCTTCCCACAACTTTCAAACTTTGACCGGTCACCACGTTTCCATCCATTCCCGGCCCCGTCCCCCCCTCCCCCCTCTTATCTTAGACACGCATATAACTCATCTAACTTACATACGTTAGGTACATACCAAACTTTTACCTTAACTCTTGTTCGTTTTTCATGTTTGTCTTATTCAATTGCGATGCTACTGCATGTACGTCTCCCGCAGCCGGAATTGCATCCGGGGGTACGCAAGGGGGGTTAATTGGGTCCCTCGTTTTCGACTTCGCTGTCTCGAAACGGGAAGGCCCATAAGTTCGTGCATCGCTAATCATCGAAACATCGAAACATGGAGAATCTAGACTCTGGAAACGAGATTTGAGTTATTGACAGATATATCTTAATTACGTATCGTCCGATCTCATAGTATAATAATAAATATGCCGAACGAGTTATTATTATCTACTCCGCCCTGAAGCCGGAAAGGATCGTACGATAAAAATAAAAAAAAGATCTTGCGGGGACTTGGGGACTTTGGGACCTTGGATCTCTTAAACTCAAAACTGTTGGGGGGAGATTATACCCAGACAAAGCCTCACGTCTAATCTAAGATGTTTCCCCTGGACCACACACTGGACCATACACGAACTTACCAAGTCTCAAACTGTCAGACATATTTTCCGAGACCCTGTGACTGGTCATCATTCCGATCTGTTGCTGCCGTACAACTATTCGTCATCGCTGTCATACTCATCGCCCGAGACTCCCGTAGCCAAAAACCACGCCCGGACGTAAACCTTTCCGTATCATCATATCTTAGAAGTGTCATATTAATGGTTCGATGTCACCCGTCATCGCATCATGCTTCCGACGAGCTCCTTATGAGCTTCTCTATCCTTTGCACCCTGGCTCAAGCTTCCTACACTCCTTAAGTCGCCAACCACGTCCTTGGCCTTTCCGAAGTAGACCTCCTGCAGTAGGTTTCGCATCTTGAGTTCCATATCCTCTACGAGCTTCCCGATATTGGCAATCTGCTGCTCCTCGCTCTCGGCCGGCAGTTCGATCTCGATCTGGCGGGTCATGTTGCCTGAGAGATCCATGTCTCCGAGGCTGTTTGAGTTGGTAGATAGCGATAGAATAACGGTGGATGTTAGGTTATATTGGGTGAAACGGGCTCGATCGATCGCCTCGAAGACATGAATCGAGTCCCAAGCGCCCTCACTAGCACTGCCTGGTCTGGCCTCTGATACGGGTACAATGTATTAGCCGCGGAGATCTCATATTCGAGGTAGGTGAGGAAGTATATATATCACCGACAATTACGTCGGTTGTCTTCCTGTAGTTGGCTCGTGCTAGCTTTGAGGTCTCAGATGTAGGATGCAAGATCTGTAACCTCCGAGTCTGAGCTTGGCTATGTTACTCCTCCTTTTCGCTTATTCTTAGACTCAACGTCTTATATTTCGGGGTAATTCAAAGCACAGAGTGCTCTAAAAATCCAGGAATGACATGATGTCCTCTCTTGTTGTGACTACTTTCTAAAGCACCTCCTTCGAATATATTGACGAGTAGTAACGGAACGACAAGCACTTCTCAGACCTGTCGGATATAGAGCCAACAGTATAAGGGAACATGAACCCTAGGCACATGCTCCATTGATAGAAGAGTAATGAGAATTCATAAGCTAAACTTACCCTTTTTTAAAAGTACAACGCCTGCGAAGCCGTCATCGAGGTTCCAGAAGTAGACGCTACTAACACCGCCCTCGTAGTAGAGGTCTCGGTAGAGGTCGAAGGCTTCGTTGGCGCGGACCTCCATTTTACGGACCTTCTCGGACGGTAAGCTGGCGGCAGAAGCAGCACCGCTTTCGAGCGGCGGGTCGAACTCGTTGCTCCATGGAGAGCGGTAGCTGTCACCGTCACGGTTATAGTCGCAGAGAAGGTAGTCACGGCCGGTTTGCTTACACCGCCGAATCGAGAGGGGCTGGTCGACGGAGGAGAGTAGGTCCTCAGTTAGGTCGGGTGCCAAGTGGATCAGGGAGTTTAGGTGTGCGGTCGTGTGTTTGGGGTTGAGACGTCGGAGTAGGTCGCTGATGTAGTAAAGAACATTAGTATTAGTCATGCGTGTATGTATATATGTAGTATGGAGATATGTCTCTTGCTATATGGCTTGGGTAGAGAGAATAAGGCAATGATGGATGATGGATGATGGAGGGTGAGAGTGAGAGAAGGGGAATACGTACAGAGCCGAGTCAAACGGGTCGGCCATGGTGACTCTTAAAGGACTTGTGATATTATTTGCAGTTTCTTCGAAGGGTTGTACGACGTAATTATTCCAGAGGTAATCCAGACAACCTAATAGAGTGTTGGGAGTAATGGTTGAGATAGATATTCTTCTTAGATGTTGGAGGGGAAACATTTGAAAGTCGACCGCAGTTGGCGTTTCAATCGATGGTGGGGTTCGTTCTAAAAGTGGGTCGTTTCCTTACATGGTAAGTACCTTAAGTAGGGGGGAGGAGCTATATTGAATTGATGTTAGCTGCAAGTTGGAAAGGAATAAGCTTCAAAGAGCTTCAGCTACGTACATGTATCTTTTACAATTACCTATCTTTCACATTCAATGTTACTTTGGACATATGACTACCAAGGTAGCTTTTAAGAATAATAAGCATAATATTGTTTACGTACTAGACTCTATTAACAAGTAAATAAATGCCTAGGTAACTAACCTAGTAGCTTTGGTAATTCCCATGGCGTTCGGAGGACCTTCCAGATAAGTTCTAAGTCCATATAGGACATCTTCCTCTTGGGTCTTAGTTTTGTAGTATTTGGATCTTAATCTTAAAAAATTCCATGCTTACAGTCTTGCTTTTCGCCTTTAATCGCGAATTTCGGATGACTTCTATTAATACTATATACAAATCCGAGTCTAAAGTCAACCCGCAATAACCACCACTAAGGTTCGATCATACCGTACTGACTGACTACTATGGGCATGCCGATTACATCCTTCGAGTAGACTAATCTAATAATACCTAGTTATTTGTCTTATTTAAGTCTACCTAACTTACCCCTGAAAACTCACAGGTGTCCACGACCCTCAACTTTTCTCCTATTCTTTTCTCCTTTTCTCCTGTTCTAACTTCGCCTAGAGCTTCAATCTACTCTGGCTAGTACAACTTACAACTCAATTTTTGTTTCATACTCTGAACATATAAAAACAGCCACCCCGCAAAAAGAATGCAGGGTATAATGAATTGCTCCCTAAAACGCCGAGCAGAAAAGACAAGGCTGTCTGGCAAAGCACAAGTGACAGGAATATATACTCGTCGAACCTTACGATAACTTGCAACGTCTCGTAGAATAAATATAGCGCATCGATGTAATCACCTACTGGATCTCGTGATCGCAGATTAAGCAGTGAAGGGGTTCTGTCCATGACTTGTCTCCACCCGTGACGCTCTCTCGGAGATCCGTGATTTCGAGGACTGGTGGACTTATGTCACTTTGTATTATACCCTCGAACAATCCTTCATATGGCTTCGCTGCCGCCCGGTCGTTTAATTCCGACTTACGAGGTCGCCCTCTTTGTTTGGGCTTAGAGGTCGCGACGGAGACACTCGCATTTTCGGCCTTGATAGCCGGAAGGGCGTTTTCGACGTCGGCAAGTTTTATTGTTTGTTGCTGTTCTTCGGGCTTTACATCGATCGATTGCTCCGTCGTTTGTGCTGCACCTGTCTCGCTGGGACTTAGTGGCCGTTTAGCCGCCTCTCCAGCTTCCTCCTCCTTCACCGGTGCGGGTTTGTGGGGTTTATCGGTTCCTAGGCGATTGTACGTCTTTAGAAGTGCTTCATGGATTAGACACTCATCATGAAGCCATTTTTTGCATTCCTCGTTTGAACAGCCAAACAGCCTTTTGTCCGGATTTTCGGGACGATTGCATTTGCAGCGCAGCTCTGCAGACTATTTCTTGTTAGTTGATGAAAGTAAGAGGAAGAAATGAGCTCAACTTACAGAGAGTTCCATACTACGAACATCAAAGGCCTGGCGCCAGTAGAGCGCAGGCTGAACTTCGTCCTCATTCGTCTCGTCCCATTGATTGACGGTTGCTGCAGCAGTAACACTGACTACGTTGATCACATCCACTATGCTTTGTTAGGAGTTGACTATGATAAACTTGGAAATGTGTTAAGCCTTACTATGGTTGGACGCGACCAATTCATTTGCGCCATGATACCACTGTCGTCCCTGTATGAGTTTCTTCCCATCTTGCGTGCCTACCGGCAGCTCATCCGGCCAGTACATCCAATAAACGCGTGCATATACATGATGTTCATCAGCTGCTCGGATTTCCAAGATTCTTGCTACCCAATCGTCGTCTGACTTCTTCCTAGGCTGTATGGTTTCACCCGGATTTTTCTGGCGCTCGATCGTCGAGCTGTTGGCAACGAATATGAAACCCTCGCTCCAGTACTTAACGCCATTCACTAAATATCCTTGAGTATACTGCGCGAAATGCGAACAATTCGAGACACTTACGGACGAAACTATTATACCGCGTCATATCCATCCATTTCTGATATGGTTGAACTTGGTAATGCCGGTCCATAGTATTATTGGGATCTTTAAACTTGCCCATAGGCGAGAAGGGAGACGCCTGAAGCAATATCTTAGGTTGAGGATGGTCTTCGGATTCTTGCCGTCTACGCTTCGCCTTCTTTTCCTTCTCGTTTGGGTCGGGATGGATAACGCTAAAAGGGCATTCTGCCTGGCTCTCCTCTGGCTCCGGGCGCGGGCGTTTACGAGCGGTCGCCATTATCGCGAATCTTGAATGATAACTTGTCTATATATAAGGTAGTTGGATGCGCAAACGTAGGCTATATAGTACGAAATCGATGGCTGGTAAGGAGGTTGATTGCGCTCAGAAAAGAAAAAAGTCTTATCTTTCGCGTAACCAATATAAATATCCGGCCAAAAAAATGGCGAGAGGCTATTAAACAAGTGCAGGCGCGTATATAACAATATCGAAGCTGACCCTATGCCTATGTGTGTCGAGGACGAAGCTCGCGATGTTGGATGAGATTCGATAGCGATGCGATTGAGAAATCGTAAGCCGGAAACGGATGTGGCGGGGAAGGGGGGAAATATTTGGTAGCTTGGCGCGTCTCTCAATTAACTGTCGAGATCCTACTCTACACCGTGTTACAATGCGCCGGGGGCCGAATCATAACATAACTGTTCCAATCGAGTAATGAGAGCTCCGGGACGTGTATACTATGACAAAGGAGTACGCGGTAGAGTCTAGCTAGATACTTCCGGAACAGATGCCGGCTCGGACCTGAGATGGACAGGTAGCTGTTAGTTACCTATGAACAAGTGCAAGGGATAATAATAATAACTAATAATAATATAGGTAGTCATATAGGTGATTGTTAATAATAAGTTGGTTCCTTACGTGTACCTTAGTATCGTGATAGCGCGATTCGCGTTCCGATTAAACCACCACCGCCTAGGCAGCACTGCCAGCTCGAATTTGCGCTTCGAATTGTGTTTTGATTTTGGAGAAGACAAAGAGGAGAAATGGGAAGCAAGTGGAGGTCCAAGTTCAAAATACTAGAGCTAGGTACATCACTAGCCCACTAGCAGCCTAAGAAGCTGCAGTTAATTATCGGCATACCCTAAGCCTAGTTTGGTATAATCGGCATAATCTACCGTTATCGTACATGTACTTAACGTACCTAGTAATCGATAAGCCCAAAGCATTGGCTACAGATATTCGGTAATGTCGATCAGATTTCCATCACCCGTTTCGTGATGTGAAGTATCTCGAGTTTCCGAAATTTGTTTTGCTCTGTTTTGCTTTGCTTTGTTTTGCTTCGTATATACCGAAGTAAGGAGGTAATTATTTAGTATTTAAATTTACGTAATTATGCTGTTGGGATTTAGGAGTATGCTATTGGCGTTGGCTGTAATAGGCTATAACGCGTAACGGTATTGGTCAGTTTCTGTGTGATATCGTGATCAGTATACTAAACAAGGAAGGGCCCCCTACATAACTTGCCAGGCGTTGTTACCTGTGTTTGATTAAATTAAGTCCCCAGGTGAAAACGGAGTGAGATATCTAAGAATTAGGTATGGTTATCCAATATTTCCCCTGCGTAAATGAAGAAGAGTCAACGCCGTCGCTATGCAAGATAGACCCTCATATAAAAGTACTCTTGAATAAATCCGGGGTATTATGACCTCGCATGACCGTCAACCTCCTCATCATCCTGTCCATCGTAAGCCGAAAGAATTCCTTGGCTATCGACACCGTTACCAAATCTGCCCTCATGAATATCATCTCTACTCTTAAAGCCCTCGATTATCTCGGCCAGTTTTTCTCCTTCGAACTTGCCACGTTCGACATTGACGAAATAGATGAATGGTGCAGGAAGGCTGACCAACGCTGCCAGGAACCAAAATGCCGGTCGAATCTCACCGGATGCGTCTATAATGGCTCCTACTATAACGGGCCCAAATATGCTTGAGCCTTTGTCGGTAATGGCGTATAATGCATAAAAAGCAGCTTCAGAGCCGGGAGGTATCAATTCCCCATAAAGTGATCGACAATATGAACTAAGTCCACCAAGGACGAGACCATAAACGGCAGCTAGAGGGTACATTTCCCACGGCTGTTGAAGCCCGAAAACTCCCCATCGTTGGACAAAAGGCAAGTAGCCTAGAAGACCATAAATAGGTATGATTTCAAAAAGTGCAATACAGCTCAGCACAGTCTGATGGGGTTTCAACTTGAAATACCTAGAAACAAACGACCAACCGAAAGCACCTGCGACACCCGTGGTCGTAGATATAACATTAATCATTCCTAATGCCCACGGCTCCATATGTAGGGTTGTCTTCGCAAACAATATGGCAGTTGAAGAAGTCGTCGCGATAGCGTCGGAAATCAGAAACCAGCTAGCCAGAAACAAGACAACGTCGATCAAACGGCGTGCAAGCTTGACCGTCCGAAATAGATTCTTCCACGAGTAGACAATGTAAGATATCCAAGCACGGGTGCCTCGGTGTTGGCTCTCCGCGAGGGGAGGCCCGGGTCTGGCTCTGAGCCATATAGCTGCTGGTATCGTAAAAATGGCCCACCAAGCCCCGATACAAAATAGCACGACCCGTTGCGACCAAATAGAACTATGCATGCTCACTAATATTAATATGGAGGCGCATTGCACGAACAATGCAGCGCCGTAGCCGATCCCAATCCCCTTTGCAGATATCTCGCTGGACAGTTGAAGCTCAATAGAGGTAAGTTCCTCGTGAGTAGGTATTCGTCGCAAATCATGGATGTCAGAGCTGCCGTCGTTTCGCGAGAGCAAGGGGGTTGTCGGATCGTTTGGAGGGTGCTCGGCTAGAGTAGGGGATGTCGACCGAGAATGAGAGTCGATTATAGTATCTGATTCCAAGTCATCATCTTCAGGTACGCCGGTTACCGACTCCAATAGTCTCGGATGGTGGCGGACAAGGAGAGGAAGGAAGGAGTTTAATAGAACGAAGGACGCCCCGAAAGATGTGTTGGAGACGATAGCTAGCAGCGCGCCGAATATGTATATCTCTTTAGAGATGAATATGTAGCACATGACACAGAAGCTTCCAATCCATGCAAATGTCAATAACAAACGCTTTCGATAGTTGCCATGGTCTGCCGCGCAGCTGATGCTGACTACTAGCAATGCCTGGAGTAGTACACTTATACTGAAGGTATACATGGCGAAACTAGCCGTATTGATCTCGATACCGACAACAGTGACGATACATGGGCCGTCCGAAGTTCTTGTGCAAGGGCTTTCCCGATCCCTCAAGAGTACGCCATTTTCTCTGGCTAAGCTCTCCAACAGAATCGGAATAAACGAAGCTATTCACGTTCGGTAAGCTCATGTTTACCAGTTATATACGGGTAGTTGTGACGATGGTGTGTGAAAGTTTTCGAATACGACGGATATCGAACTAGGCATAATATTGTATATATGCTAAAGAGAAGAGGTAGCTACTTACAGATGGCTAGTGACTGTCAGCATCATTTCAAGTGCTGCTAGTAAACAGGAAAAAGAGTCTAGATTTACTAACCGCATATTACGTAGGTTTCGGCAGCGAAGGCATACATGTACCAACCAGCAAGCTCCCTGTTACTAGTTGGGCGAGTGTCTTCGCCATGATAGCGACCGAAGGGGGAACCGTTCTCGATGCTAGGCGTAGGTGTCATTCTGCCTGACTCAGTAGATGTCGATCGCTCATCGTCAGCTTCGAAGGAGGAAGAATGAGAACGAAGGGAATATTTAGAGACGATGGACTGGACTGAAAGTAAGCGCGAATTTGGAGCTGGGCGCCGAAGCTGGTCATCATTCCTAGGGACCATAATTGGATGGAAGCGGTAGATTAGGTTTTAAGGGACGTGACGAAATGGCGCCGCGTTACACTGAACTCAGTTACCAGTCAGTTACCGGGCAGTCAGCTGGAGCCTTAGGTTAGGTAGGTACCTAGCTGAAAGGCTGGAAGGGGTCCTCATTAGGGGGGCCCCCCTGACCTTAAACTTCCGACCTAAACCTTAAAAAGCTCCCGCTGTCAGCAAATGTCTGGATCCAGTTTGGGGGAACTCTGAGCCCCCAATCGGTGGAATCGGTGGACTTTTAACGTCCCATAATAATTAATCAGAAAGGCCGCACTTAACCTTAATCGCAAGAACTTGAATAAAGTTAATTCAATACCTTACCTAAGGTATCGACCGTGATATAAGAATGTTAATAGGTTGACCTATTTCGTCGTATTTTTGGTCCGCTTCTCCCCAACCTCTGACCAACCTCCAACCAAAGTTACCACCTTAGGAGGTAGTCAGGTAGTGAACCTCTAAGGTTCTCCCCGCCCGATGGCCTATTAAATGCGGAGTATCTTACCGGCGGGTTGATCTAACTACCTAAGGTATCATAGTCGATTTAGAGCTTCCGCCAAGGGTTAGGAAAACGAAAGTCTTTTGATTTTCAGCACACGATAACTCAATATTTGTGCCAGTAATCATGAGAAGAAGCAGTTCAGTCGGGACTGGATGGATGAACTATGAATGAATGAGGAGACAAGACGGCCATCTCTTCGTCACAAAGAAAGGACGGATCGTTGGTACAAACTACTCTAGGCCCATACCTTAACTACCTAGGGACCCAAAAGCTAAGCTGCTTTCTAACACGCTACCCCTCGTTCGTGGTCCGATGATGGTTCACAAGCAGCAAGGCATGACGTCGCAGGAGAAATAGAAAGCCAAACTGAAGGCAGGGATCGTCACTTGGGTAACCACTTGGGACGTTAGGGATGCTCACGGCCCGACGCTCATTACCTATCCGAAGTAGTGATGAAGATTTCCTTAGTTACTCTGAAAAGAACAAGGAGAAAGAAATTCCCATCAAACAGTATGATCTCCCCCTTTAAGACGAATCGGATTAAACACTATAGGACCATTGTATAAGCTATGCAACAGCAAACTATAGCAGCTTCGAGAATCTTATGTGTTAGGTAGTTGTAATAACTAACTGGCTGCTGTATTCCTGAACGGGGCGCTATTCTTACTAGATGGTTTCTTGATCAAGCAAACATCCGCAAAGTTAAACAACACCAACCAACCCTTTTAGCAGTTACTTATCCTGCTGATTCGATCTACACTAGGATCTAGGACGATCAAGTCTGTCCCACTTCTCCGAGTCTAGCAACTAACTACTTTACCTAGTATCTTCACCACACAGACATACCCAAGATTCTTGCTTTATGGGTTGTTGATTATCAGCATTGCGTCTAGACGTGAGCAGCATATTACCATCATATCATCGCCTCTCAACCAATTTAAATAGCCATCGTATAATGTAAGCGACAATTACATAGATTAGCGGATGCTACACTCAGCCTTTGAATTTTCCACCAATCTTCGCCTATATTTAGGATATAGGTTACCCTTTTTTAGCCTGTATCGAGCGTGGGACATTTTACCATTTCGCATAACATACTACTCTCTATACCACGTGTTGACTGACACCTATATGGGTTCCCTTGCATATCCCCGGATCCTATAGCTTTAACGACATGATCTAACTATTGTGTGCCTCGGAATGACTTACAGTATATTCATCATTTACTAGTAACATCAGAGCGTAAACCTGAGAGCAAGTAAAATCCTGTATGAATCTTGTATGGGGAAACCAGCCTTCCCTAGTGAAGGTGTTGAGGATGTCTTTCTACATTAATTCTTTATTATGCCTTCTTTGACCTCATGACCTCTTCAGGTGCATTTTCCACGTCCCTGATCTAGAGTAATTTCTTGATAGGTACGCATAAGCTCGTGACTTTGAAATGCTTTCAAGCCTTATTTCGGAGTTTTGATACCGAGCATCTTCTATAAATATGTTCATAAACCCCTTGCACTATAATGATCGCATATATACTCGATACCAGCATTAGCTTTAGGCTATTATTGCGTGACGCACCCCACGGCGCTTCTTTTCGCGGGGCCGTATGGTTCTTTCGTCGAGACAACTGCGCTTCCTTACTCCGGTTTGCCAACATTTTATGTATAGCGCTTATTATATTGGCGGGCCGTTGTCACCGATCGCCCCTCAATCTCGCCTTGCTGGCACAGGGGAAGACGTGAAGGGGGCTCCAGACAAGCAATATTTCCGTCTTGGGAATTAACCACTATGCTATTCTATTTTACCGCCGTAGAATTATTTTGATGGGGGGTGGCTATGGAGCCAGATCTAGCCTTACCTACCACGGGTGCTATCCTCCGTTGTATTTGGATTGACAACTATAAAACCTTGGGTAATGCCTCCATTACGCCATCTAAGAGTTTCACTTTAGTCCTTGCGGAATAACCCAGTACCTAGTCGTAGCGAAAAGACCGACAACATGAAGTCTACTCTCCTATACCTGCTGGCTCCTCTAGCGGCATTGGCTGCTCCTACCGAGCTCGCCGAGCGACAGGCAGCAGATAGCATCGACGCGCTGATCAAGGCAAAGGGAAAGCTATACTACGGAAGCTGCGCCGATCAGAACCGTCTGTCGACCGGCAAGTCCGCCGATGTCATCAAGGCAGACTTCGGCCAGGTGACTCCTGAGAACAGCATGAAGTGGGATGCTACCGAGTCCTCCGAGGGTCGATTCAACTTTGCCGGAGCCGACTACCTCGTCGACTGGGCCACTACCAACAACAAGACCATCCGCGGCCACACCCTCTGCTGGCACTCGCAACTGCCCGGCTGGGTCCAAAACATCAGGGACAAGACGAAGCTCACTCAGGTCCTCGAGAACCACGTTACGACTCTGGTGACGCGGTATAAGGGCAAGATCTACGCCTGGGTTCGTCTCACCGCGGCGGCGCGAAAAGATTATTGATATAAGTGAGCTAACTCGTATTTAGGACGTCGTGAACGAAATCTTCAACGAGGATGGTTCCCTGCGCCAGTCGGTCTTCTCTAATGTTCTAGGCGAGGACTTCGTTCGCATTGCTTTCGAAGCTGCTCGCAAGGCTGACCCCGACGCGAAGTTGTACATCAACGACTACAACCTTGATCAACCGAACTAGTACGTATATTCCATATATCTCATTGTTTGCACATGTGCTTTAGACAAAGGCATATAAAAGCTATACGTTGAGCTGTTCCGGAAGCGAAGACTCTCCCCTACCGAGCATCTGCTAACTTCGTACGATATAGTGCCAAGCTCACCAAGGGTATGGTCGACCACGTCAAGAAGTGGATCGCTGCCGGTGTTCCCATCGACGGTATTGGATCTCAAGCCCACTTGACTGCCGGTCTCGCCAGCCAAGCCGCCGCCTCCATCAAGGCCCTCGCCGCCACCGGTGTCAAGGAGGTCGCATTCACCGAAGTCGACATCCAGACCGCTCCCGCCAACGACTACGCTGCCGTCACCAAAGCCTGCCTAGACGAGCCCAAGTGTGTCGGTATCACCGTCTGGGGTGTCCGAGACTCGGTAAGAACAAGCCCACCTTTCCCCCCGAAATCTTGGTAGGGATATGCTGACCACAGACGGACGCGACAGGACTCCTGGAGAGCCAGCACCAACCCCCTACTCTTCGACAGCAGCTTCAACCCCAAGCCCGCGTATAACGCCGTCGTCACCGCCCTAAAATAAAGCTGATACCTGTTTTCAGACTAGCGAAGGCTTGGTATAAAAAATAGCAAAGGTTCGGGGGGGTTAGCGAAACGACCTCGTGATTTTTTTTAACTGTATATATTACCAATTCTAATATATATAAGATTGTATATCCCCAGACGCTCTGAAGATATAGGACTGCGCGTAAACCTTAGTTCCCGAGGCAACACTTACCCGGAATAGATGTGAAGTAAAGTAAATATTGTGATCGCGCGGAGTAGCCTTGTGGACAGAGAGTATGTATATAGAAAACGGGATATCATTGAAAATCAAGTCGAAATCGCGACCGGCAGCGTCGAGTCGCCAGTAGTAGTAAGAATATTAAGCAAAGAATCAGGGAGCCTTAATTTTTCCTTCTCTCTTCAGCCCACCCCCCTTCCACGTAATAAGAAGCCATCATTCATTCCTCCCTTCCGCCGGCTTACTTACTTACTTACTTACACCCCCTCTTCCTAACCCCTCAACCATAAGTCCCTAGGTACCTAACCTTGTAAAGATGGCAACCCTCTCTTTATTTCTTAAACACCCCAAAGATCTTATGCTTCAGCTTATCGGCGAGGCTCAAGTTGGGCGCGGTGCCGGGCGTCGGCGGGGTGTCGACGACTTTGCTGCTGGCGCCGTGGTGCTTCTCTTCCTTTTTCTGCTTGTCCTGCTCGGAGAGGTGCACGTTGGCGGCGCCGCCGCGACCTACGTGGAAGCTCTCGCCGTCGGTGGATGGGCGCGTCGCTTCCTCGGGGACGACCACCTGATCTGCGCGCATTGCGGAGGCTGGTTTGTCGGCGTCGGCGATGTTGGCTGCGCCTGGTGCGCGGAAGAGGTGTTAGTGGGACGTTGGGGGGGTGGTTGGCTGGTATAATAGGTAAAGTAGGTTAGGTAGATAAATAGAAAAGACTTGCCTCCTCGACCGGTGCTAAATGCGCCGTCACCGTGGCTACCTTCCTGGCCCTGGCGCACGATCTCGCCATCGACATACTTGGTGTCGTCCGGGTTGATGTTGCCGGCGCCGCCGCGGCCGTGGGATACTTCGGGTGTAGTCATTGTAGATGGATCTGCGACGGATGTCGGTCTTAGTTATGCGATTTCTAAGAGTTGGAGGGGTTTGCTATGTAAGTAGGGATTGTGAATCGGATAGATTGTCTTTGTTTATTGAAGAATAACAAAACAATCCTGACTCATTGGATCGATAGTAAATCATAGACATCTCTATTACAAGGAATATGGGTGGGGGATATATCGATTGGTATGATGACTCGCTCCTATGAATGTTCGCTGTGTTGAGAAATATTACATACCTTTATTATGTACTATTTATGTGTGAAGTTGGGGGAAATAATTGGGAAAGATGTAGGTTAGGATGTTGTACACATGTGCAAACGAGGCTCACTCATTGATAGCCGCAATTTTCCCCCCAGCAAAACCCTCTGATTCACCCTTCCTGTCTCATTCCGTCATCTGACCTTTTCATTTATATCCCTGGCCCATGCCAATGTTCCTATCAATGCCAAAACCCGTCCGAATCCTAAGTGGCCGGTAGCCGGTGGCTTTCGTGAGATATCGTATCAGCATTATCGAATCCAGCCACCATTGCGCTGGAAGCCTCTAAGCTGGGGGTGGGTAAGCCAATAACATCTCGTGGAATGCTTCTTGCGGAATTCTAGAAGGTCATTTTGCAATATAATAGGCACAACTAACTGAACCAATTGTCACCGTTTCCCCCGTCCCTGAGTAATTCAGCCGTACCTGATGGCTTCTTTACTGAGTTAGAATTCCTATCTATCAGTTACCTGACGTAATTCCAGCTTCTCATCCAACGATAAGATGGCAAGCTATCACTGGCTGGTCGTCGACCCCCGCAGGGGTAGCTAATGAGCGCCAAGATAAATAGTGGCCCTGTCCCCAGCTCTGCGAGCTTAGAGCGATATTGGCGTGTAGATGGGATGATAGCGTTGGAAGATAAGTTGAATCGTGTAGATTCCCCCTCTTTTTCTGTGTATTCAATATATTCATTGTCTTTCGCTATATCACAGGACGCTGGCCCTTAGCTATATCGTGAACGATGTATTTCCGCGAATATATATGCGAAATGCATTCTGCTCATTTTAATGTAACGTTGAACCTTTAGGAAGATGTTATAAGCCACTTCTCCTCCGACTAGTACAATGCGACCCGTTCTCAACATCCTGAGGCGAAAAATATACTCGCCCGGACATTGCTACGGGAGATTACATTGATATCGGCGAGTGAATAAAAATCTGTGTATATGGACAGTTTACTGTGATGCGGTTGCCGTGGGCCAGGCTCCCAGATTACGATAACGATGCACTGAACTGTGTTATGGGAACTATCATCGTGTAGTTTGATTCCGAGATACTTGCTAATTCCCTACTATCGCAAGCGTGACGCCGTTGCTCTTACTCTCCAATCTCCTCAGTCTCTTCTATGTGGCTGACTGGGCCCCTTCGAAAAATAGGGTTATGACAGTTTGCTGGCCCACGAGAGACGTGTAGTATTAGATACTACCTAGTTATCGAGGGTAGTTATCCGTTGGGATAGTCGTGGTGTCTAGGCCTTAAACAAGCATCTCTTCAAGATATCAGCAAAGCGAACGAGGTCATGCTACTTTTTATGATTTGAGGGTGTCTTAGTATCCTGTGCAAATTGGAACGAGCAACTGACACTTAGCTACATTCGGTTATGATATGTATGTCTGATCATTGTCACCAGATACTACTAGGGGAGTGATGATAGATTTAGATTGAGGTCTTAGATTATATTGACCTGACGTCGTATACGCTTAGTTGTGTTAAGACTGGTGAACACAGGTGGTAAAGCTACATTGGTTGGTATCAAATATACACTTAGCTCGGCGGTAAGATACGACATGGTCTTGGTTGATATTGCTCATTGACGTTGCAGTTTTCAGTTTGCAATGCAAGTTCATAATCAGCGCGACATCGCAAAGTTGAGTATCATTGGGCGATCAAGTCCTATATGCATAAGCCATCTCATGCCGTTCCACGTATAAGCTGTCGTTGATTAAAGAAAGAGTCATCTTATGCTAATTAAAAGGAGTATACCATTCGATAGGATGTGCTATTACGCTAATGTAAGTGACGCGCATCTTGATATCGTGGGTTAAACTTCGTGCCTGTGCAAAACATCCCTATTATTATCCTTGGGCATTCCGTGTTATGTGAGCCTACTGCGCCCGTCAATCTGGACAGAACAAATGCTAGCTCCGCCAATATCTCAGCTTCACCGGACTTTGGAGCAAACCGATATGATTCGTTAGTTGCACTACATAAGCCCCAATATGTTGTCTTACATGCGATATTGATGGCGCTTAGTTTGACCATGTGGCTGGTCGGGAAGCATAACGCGCATGTGGGAGGCTCAGAAAGACTTCGGTATTTAATATTACCTATAGCTAAAAATATAACTCGCCGTAGTTTTATATCGTATCGGCACGATCGTGCAGTATGCGGTGACTTAGTGCCGGGTCTCTCCTTTCCATGATATAAGGCTTAGCCTACGATAATTATAGCTGCTTCGATGCCAACTATCGCCTAACCTGTTCGACGATTCTTAGTTTATAAGAATAGGAAGATTAGCTACGGCCCGAACTGAACAGATAAGCATCTGGGGTTGAAATTGAGATTGTAATGATGTGCTGCAGCACGTGTAAGTCAAGGAATCTGACGCCAAACCCCAACGATGGGAGAGGACCAAGATAAGCGCGCATACAGCGTAGTAGCGAGCAAGGGAAGCTGTCGAACTGATTGCCTATTTAATTGCCTATTGTCGATTGGGGTTTCCCTAAGATGGAAGGTAGAATATGAGAAGTGGACATGTGATGTTTGCATATTTATCTGTCGAGTTTAGCGGTATTTTTTTGTTCATGTCGGTAGACGGGATATATCAAATGAGTCTACGTCACGGCGCTTAAGTTGTAGGCCAAGCTCGGGACTAATACGGAATAATACCACTTATATCAAGTCTAATATAGAGGCTTGTAGGTTGGTTTGGTTGGATGTCGACCTTATGAGCTCACTCTACTTAGATCTCGAGGATCTAAACATGTTTTTGTCTTTGTTGTCAGGGTCTTAGTTGGGCAGTATCGTATTGGGCATCCCGGCCAAGGTCAACAAACAATCTCCTCCAACTTTTTCCCCATTGACAATCCCCCGCGATCTTAGCCAATCCTAGTGCCGGGGCTAGATGACTTATACTTTTAGCTTATGACCGAACCCCGGACCCGCCCCCTGACCGCCTCGTGGAGTCGTGTGGGGAAGAGGATTATTTCCGTGTGTGGGGTCAGCGTTACTCTCTTTGTTGCCTTGAACAATGACCAACATTAATGATGTCCAATATATCGGATCTTGAAGGTATGTATCCAGGGAGATTGATATACGTGATTTACGGATATAGATTAGTATTTGTACGATACGTAGTACGATCACATATTGTGATATGAGTGAGTGAATATGTGATATGAGTGAGTGTAGGAATAGGAAACCAAGGTGGAAAGTATTGGGTAACTATATCAAAGAGTCGTAAAAGAAAAGTAAGCAAACTTTTCACATCATAGGAAGATGTTCAGGGGAAACTATACCAAAGTAATAATCAGGTGTCTATTAATTTCCTAAAGCGCGAGCTTAGATCCAATCAAGGGTACCAAGTGAATTTCCCCTAAAGAATTCATGTCCGCTTCGTGACTCCGTCACGGGTACGCGCCAAGGACCCGAACGGCCGCTGAGGGGAAAAGCTAACAAAGCTGCAGTAAGGAATGCAAGGAGTGCATGGAGTACAAGTTGGAATACGCTAATTTTTTTTTTTTTGGAGAAAGCACCTTATAATGCCGGTACGACCCCGTGATGCAACCAACATAGCCTTATCAACTACAAACCCTGTACGCGCCCAACCTCGAGGAAAGCGCAAGAGACATGCAGTAGACATAATACAGGTACATACATATACATATACATATACATATACATATACATATACATATACATATACATATACATATACATTATAGGTATACATATATGTAATCATGCAATGGAAGTAAGGTTCCTGCATATCATCCACTATGAGGGCAAGGGAGAATCTATACGATTTCCCTTTGTCCCCGGTGGAGTTTGTTACATGCACTGGACTGGTCAGTCCTTCTATCCGAAGCGGATCATAGAATAAGACCTACCTAACATATACCTAACATATACTTACCTCTAATAATATACCTGGGTTTCTGTGGAACTATGCGCCGCATTCTTTTCTTTTATTAGACTAACAGGTTTGCATTCCCGTTAATATCGCGTTTTACCTCCGTGGTCATTTTATTATATAGAGCTTCCTTTTTGGCTGCGTATAAATTCCTTGCTCTGTCTTGTGCCTCCTTTAGATATTCATGTTGTCTCGTGCACTTCTATACATATGGCTACCTCATTTATAGGAAAGGCGATTACCGCCTTTCTTCTAATCGCACCTGGCTTCGGGCTACCTCGTGATTCACCCATAGATAAATACTTGAAGAGCAGAGACAGGTCAAGCCGTAAGGTGGTTTCTTCTCTGTCATCAACTTGAAGCTGATATATGACTAGTTGTACAGCCGATACATCAATCTTTCCCCCTCGGTGCTATTAAGCCGCGAGGATGGTTCAAAGACCAATTACAATTAGAGGCTCACGGACTTGCTGGTAACTTGTTCGATTTCTACCGCTTCGTCCACGACTCTATGTGGATAGGTGGTTCAACAGAATATTCCGTGCTTAACGAGGCATCTCCATATTGGTTCAATGGTCTTGTACCTCTTGCCTTCGGATTGGATGATCCGAGGCTTAAGGGACAGGTTTATTCCTATATGGATTATGTTCTTAACAACCAGCAGGAGGATGGCTGGCTCGGGCCTGAGACTACTCCTGAATCCCGAGGCCTATGGGCACGTTGCTACTTTCTGTTAGGGTTGATGGTATGTCTAGGCTGGGACAGCCTACTATTCTAAGCACCTCTCGGGAGTCGCCCGGCTAATTATTGTAGCAATACGCCCAAGCAGACCCTTCTCAAGAAAATAGAATTGTGGATGCCATGCATCGATACATCCAACTTGCTCACAGTATGCTAAAAGACGGCTTCAGTGGGCTGATACAGAAGGATGGCCAAGATTTCGACGGAGATGGGTTCGGTGCCATGCGAGCTCACGAGATGCACATACCGCTGCAATGGCTTTATGAGCAGCACCCTCGAAACAACTCACAGATCATATGGGAAACCATGGAGCTGATGATCGAAGGAAGCGCCGAAGCCAGTAGTGATTGGAGAACTTTTTGGGTCAAGGGAGTATACCCAGAAGTCACATATACTCCTAGAAATGAACCTTTTAAAGATTTATTCAACCATGGTGTTAATATGGCGGAAGGTATAGCTTAAGTACAATATTAAAAATTGAATAGAGACTGACTGATATGATTAGGCCTTCGATACCCATTATCGATATACCGAATGACGCATGACGAGGCATTGAAGACGCAGACTAGAGCTGCGGTAGATTTGTTAGCACAATATCACAAGTCTTTAGCTGGAACGATTATCGGCGATGAATTCATTACAGATCTCAACCCGATAAGAGGGGCAGAACTCTGCACTGCTGCAGAGATGACATTCTCTATGGCGTATATTTACCAGTATCTTGGCGATAACGACTTGGCAGACTGGGCAGAGCAAGTTGCATTCAATGCTGTGCCCGGATCGATTTTCCCAGATTGGTGGTCACACCAGTATGTACAGCAGGAAAATCAGGTGAGTTGATAACTCCGAAGTTTTAAGATACAGACTAATTTTGTTTTTGTAGCCGTGGTCGCGTACTCTGTTGGTGAACCCCGATATGTGGGTAAATGTTGGAATTCATGGTAATGTGTTTGGCTTGGAACCTAACTACGTTAGTTTTACCTATTTCTTACTACTTAAAAAGTGATATATAGATACTAAACATTCGATAGCCCTGCTGTACGGTTAATCACCCTCAGGCGTATCCTAAGTTCCTTGCCAATTCCTTTACGCTTACCGATGGAGGAATTGCTCATGTTCTACTTATCCCTGGAAGCATCAGTACCTCGTTAGGTCATAATCGAGTAACTATCCAGGCCGACACTAATTATCCCTTCGGCATGGGTATCAAATACTCGATCACGGCAGCATCCGATTTTACGTTCTACGTTCGAATCCCAGGCTGGGCAGACAAATCGAGTACCATCGTAGGACCTTCCGGCAAGTCGAGTCAGATTTCCCCATCGGATAAGGGGCTACAGAAGATTGAAGTTAGCAAAGGTTTCAGCTTTATCAATGTTAATCTCGAGACGGAGCCCCGTGTAGTCACGAGGCCCAACAATACCGCAGCAATATACTACGGATCGCTGCTCTATAGTCTCCATATCGATGCCAACGTATCGGATGTACCAGTAGTCGCGTTCAGCGGTGACGCGATACCAAGTACGAGCACTACGTCCCATACACACGATCATGTTATAGAGCCTGCGAGCATATGGAATATTGCTATCGATCCGTCACAGATAAAGGTGGTGCAAGCGGATGTGTCGACCTTGGCGGATCCGATCTGGGATCTTGGTGCTCCCCCGGTTGAACTTCGCGTGGCCGCTGTTGAGATAGACTGGCCTCTCGAATTCGACACTGCGGCAGATCCTCCTCTCGAGCCGAAGATTACTGGGAAACCTTTCAGCGCACGCTTCGTGCCTTTCGGAAGCGCCAAGATACATATGGCGCATCTCCCCGTTGTCGAACTGGCCAAGGTAGACTTATCAAGTTGATAGAGAAATTTTAGATGGATAGATGTAGTTTGGGTGATAGGGGTAGAACATAAGAGATTAGACTAGTAATAGTTTTGTATACGATGGTATAAACCCAGACGGAAGATTTAATTGTGCAACCGCTTTCCTTATATTGTACGGCACCTTGTTAACTTGATTACTCTGTCACAATGGAGAGATTAAAGAGTATGGGATATAACGATAAAACATGTATTGGATTAATCCCTAAGGCAAAGAAGCAAATGCGACGAACTATCCTTTTTTTTTTTTTTGGTCTTTGGTGTTCCCAATAGGGGTAAAGGGGCAAGGGGTCAGGGGTAAGTGATTAGGGCTTGGCAACTTATTATGCGAATCCCCAATACATAGCGGATTAAGAAAGCAAATATTATTACTAACATAGATTAGGTACTTCCATATAACTCTTGAACCTTTGAGAATCCAAAAGTTCTAAACTCTCCCAAAATCAATACTCTCACCCGTACCTAATCTCTCTCCATAATATTTATTATCAGTATTCATAGGTTCGAGCCACCACCCCAGCCATGCGATAGATCAGCTTAGGGGATCTTGAATTAGCAGCGGGCTCGTATCCCATGTTACTGGCGACGCGCAACATTTAGGCGTCGTCATCGTTCTTTGGCGGCTTGCCGGTAGGAAGCTTGTACTTGCCTCCGTCGAGGTCGTCGCCGTCGCGGATGTTGTGGCGGCCGTAGCTCTTGGCCCAATGGTGGATGACGATGTCGCCACCCTGGTTCTCGGCGCAGAAGGCGTCGAGCTCGCGCATGGCCTCCATCAGCTCCTCGCGGCAGGTAGGGTTGATGCCGCCGGACGAGCAGGCGCTGACGACTACGTTGCCCCACAGAAGAGACTTGCAGCTCTCCTTGGGAATCCAGCCCTCGTCGGGTCCTGACTCGATCCAGTCGAGGAACTTGGCGTACGCACGTAGGTACTCGGAGCGTCGGATCACGCGCGAGCGGCAGAGCGTCTTGCGCGTGGGGAACTGCGGCACGCATTCTCCCGGTGGGCGGCGCTCGGAGAGAGCGCGGGCTACGATCTCGGTGTTGTTGTTGCTGGTGTTGGTGTTGTTGAAGGCGGTGACGCCGTCCCAGTCGCGAACGGCTTTGCCGAAGTCGAGGCCACCATCGACCATGGGGATGGTGTACACTGTTAGGAGAGGGGGTCAGCGTCGAGATTATCCTTCGTTACGAATGGGAGTCGATCAAGAGGTATTTGGGATTGACTTACTTCCGTTGGTAAGGTCCATGTACGAGTTGACTGGGTATGCGGCAGCGTTGGTGGCGCCGATGAAACCGGCGGCACTAAAAAGGATCTGAGTGAACTTCATTGTCGATGATGTTGTCGACGAAGAGTTTGATTTGAAGATTGAGACTAACTATGAGAAGGAAAGAAATGTTTGATAGAAGAAAAAGATCTACGATGAGAGCGAGGGAAGGGCGACATATATACTCACGATCCAGACACTCATCGCCTGTGGTATTATCCAGATCGCCCAACAGGATCAAACATCGCAACAGCTCAACCATACCAACATGTGATATTGTTTCATGGGCTTGGACGAGTCCTACTACAAAATCTCTCGGCATTAGAAGGGCCGGTATCACTATAAAGCCAATTTGAATCAGCTTCCTATTACTATTCAAGTATGTTAGGACTATGGACGTATCATGATATCTATGCTTAGTCTCGACGGCCGTCACATCTTACAAAGTGAGTCATCCAATGAGTGCTTTGACCTCATGAATAAATCATTTGATAGACTAGGGATTCAACTAAACTTTAGATATTACCATCGGGAGGAGTATCGGCCCTTAACCGGTTACCTCTTCATTGTTCTCTTCCTCTCCGCTGCCCTCGTTCTCCTCCTCCTCTTCCTCTTCATCCTCGTACGCCTGCCAGTGATCTAGCAGGTCGACTCTAAACTCATCCGCTCGGATGCGCTTATCCTTGAGTAGGTTCTCAAGTTGGATTTGTCTGTGCTTAATACTCGGTTGGACGGCGACGGCACCAGTGTGCGTGATGCGTACGAGATGCCTGGCGCTGGAATCGTACGTACGGACTCTGTTATATTGCCTTCTATCCTGCCGCGTAAGTCCATTAATAGCCATCCTAGCTCTCCAGTTACCGTCCAAGCTAATACACAACTCCGGACACTCCTCCGAGAGCAACTCAGCCAAGTCGTTACCACCGGCGTTACCCCATCGCCTAATCTCACTCAAGATGAGACGATGGAGCATCAGAAAGACAGGCCCGTGACCATCCCTTGGGAGACCGGTGGTGTTCAAGAGAGCCCTTTCGCACTTCATACAGTCGCACGAGAAGACTAAGAAATAGGCGTGCACCATCTCGTGCATGAGCTGGCCTATAATATCATTAAGATCGTAGATGGTGTCACCATAACCAGTATTAAGCACGATACGCACGTAACTAAAGCCCTCTTCATTCGCGACCATGGTAGTTTCTCCATAGATCTCGTCATCGATATGCAACGGGTCCTCACCGACGACGTCAAAGCCAGTCTCGAGCAAGACATAGCGTCCAAGCAGCCCGAAGAAAAAAAAGTCGTCAAGCTGTTGCGCCCAGAACTTGACGTCGCTGTCTACGTACTCGTACGACTCACCGGGCTTGAGCTGCTTCCCATACAACGGACTCTGCACCACGTACTTGGCGCAGAAATTCTCCCGCGCTTCCGTCTGCCGCGGGTTTAATTCTGCATCCTGTCGGTTATAGAAGACCTTGATGGTAGAGTTTAGAATTTCGCGAGGTTTGTATGCCCGTCTGTGGAGCGCGATGCGGTAGTAAGGGTCGAAAGGGGCATATTTAGGATAATAAAAATGATACACATTCTTACCATCTTCGCCCCTGAAGGGCTCGATGGGGATTCCACCTCGGGTAATAGTAGCCATGGTGTGTGTGTGTGTGTGTGTGTGTGTGTGTGTGCTATTGAAGGGAAATCGAATTAAATCACTTGATATATCTAAATATAGATAGATTACTGATGAATTACGAGTAATTATGGTTAGTTATCCGCAACTTGGAAGCTGGAGTCTATAGCTACTGATCGGGGGCATACCTAACATAAATAGCTTGTTGATCTGCACTGAACAGTTCTTCTGTCATACAACAATCGCGATACTATATTGTAATCGTCGGTTTATTGTGTAAATTTGCCTTTGTACAGTTACTTTGAGTAAGTACCTAAGCTAGTAAGTCCCTACACAGCTTAGCTGTTACGCATCATGGCTACTAATACACATCGGGCTTAAAGAGATTGTTTCTGGTGGTGAGGCCAACACTACTTGATTACCCCTTAAAGACGAACAAACCACCTAATGCGAAGATATACGTATGGTGGCTGAAGCCTTGACAACCCCTTCGGTTGGGTGGGGGAAGGGATAATAAATTCACTGTATTATGAATAACGGCGCTTGGAATGGGTGACTTGGCACCCAGCGATAAAACTCAATAACATATATTAGTGGAAGTCAAAACGATTTTAACCATCATTCTGGCCTCTCAACATTCTGCCGCCATGGCCGCTATGATAAGGCAAAATCCTCATCATTAGTAACTAACTTCTACTTTTGATTATGAAAACTCCGCTGGTGGGATCATCCCTTAACCAATTCCCACGATATACCCATAGCTTCCTGAACGCCTAACTACCGAGCACATGTTTTGTGATTAGATAGGAGGCCCCTCGCGGCTTTTTGGTCTAGCCTCTTTCTTACTCAAGAAACTCCTTCGCAGACCACCATTCCCGCTTCTCGAATTTGGACTCGGGCTATTGTTTTCTATACTTGACTCTGCAAATGCGCTCTTCAAGACCACTGTTCCGGTACCGACCTTGATCTCCTTTTCGCCGCTGCCACTTTCGTCCACGAAATACAACGTTTCGCCTAAGTCGTCATCACTCCCGAAGGTGTGGTGGTTTTTGACCTCGATACGGAACTGGGAATCCGGGGTACACGTGTGCTTGAACGTCTCGTCGAACCGTACTGTCCCGGGAGCTTCGTGATGCTTTGTTTTGCCGATAGTCCTCTCCTTGGGGGTGAGCTGTTTAATCAGGACGTAAATGTCTGCCGACTCAGGGAACCCTGATGCAGAGACCACAGTGAAAGTAGCAGTACCAGCGCCGGCGGTACCCGGGGCCAGACTGTAAATAGAGACGCCGCCCATGCTGGAATTGCGCCCGTGTGTCTTCGAGTTGCCGTTAGGCGTCACAGGGCGGGCGGCGTCGCCATCAACACTTAAGCCTGTGGCCCGCCTGAGACCAGATCCAGCTGCGGGAGCATCTGGTCCATTCGTTACGATCGTGGGGATCTCAGAGTTGCTTGGTGTCAAGACCAAGCCGTTACCATCCTCATCCTTCTTGCCTCGAAAGCCGCGCTTGATGAAACTCGCACCCTTACCAACGCCGTGGCCCACTGCGCCGGCTACTGCGACGCCACCTTTAACCGGAGCACCAACAACACCGGTCACGATCCTGCCAGGACCACCAAACGTACCCGCAAATGTGCTAGTGCCCAATCGAGTACGTGTGACGTAGTCAGGCTTGAAGAGCAGTCGCAGTCTAATCGAACCGGACTTTCCATCGAGTAGCAGCTTGAGCTCCTGCGCCCTAAATGGATCGAGCTGCTCAAGATTGATATCAGCCCCTCCTAAGAAATCGGGCTTGTCTGCGAAGTCGTAGTCATAGACTTTACAAGTAAACTTAGCGGCAGTCCGCGATGGTATGGCAACCTCGAAGAATTCATTCCACACGGGGTTAAGAGTCTTCTTCTGCGTCTTGGTCTTGAACACATCCTGTCCGTTCAGCTCAAATTTGCAGTAAGGATCACTCTTGCCGTTCGAGTCGGCGGCAGGTAGCTCTGCCGCATCTAATACGTCGACACGGAGACTACCCATGTTGTTGATGCTCTCGCTGGGGTCTAGGTGCATCTTAACGGGGATGTATTTCAAGCTGACCTTGATCGTGGCCGCTCTATTCTCTTCATCCTTGAGCCTTAAAACCGTTGGGTTATTCTGGAACTGTTAGCAACACACTGCAACTTTTGCGGATAGTAGCAACTTACTAGGCATTGTTTGAGGGTATCTAGAGTATTGCCTGTTAGGCGAGCTACTGTGTGATCCTCATCACGTTCTTCGCCTGGCTTCTCGCGTTTTTCTCTCACCTTGAGAGTTAGCCGCGAGAAGTCTAGTTCACGGATGAAGCAGTCGCCAATCTCATCGAATTTGAAGACCTTGCTTTTGGCCGTGCCCGAGATATAGCTAGGATATAGCATGTCGTCGACATATATTTCAAGATGCGTTCCGCTCTTTGGCATTTCTCCTTCAATCAGTTTGAAGATAAGGAACCCAGATTCGTATTTGAGTAGCTCTTCCGGAGTAAGGTGAACCTTGGGACGCTCCCGTGGCGCTTCGCGAGACTTTCGTTCCGACGTAGTTGATTTGGGAGAGGCCGGGGATTTGGGAACGGTTGGAGTAGTTGGTGTAGTCGGGACACTTTCTTTCCTCTCAAGGGCGGAAATTTTTCCGGCATCTAAGGATCGGGGGACGTCGAGAGATGGCTTTGGAACTTCGGAGTTTGCTTCCTTTTCGCTTTCCTTCTCCTTCTCTTTCTCCTCTTCTTCCTCGGGGTCTGCAACATTTATGCACGGATAAAACGAGACGGTATAGGTAAGTGTTCCCTTTGCGATGCCCTTTCCATGTAGTCGGAGTCCGGTCTCCTGTACCTTTTTCGCATCGTGGACGAGATACTCGCCATTATCATCCTCCGAAATGTAGTCACCTGCAAAGACCTCAACCAAACCCAAGCTACGGTCCTTGCCCATCTTCTCAGCATCCATGACTTCGAGCGTTAGACGATCCCTCGATGAATGCATTGGCACATAAATGACTTCATCCCATTCGGGCTTCAGGGTGTTACGGTGGGTTACTGTTCGACCTTTCTCGATACCGGAGAGGAGCACGCGGACGTAAGGATCCGATTTACCCATAGTCTCGAAATTCCGTAGGTCGCGGGCACTCTTGAAATGGAGACGCATCACGCCGATGGGGGTTTGGTAGCCTCCAGTACCTGCTAGCACGCCGGATAGGGCAACAGGTTTCCATTGCGCAGTCAGCTTCGCTCGTCCGCTCTTGACTCCTGATAAATTGTACCAGTCGTGTCCTTTTTCCATCATCTCCAACATATCGTCAAGCTTGATTTGGTACGTGCCAATCAACTGGTCGCCAGCAATATCGCGGTCGTCCTTGAGAGCAAGACCCAATTTGGCATTCTTTCGGTCTGTGATAAGAATCTCTTTGGAACCGTTATCCCAGATAGGATTGTTGGTGCGCTTAAGTGTTTTGGTGTGGTGAACTTCTTTACCGTTGAGTAATAGAACAGCATACGGATTTAGTAAGCCAACTAAGCTCTTAGTGCCATCAAGATCCTTCGCTTGCTCGACAGTGTATCGTAGAATACCCGTGTTAGATTCCGGTGGCGGTTCTTCTACGCCGTCATGCTCCATAGCCTCCAGGACAGGGAAGAAACGGAAATCGGCGCTGACCACACCCCGGGCCTTGCCATGAGCGACGACTTCCAGGCGTTCGTTTTCGTACACGCCAATCTCCTCCATTCGTTCGAGCGGGAAAGAGGCAACACCGAGTTCCTTATCCTTGCGGAAATCATTATAGTCGTAAATGATGAGATCGAGGGAATCGTTAAAGGACGTAACGATGACATAGTGCGTTTCGTTCCACCTGGGGTTCGGAGTGTCCTTGACAACCTTGGTCTGGGCTAAGGGTGCCCTCTTGTTCAAGGTAAACACAGCATACGGGTCGGGGTTGCCAGCAAAATTATCAGGGTTCTTGAGACCTTGGGCTCCGTGAAGCGTTACCGCGATCACGCCGATAGCTTGGTCGACGGGAGAACCTGCAAGCAATTTGGCTACCTCAATTGGGAAGACGTTCGGAGCATACATCATCGGGGCTAGGTTTCCGTGAATCTGCTCTTGGATAAAGCTTTCTAGACCCGGAATGAAGTTGATATCGAAACCGAAGGTTTCGCCACCAAGGGGCTTGCAGGCATAACCGAGCTCTGGGCGCTCGAGGAAGCACATCTCAATTTTCTCGATGTGAGGGAAAGGAAACTGGAGCTTAATCTTCAGGCGCATGATACCAGAGAAAGACATGTTTTCTACGATGACATCGAGACCTTTGCTAATCATAGCCTTACCGATCCGGATTTCGAGGACTACCTTGGGGTTAATCTTGTTGCGGACCTGCCGAGCCGTCATATCCTCGTCGTCGTTTGGTGTGAAGCTAAACTTCCAGTCCATGAGAATAATGTCATCTTCTGCCTTGGGGTAAGTCTTCACGTGCTCCATTCTGGGGGGTTTAGACCCAAGAGTAAAGGTTTTCAGGCGGAGACTATCGAGAAAGGAAGGAGTCGCAGAGCTTAGCACTTGGTCGACGGAATTGATAACGGTCTGAGCGAGAACAGGTTGATAGATGGGCCAGAATTTGACCAGAAACGAGTTTATCCACTCGAGAGACTCGTGGTCTGTTTCCAATCTCTTCAGCGCCATCTCTCTGGTAATGTCGTCGCGGAAATTTCTCCGCACTCGTCTAATTGATGTTCGGTAATACGTCGAGCAACAGGCCATGACGATGATGACCCAGGCCAGCCCACCACCAAGCAGGGCAACCAGCCACGAGGCAAGACAGGCGAAGATAATTACTCCGGCATTATGGTACCATTCTATAGAGCCAGCCAACGTTAACAACTTGTATCCAGAGGATATCGAAATTGGGTAAACTAACCTCCAAAATACTGATCGGGAAGCCTCTCTTCTAGCCAAGTAGAGTGATCCAATAGACTTTCGCCTTCCGCAACACTATCGACAGGCCAACCGAACCGTTGAGTCCAACCAACTTTGGCAGCCAGGTCTTCCTCTTCTTCAGGGGTATTTCCATCCACGATCGGCCTGCCGTCCTTGTCTTTGGGAATTTCAATGGCCCCAGCCTTTGAGGGAGTTGGGAGATCGTAATTGGCCTTCGTGCCGTCGTCGACGTCGGTAGCAATAGCCACACCCTTCGGCCTTCGTGGACGGCGGGGGTCGTTGGGAATAGCCTAAGTTAGCTCAATTAGCTGGCGTCTTCGACGTAAAGAAATTTAGAGAACATACAGCCCTAGCCTGAGCACTCTTCTCTTCCGGACTCGCATCTGGATCGAACGTGAAAGCAGCTACGCCCGCATTTTTGCTCTCTTCCACTAGTTTCCTCTGGGCGGCATCCGCAGTAACATTAGATTCGGGATCACGAGAAGCCTCAAGAGCCCCTTGCTGCTTGAGCTCGCTGGCTTCCCGTTCGGTAGCCATATTGACGGTGGAATGCTCCTATGGCAGCTGTTGAGGCGGCTCAAACGCGGGGGAAGAATAAGTAGCCGACCGGTGTGTAACAGATCATAGGGAGTCGTAGAGTGCAGTTGTGGAGGGGCGGCAGGTTCTGACAAGGAAATCGGGGCTGAGCTAAATGAACGTAGAGCTGGTAACACAAAGGTACGTAGATTTGGTATTAAGTCGTCTACCTAACAGGAGGTGGGTAACGATGATGTAGCGCTAAAGGATAACTAGTGATTCTAAGCAGCTATTAGTGATGCATGTAAGTAAGGAGATGCAAGGGCAGCGGGTAAGCTAGTAATTAGGTAGTTCAAGAGTATGTTACTTCCAATTGCGGGCTGCCGTACCTTAAGAGTTGAGGAAAAGGGGGAGAAGAAATGACAAGTAAGAAGAGAAGAGGAAAAAAGTAAAGGGTAATCGGGTCAAGAAGTAGTCGAAGTTGGCGATAGTCACGAAAATAAGCTTAGCAATTAAAGAAAAGCCACGCAGCGCCTCGTTTTCTCAAAGTTTAAATGGGTACCAGAATTGGAAGTGATTGGAAGTTACGGGCTTGGCTAACTTCACAGCTGTTTTCCCAGATGTTCCCAGATTCGTGGCCCCATGTGGCTCCAAACGACGTAATTTCGTCAGGGATCTTATCGCCTAGTGTGTCGCTAGCTCGTCGAACCAAGCCAATGGGATTTGGCAATTTCAAGCAGCGCAACACAAATGTAGAATAGCTTTCCTCCTTACAACACCTGAAATACAGGGTTGACTATTTTACATATTTACATATATTTAATACATATGTAAAATGCAGCTTTCCCAATATTAGGTTGACTGACAGACAGACAGTCAAACCTTGATTTGTGAATCGTTCAATTCAATGTTGTCTAACGATACTCGACCATGCTCAAGAATTACCAACATCATATATCGACTTCGTATCTAGACCGAAGCAGAATATGCTAGCTACTTGATTCAATTGTTAATTGTTAGCTACGTAGTCTGTACCGTACCATCCTGCCATTTTATCGCCCCGAGTTGAATGATCGTCGCATCGATCTGTCCCGGAGACTTAAAAATTCCAGCTGATCCCTTCCAGTTTGACTATCCCGCATATAAACACGACGCTACAGCTACGGATAGCAACAATAATAGCATCGCTGTTCCCGAAGTTTTCTAATCCTTGGAATGGCTAGTAGATCAGGAATAAGCAGCACCGCCACCACCGGCCAACGCCAACCTACATCGATAGCTGCAGCCATAGATGCAGAAAACTCTTCTCTTACTATAGACGTGTCGGTATCCGCGCCACGGGCCGCTCAAACAGTGTTTCAGCTTGCAAAAACTATATAGTCACCGCTCGAATTTTCTATAGCAGCTCTAAAGTTTGTTTTCGGTACCAAAGAATCGTTTCTACGTTTCTACGTTTCTATATGCACTTTGCATAGTTCCTTGTTCGTCAATTCATTTTACTACAGAATCGTCATACAAACGAGATGGCGTAGTAGTACCTAGGTCCTACACATGCACGCGACGTTCTGGAGTAGTATTACACGCCGGATGATCTGTATGCGACGCTCCCACGGCAAACCCCTGCCGGTTCATTGTTTCTTAAGGCGCCGAATAACCGGCCGTTCTTTCGTAGCTAAGTGTTACACGTGGAACATATGTGTATTTGAAGAATATAAGATGGCAATGCTACCCGAATGAGAGTGGGGTATAGTCATAACATCATCTAATCATCACAAGGTAATCCCGCTAAGCTTGAGTGAATCAGCTTCAGCGTCTGTTTTGAGTCGACGAAATAGTTGACTGAATCAAGTTTTACCGAGTTGTTCTTAATACGAAGCGGGCCGCTGCACTAAAATAAGCACGATGCCGAAAACCTGTCAGGATTCTAAAGTCAATCAAGGCCAAGGTCACATCAAATTGATATTTCTAGTTTTATTAATATGCCGACCTATATTGCATCTAAGTTAATAATTCACAACAAATTGGCGGGGCAGCTCACGGACTGTCTTCTTATCAGTGTCCTACACGCCTTGGTTCAATTAGTACATCGTAATATCAAGGAATGACGATCTCATTGGTGTCAATGTCGCTTGGCCAAGCAGCCAAGGAACCCAATTATAGAATTAGTATCTACATAGTTACAGCGTCGCCGTACAAGCAAGTTACTAGCTTATAACCTCGGTCCAATGACACCATTCGAATGCGAATTTTACTACGCACGTATTCATTCCAGCTACAGTATAACTTGAGTTCACCCAATCCAAAGAGCCAATTCGGGGTGGAACCAACGTCAAGTAAATATTATAGACAAAAGAGGGAATATTATAAACCGACAACTTTACAAGTAACAAAGAGGATACGTATCCCCCCCGGCGAAATAGCTAACCAACCATCAAAGCCTTTTTCATGCTCAAGCCAATAGAGATAGCAATGGCATCAAGATTATTATACTTGATTTCAGCTAAAAGGGGTGTGCTCAATAGAAAGTACCTAACTATCACTGTATATCATGTAAGGCGCAACGGCCAAAGTATGCGATGAAGTGTATTAAGAAAGTGCTACTATATCATTACCCACGAGTGTTAACGAGGAGAGTTACAAAAGCTTTGACGAAGGCAGGTACGAATAATAATACGAGGAGTCTCTTAAACCACAACAGGATCTTCAACTTAGACTCTTATAACAATATAGCTAAAACTCGGCTCTCCGTATATTCAGCTATTTCACTCATTTATATGCATTTCATCATCTTAACTTTCCTTAAATTCGTGTACAACGCTTAGGCGATATTGTCAAGGCGATTAGCGAAGTAAAGGAAGATGGAGGACCCGAATACCAATAGCCTCCTCCTTAACTCATTACCACCCGAATTAATCAAGGAAATATCGGGATTCCTGCCGCCGATAGACCGAGCTATATTTTCTTTGACATGTCGCTCGGCACGTCGTATCTTAGGCAATTCAGATGTACACAGGCTTTCTGTCGCGAGGTACCTTAGATATCTCGTAAGAGTCGCTCGCGATCTTCCAGACCAGTGGGTATGCGAAGCTTGTTTTACGCTACACCCTATCTCTCAAGACGATACACCTCTATCATCGTGGAAAATGACGTGTCCCTTGCGTTGGGATCGGTGGTGTCATGAGGTGTACGGTCAGCCATTCCGGCTTGATAGCCGCTACGTCTCTGTCGACCATCGTCACGTCCAGCTCGCGCTCAAGTACACACGTCTGCAAGATCCTAGGTACCAACTTTACCTTAACAAGTTGTTAGCGGAGCATCATGACACCAAATTCCCTACCCATCCATATCCGTACAACCGACAGAACGTACTCAAAGTTAAGTATGTCGCTACTCCTAGGGTCGTATGGGATCCTCACGGAAATATGAGATATATGCTGCGGTCTTTTTGGGATTTCCGAAAAGATTCCATGGAGGTATCGTTGGTAACAGTGGGAGACATCAAGATATGTCCACATCTAGCTCTACTAGGCGATATGAGACATATGACAGTTCACGAAGTAGGCACCTTGCAACTGATTAAACAAGATATCATACTCAATGGGAGAGACGCATATCCAGCTTCCTGTCAACTCTGCGCTACCGACTTGCACGTTCGCATACACGAAGAGGGCACCATAGTGCATGCATGGCAGGATATGGGGACTAAGGGTTCTCCGGGTACGTAGAATCGAGCAACTCTCTTCCCAAAATCCCGATCTATCCGAGAGAGGAGTTATTACTAACGTGTTACCAAAGGAGATAAAGCTTGGAGATTACACGTCTCGGACCCTCGTTTTGGTATGGTACCCCCAGGTGGCCGTAATCCCATATTCAAACATCCCGGAAGCATCAAAGAACTATATAATCGAGCGTATCGCCCTCCAAAACACAAAACATCCCTACATAAAAGTCGAAGATGATTTTCATCCAACTAGACGGTCGAGGAATCGGTAGCGATTGATGTTTTTACCTCCTTAGTTTTTCTGCTCCATTATTCAGGAGAAAATATGTTAATCTAGCGCCCGCGGAGGAAACCCAGGCTTTCCCCAAGTATTGATAGGGTAGACTAAATGGAAGATGGCAAAATTATAATAAATGATTCAATAGACAATGAAAAAAGGGGGTGAAGAAAGGTAACTGATAATAGGAGTGATATTCATGAAATAATCTAAGTAAAGTTAACGCCATTTAGAAGCGTTTATCCCCGGCCGTTGAGCTATAAATACTCTTGGAAGATTGAACTTAACTTGGATTTCTAGCGCCGAACCCCTATATTAAAGTGTATTTAGATTGTTCTAAATAGACGATAGCTACGACCCGGCCTATAAAAGCTGTTGATACCTATCGCTACCTTCTACCCTTCGTGTCTTGAAAGACTATAAATGACGATAGGACACGGACCAACTTCAGGGGGATGGAAGAAAGAGTACCAATTCTAGCGTATCTATAAGGTAATATTTCCCGTTACGAACCACTTTAGCACTCAAGTCTTCCGCTCCGTCAACTCTTGGATCCCCGTCTTCGTCTCAGTATGCTCCGTTCTCAGTTGTCGATGTTTAATAAAAACGCTCGCTACCACCGTAAGGGCAGACACACTCGTGTATAGTATGAACATATTCCTTATACTCCACGAAAAGGCATCCAGCACCACTTGGCGCTGAGCTGCATCTTGGATGGACTGAACGATCTCAACATTTGCTGCTGCTTGATCGCCGGATAGAGCCTCGAGAATAGACCCGCTGAGACCAGCCGCTGCAAGGGACGATTGGCGATTAGTCATACTATTCTGGAACACTACGCCGCCGACAACGATGGATAAGGATGTCGCTAAATTGCGGATGAAGCCTAAGGCCGATGTAGCTGACGCAGTATCGGCTTGGCTCACAGTGTTTTGAATGGCGATCATGGGTGCTTGGAATAGAAGTGCGGTGCCGATGCCATTGATGATTTGGTATCCGATAATCTCCCCGAGAGACGTATCCGGCCGGAAATTAATATACAGCCCTGTGCCTAACGTCATGAACGTTGCCCCGACCCATATGATTTCCCTGTAGCGGCCTGTGCGATGGATCAAGACACCGACCAATACGTCCACAGCTGATTCCGTTATCATCATCGGCAGTATTAGAAGACCGCTATGAACAGGTGATGCTTGCTTCGCACTTTGGAAATATAACGGTAGATAATACTCCGCGCCGATAGCGACCATGCTATGTGCAAAAGCAAGAAGGAAGGTCGCGATGTTAGACCAATCCTTGAATATTCCAAGCGGAATTAGGGGATACTTGGCTAAGCGCTGCTCGCTCAGGATGAAGAAGCCGATCATCACAATTCCGAATACAATCAAGCAGATGACCTTCGGACTATCCCACGGAAAGATCGCGCCACCGAAGTCCAACCCGAGAAGAAGTAGGAGAGTAACTCCCAAAATGGAGAAGGTGCCGAACCAATCAATGGCCACCAAGCCGTCGCGCAGCTTAGTATGAGGATCGTAGACATCCAAGAAAAGGAGCAAGAGCAAGAACGAAGCACCACAGACCGGCAGATTAATCCAGAAGCACCACCGCCAACTTACAAGCTGGGTAAACGCTCCTCCAATCAGAGGCCCGGCACATCCGGCGAGCGCCCACATCACACCGAGGAAGCCCAGATACAAGGCTCGGCTCCGCATATCGAAGAGGTCCGAGATGGTAATAGTCACCAATTGGAGCAGCCCCCCACCAGCAGCGCCTTGAAGCGCTCGAGCCGCAATTAGCATCTGCATGTTCGTGCTTAACGCCGCAATGATGCTAGCGACGGCGAAGACGCCGACGGCTGCTAAGAGAGCAGGTTTGCGGCCCCAGATGTCGCTACATTTCGCCCAGATCGGGCCCGCGGCCACGTTGGCTAGCACATACGCGCCGCCGATCCAGACGTAGCCGGAAGCGGAGTGCAGGGCGGCAGAGATCGAGGGGATGGATGTTGCTACGATGGTCTGGTCTAATGCCGCAACAAAGAGGGTGAGCTAGTGATATCGTTAGCTAACAACTACGCGCTCGTTCTTTGAAATAAGGGGCGCTATACATAGAGAGCGACTAAGAGGGTGTAGGTACGCAGCTTTGTGCGAACTTTCGGAGGTTCGAGTATGTTGAGCGATTCTATGTTCTGTTTATTTATAAGAGCCGGCTCTGATGGACCGTCAGTATTTATACTAGCAGGTTTAACATGCGTGATATCGTCCATTGTAGATCCAATCTACCCAAGTATGCTTGGTAGAAGTTGATATTGCACGTGTAGAAAAAAAAAAAAAAGAAAAAAAAGAGGCACACCTTATAAGCAAATGCCTTTCCATTGACCAATCACCGCTCAATGGAAACGTCCTGTGCCGCTCAAAAGCCACGGCACCCATGCCCTTTCAAAACTCGTCATTACGCCTTTTGAGATATCAACATTGATGTTGTCTTAACCACCATACTAAAATGATCGACACTTATTAACTAAGGTTAAAGCGTACGAGTTGTAAGTTTTCTATACAAAGAATAAGATAGAAATTGAAAAATAATCTAGGGGATTAAAAAAGAAAAATAGAAAAAAATATTGCCCTGAGTGAGATTTGAACTCACGACCTTTAGATATCCCATATATGGCATGAGACTAACGTTCTAACCAGCTAAACTATCAAGGCCCTTGTCTCGGTCTTCAGAACTGGAAGCTCCGAACCTGAGACGATGGAAACATTGCTCGAAAAATATGCTTATGATGTAGAAGGAGATAGCGCCAGGTTTTACCGATAACAACAAGAGTATTTTACAAAGTTGGGGGTCACGATTGAAGTTTGTTAGCCTCACCAAGTACCTAACCTATTGGGATTATTGCTCAGATTCGTTCTATCACGAGGAATGAAGGTATCGTGTGCAGTCTCACAATGGACGCGATATTCTCCCTGGGAGATTTCATGGAGGATTAGAATATTTATATATTATGCAAGAGGCCCGAGCCCCGAAAGCAAATGTTCTCTATATGCAAATCGTAAGGAGTGTGCTTCGCCAAATCCAAATGCAATAATAACCCATTAACATTATGCCCTTCCGTTTACTCCAAGACCACCTAGAGTTGGACTCATGTCTGCACGTCTTCCTCCGATCGATTAACCCCTGAATTAAGAGGTGGGGTTGGCGTAGCAAAGAACATAGCCGAAGTCGACAGAGTTGGTGCTGATGGATGCGTTCACCGAGCTGGTGAAGGCGGCGCTGCCTCTCTGGACTCCGAACTGGTCGTTGTAGCGCTGGCAAGTGATGTCAGCTACACCAATGGCGGGCCGACCGGGGGCCGGAGGCGCGGTGATGTAGACGCTCTCGATTGATAGACCGGTGATCGGTAGGTTCTCCTGGTGGCTGAGAGTCGCGAGGTCGACAGTGACTCGCTTCTCGGACCACGCACCGCTGATGGGGCGGTTAATCGCAATTAGGTTGACCTTGGCGAAAGGGGGTTCCTTGGGGAGAGCCGCGGCGGAGGAGACGAGGGCGGTGGCAATGGTAGCAATGGTGAAGGACTTCATTTTGATAGATGTAATATGGTAAAGTTGACAAAGTTGACAAAGTTAAAGATATTAACGAAGTTGAGGAAGTGGACGAAGTTATAGGTGTCGATGAAATTAAGGAAGTTGGTAAAGTTGATGATTATAAAATTTAAACGGTAAAAGGAGCTTCTATTTATCTTTATTGAATTCTATAATTCCGCGATTCTTCGGCCGGAAACATCATTTAGGGCTCTATAATAAACATGCTCGACAAGAGATCTTGTTGAGGCGCAGTTGGAATCGCCGCCGCCAAGTTACCCTTTAGAGACTCCCGTCGCAATCTTATTGGCCGAATATACGTCGCTAGGGTAATACGATGAGGCGTCGAGTCACTTCAGCCGCAGATCAGCAGCCATCAGCAGCCGCCTCGGACTAGTCGTATAACCTGTCATATTTTTAGTCCTAGATCCCCATCTATATTCGCAGAAGGATTATTATACGTCAACGCTGGCACGTTACATCTGTTGACATGATTCGAGCGTCTTCAGATCTATGGCTTGGCTTTACGTACTAACCGTGGAAATGGTCAATTCATGAGAGCCTAGAGGTTACTCTACAGCGAATACCACGTAGCTAGGGGGATTAGCGGCTGGAGTGTATAAGCTATTGTCGAATAAAAAACGAAAATGCATCAACTCGTATAATATGGCCTGTACCATTGTGTAACAACTACAAGCGTATATCTCATTTCATCTTAACAGGGTGGGCCAACTGCACCGTGACCAACTCGCCAACCTGTAATATAATAGCATGACCGAGAAGTGGCACTAGTTCACCACGTGGCTGGAAACCCGTGGTGTTGCTCGACTCATGGAAAGGCTATTCAATCTAGGCATTATATCTCGAGGGGGATTATATTTAGATACTCAGAAACCATTGGTCTATCTAAGGGAGGATCGAAGATGAAGTCCGAGGTTTTGAGAATGCTTATTTGAAGCTCGCGCGTGCGAAGCGGAAGAGGCCAAGTATAGTTAAGGGCTAGCAGCTCGAGTTAGATTCGGTTATAGTGCTACTATCTCCTAAGAAGTTGAGGATACGGGCTTAGATTTTCATCAACCTGACATCAAAATGCCATTTAGAATACTGGATGTGCTACATTTTAATCGGGACGAAATATTGATGAAAGGGTTGACGTGAAGAGAACAGTATGATTACTGAGATACCTGTTATAAGGGTTGCCAGCTTCGTTCTCTAAAGAGAACTTGAATCATCCTCTTGTAACCTTTGTATGACGCAGTTTAGGGAGTGGTATCTCAATAGTACCCATGATGTGATTACCTTTTATGGTAGGTGGCCATTGTTGTTAGCTATCTGCCTTCCGTAGCAGCCTTCTGTGACTGATTGAAACCTGGAGTAGACTCTATATTGGATTTAGTGCAACTAGAAATGGTAGGCGCGATAGAATCAGTGAGAATAGAGATGTCTGGCGTAGTAGAACTGGTAGAAGTGGAAGAGTTAACCTTAGGATTCCGCAAAGATGCCAGATAGACTCTTTTACTCATGAGAAAAAAGAAGGAAAGAGATTTATTATTCGAGATCGAAAGGGTTGCGTTGAAATAGCCTTTATTAATAGCTATTAGGACTTGAACCTGAAAGAAACTCGTTCTCCTCGTTTTTTTAATTATATATTAATTACTTTATAATTATTTTAACTATTTCATTATTTTTGATTATATTTATATTCTAAACAATAGATTTGAGCTATATTATCCGTATAACAAAAAGGTAATAATGTTACGGCCGCCGGGATTTTTAACCGCGTAGATCGACTACAAGGACGCGGTGCGTTCATAATGTTTGTTTATTTAATACCACATCTGTTCTATAAAGGAATACAATAGACTAAGTTATTATAGACAAAGCTATAGTTCAGGTAAATAAAGGATTATTTGCGTTCAAGAGTATAACGTGCGAGTGACAATAGACGACTCTTAAAGATATTATTATCTATATATACCTACATCTCTTCGACACCACACAGAGAGACAACAGTTTAACAATAGTTATCTGACATCTACTGTCTCCATTCTATATTATATCATTCAGAATGTCGGCACCGGGTACTCTGAAATTCCATCACCCTGGGGCAATCATCCCAACCCCAGAAGTTGACGAACAGGACCAATGGACTAGGGACCCTAATATATTTAGGGACGGTATGGTATTCGTTCGTTCTATCAAGAATGACAAAGTAGCATGTGTTCAATCTAGAGGCACAGGACAAGTTCTTATCAACAAGATTTACATGGCTGGTCCATGGCCTGGGCGGACGCCTTTAGAGATTCGGATTTCAACTGCGCCAGGTATATCATATTGCCGCCTACCGACACCTACGACGGTTAATGGAGTTGAGAGAATAAATTTCATCGAACTGGTCGCTTGGCAGCGGATACGAGACGGTAGCAACGCAGTTTTTTCTCTGTATTTTCCGTAAGTTCATTACCTAACATCTCCAAGACCTAATATCTAACCAGTCACTACAGATACTACAATGGCGGAAATATACAACAATTGATAGACAGGCATTTTGAACGGGCTATACCAGTACCAGAGCATTTCGTTTGGGTAAGTAGGCACCTACTCATCTTATAAAGAATATTAAAAAGGCTAACTTCTAGTGCTGTAGCTCGTAGCCGAGAGGCTCGCCAAAGCCGTCCGTTTCTTCCAGTTCGGTACGCCGCCAGGTGGTCATCGCGCACGAGAGGATTGGGAATGTAAGTATCCGGTTTATACGCCTTAAGTTTCTATTAACTAATTCATCAATGTGTAGTTATTTCTCACCGCGACTTGTACCCTACGAACGTTTTTATTCACTATCATCCACGTCGTCCAGGCCGACAACCAGTTGCCGGTCAAGAAACTAACGCCTTCCCCCAGAGTAAGTACCCATTTTTAGCATAGGAACCCAAAATCTTAGCCATTCGGAAGAGATAAAGGTGCTAACTCTCAAATTTATAGTTGTTGTAGGCGATTTTGGCGAGGCCAATATGGAAAATGATGACGACGAGATAATATCGAATGGCGTCTTTAATGACGGAATAGTTCACCGATGGGAAGACATGGTATGTACCTTATGAACCCTCTGCTTTCTTTAAACCCCTGAACCCCTTCTGCTAAAGTTACTAACTTGTACCTGATAGTAAGTCATATTATTCTATGGATTTATTTAAGCAAATCTCAACACCCCCAAACTATAGCCTCGGGTTGTTAAACCAAAATTAACTAACATATTAGATACGCTATGGGAGAGGTCCTTCGAGAAATGGTTCAAACACATATACCTTATGGCTATATGGAGGATGAGCTTGACAGGCCGAACGGGCGCCTAATGAATACGGTAAATGATCACATCGTTGCTCCCTACGAGCGTTACTCAGACGAACTTATCGAAATGCTTTCATGTTTTGAGTACCCTGGTTCCCAATACGCCGCTTCGATAATTGATAATACGCAAGACGAGGACGGCAATGATGTGCCTCTTTCAAGCTTCCTCCCTTCTGCTGATTGGATTGTGAACACGCTGTTGCCACTCGCCCGGAGAAAGGTCAGGCGATATCGAGGTGTCGTCAACCCGCCTAGAGGATATTTCGACGCCCTGGACGTATCGTGGACTAGACCCAAGAAATTAATGCCTTATGAGTAAGTTAACCTCGATTCATTTATTGCTCAACATGTACATAAAATATATCACTAACGCTAACTTGCTTTGAATAGGCATGTCATTCCGCCGTTGTAAGTAAACCCTAAGAATTGTTTGCCCGAATTATCGAAACTTGAAATCACTAACTACTAAATGCCTTAACAGTGTACAGATCAATCCTAATGCAAACGATGCATCTAACGACGAGGTCGACAACAATGCACAGAATGAAGGGGACTCAGACGATACCCCTACGCCTGTTGCCAAGTTTAGGAAAATGATGGACGCAGGCGGTTTAGGCGCCTACGAGCGATGGAACCATGTAAATCCCAGTGTTACAACATTGTGGTATAGAGATCCGGCTATTTACGATCTTGCGTACGAACCACCGCCCGCTCCGCTCCCACCTCCGCCGGCCGGCGGCGACTCAGACGTAGATTCAACTCCGGATCCTGATGAAGATAGCGACGGTAACGACGAGGATGGTGGTTCTGATGACGATTCCGGCGACAATTCTGACAGTGACAGCCCGGACCCTGACCAAGATGGGACTGGCAATTACGTACCTGGTGGTGGAAGCTGGAACCCATGATAAAATTGTCGATAAGTGTAAGTACCTTACATGGTTCGTATTTAAAAGCTTTTATAAGTTTTTCGTTAAGCATATTTGCTTAACTAGCTGTTTTATTTTTTTAGTATAAGCCGTTTTAGGCTTAGAAACTGGCGATTGTTTATGTGGTGTTTGAAAAAGTTTTCAATATCTGGGAAAATATAGTAATAATAGATTTTATTTTTTTCGTTTTGGGTAAACAAAACTTCTACATTTAAACGTCTTCTTTCATTTAATCTAGACTATAAGTTAAATGGTACGTACCGAACTTACTCTCCATACTTGGTTGTCTAGGATAATCTCGTTGCAATAATCATACCTTATAGTAACCCCCCTCCCCCCCAGACCAAACTAAATTATGTGAAGCTCTTGTTTCGAAGACCGATATTACCTAAAAGGCTATATATACCAATATCGGCTTAATTACGGCTGGTAATGGAGAAAAACTGCGTTTGAACAAGTCGGTAAAGATAGTCCTTCGAACCAGTGTCGAAGCTCCGCCACTTCATAGTAGTACTCCGTCCAAGGAGCCAATAGGCTAATAAATACAAGGTATATACATATACTCTTGATAATTATATCGTATAAGTACCTAACTGATAGTCTACATCCGTTTAGACGGGGTGGGTTCTTGGGTAGTCAAACGTGGTATATTATACGGATAGTTACGGCGTTATTCTAAGTCTAACTTATCAAGGGCCTTCATCGTACATTTTCTATTACCACTCCCTCAATTCATTCCCTGGGCCAGAGAATACCGGGCTCACCCACGCTTTTGAGTCCTTTGATAAGGCCCGTACCTGTACCTCATCGATGTCAATGCCAAGACCCGGCCCGCTCATCAAGTCAATATACCCATCTGTGACCTTCCAAACTTCGGGATTCAGTGTGTAGCTTGTCAGATCCTGCCCACCAACGTTATAGTGAATACCGAGACTCATCTCTTGTATCACGAAGTTCGAGGTTGCAGCGTTAACCTGAACGTTTGCCGCTAACGCGATTGGCCCTAATGGGCAGTGCGGCGCCAGCGCAACGTCGTATGTCTCGCAAGCAGAAGCGATTCTGCGCATCTCAGATATCCCACCAACATGGCAAATATCTGGTTGCAATATATCAACACATCCTGATTCCAAGAACGGTCTCACATCCCATCTGTTGTGAAGACGTTCGCCAAGCGCGATTGGGCAATGCGTACGAGCAGCAATATCCTTGATGCCGCCAATATTTTCGCTTAGCAAGGGCTCCTCGACAAAGAGAAGGTCATAAGGCTCTAGTTTAGCAACTAGCTGCTTTGCCATCGGCTTATGCACCCGCCCATGAAAATCTACCCCGACATCGAGACCTAAAGCCTTCACTACTTTAACACGTTCAACACATTCCTCGAGTTTACGAGGAGAGTCTAGCCATCCGAGATCTTCGGTACCATTCATCTTGACCGCATTAAATCCTTGGGCTTTACGAACATTCCTGATTGAGTTTAGAATTGATGTATAATTCGAGTGGGATGATACTTACGCTTGTGTCTCCACATCACTTGGGCGGTCACCCCCTATCCACGCGTATACGCGCAGTTTATCTCGGACTTTTCCACCCAGCAGCTGATAGATTGGAACGTTCAGTTTCCTAGCTAGAGATAATTTAGCGCTCTGGACCTTAAACGTATTCTTTGAGCATTTTGTACCTTTCATGTCCCATAGCGCGATATCTATTCCGCTTAAGGCACTCATGAGAACGGGCCCCCCTCGGTAAAAGCCCCCACGATATGACAACTGCCATATGTGCTCGATGTCACTTAGTGTCTGGTCAGCGATTGCGACAAGATGAAATTTTCAAGGGATAGTTTTAACGACTCACTCGGCTTCGTATCCTATATACTTTTCCGCCCAGGCATCAAGACAACCTTCCACGGCCTGCGTATGTCCTTCTAAGGAAGCTTCACCCCATCCATAACAACCTGTGTCATCCACGATTTTGACGAATAACCAACGCGGTGGCAGCCGAAAATATTCGATTTTGTTTATCTTTCCCATTATACCTTCGAGAGATCCCACGTCTATAAGTTTCCAAGCTCTAACTATAAAAATAGTGTTAAGACATTCTAGCCGCCTTTACTAGTATAGCGGGTGAGGGGTATAAAGAACATTCTCCTCAGAGGGGCAATCTGGGGTACCTGTGGGGTTGCTGCCCAATAATGTACTCGCCCACATAAGAATCGTCCCCTAATTTGTCATAATATGGTCTGATTGATGATCGTAGCTCCAGTTACGAAGAATCCACTTGGGTAGGTCACTAATCGAGCCTAAAGAGGTACTAAACAAATTTTCTGAAACGGTTAAAGAGGCATTTATGTGGTAAGGGATAGACTGAGGGATAATGTTAATATGATTATTGGTTACCTCAATTATGAATGCCCTAATGGTATTATTAAATCTTAGGTAAAAAGAAATAGAGCTGGTGTCCTTGGCCTACAGTTGGATAAATAGGGGGTGAACAACTTTAGAAAATAGGTATGAAGGATCCAGAAAAGTAAGAGCCAACTAAATAGCAAAGAAACGGCGATGACAAGCTTGGCTACACAAAGAAACTACGAAGGTTTAAATAAATCCTTTCTTCTTATTGCTGACTTTTGGTTAGTAGTTGTTAAGGTTCAGGTTATGTCAACTTCGTTTAACGGTAGAGATTGAATGTAATTTGAAATTATCCAGGCCAGTGGTAGTAGCGGAACAATACTGAAAAGGACTATAAATCATAGAACGAATAACCAGCTCCCCCGGGAAATATCCAAAGAAAATACTTTACTCAATATACATAAACGTGTGAAATAGATGGGCCATCCTGTAGTATCCTCTTATTCGTCCTCACGAGCAGGGCTCGCAATAACCAAGCACAGATAATAACTCCTGCTGAGAAACCAATAGATGCTGACATAGCCTTGATAAATTGCGGCGCATCTGAATCCGGCCACAGGTACTATGAAAATGGTCAGGATTGCAATTGTAGATACAGCGTTCATTAAAGCGAGCCGCATGAGCATCAGGTATGCCTTTCTCGATGAGCTGAAAAGGGAGTGAGGGTATAGTACTAACAGGACTGTAAACCGAGGCAATATTACCAAACATATTGCACATAGCAATCGCAACAGCCTTTTTCTCGTCTGACTGGCCTAAGACTGAGCTTGTCCACCCTAAGATGATATTATTTACACCGTAGGCAGCTCCCACAAAGATCACTTTAAGCGAATAAATTAGCCATAACCTGTCTTTGGACTTTCTACAGGATTGGTAAAAGGGGTGCTCTTAATATTACGTACTGATTCCCACATAGCGAGCCGCAGTATTAAGCGTCGCCATGCTGATGATGTATCCGATGATACCGACTGCTTTTGAGAGTGTGATGTGCCATGTTCGCTCATCGAAGTGACCACTGGACCAGCAAACGGCGATCGAGACCAGAGCACCGAGAATATACGGAGGGCAGGTAAGAACTAGGGCCATCGTGGTATCCAAGCCGAGGTTTTTGACGACAGTTGGTAGAAAGTTCCGAAAACCATGACTAGCCATATGAAGGTTTGACGCCAGACAGAACAACCAGGTTCTATAATCAAGCACAGCTTCTTTGAAACCCCTCATGACGCTCATAGTACCTTCACGCTTCTCTGTGGTGTCGTTAATAATACGGTCATGGGCTAATTGTCGCTCTTCTGGAGTTAGCCACCGATGCTCAAGTGGGCTGTCTGGCAAGAAAAAGAACCCGATTATAGCAACTACCGTCGAGAGCGACCCCTGAATGATGTATAGCCTATAAAAATTAGTCCATATGCAGTTTTTTAGTTAGACTATCACTCTTCACCATTGCCATCCAGCAAGGCCATAGACGCCCCCTAATTTCGTAAAAATAGGGGCAGCAATCAGCCCGGAAAAAGCACTTGCCGCCATGTTTCCTGTGTGAAATATCGATATCCGTATGGCAATCTCTCTCCTCGTGTAAAACATGCTTAGCATATATATCATCCCGGGATAGAACTTTACATCTAATAAGTCATCAAGGACTCAACAATATCAGGAGTTCTTACCGGCGATTCTGCGAAGCCAAGTACCAGCCGTGCGATCAACATGGTCGTATAGTTGTGTACTAAGAACGTACATAGAGTCGTAATGGACCATGCTGTCATAAACCCTACACAAGCCACATTAGTGCGTGCCATATACATGTTTTATTGTATGACATACCGGCCATGAAATATGACGGACGAACCCGGTTTAAAATCATATTAGAGGGAATCTGTCCCGCTATATGACCCACGGAAAATATCGCTACACAGGTGTTATACTGATATCCTTTCATATGTAACTGCTCGCTCAGCCCGTCGAGCTTGCCGTTAACTATCACATTTCGATCTAGGAAGTTAAAGAAGAGCATGAACCACGAAATAGGCTATCGCAAGAATAACAATTAGTAACGTGACTGAGGAGACTGTACAAACACCATCTTACAAGAATATATAGATCTAACTTCCTGACGAGCCTCTTTTCCGCTGCAGCACTATCGATATTTTGGCTAAAGTCGTCTGTCTTCGCATCGGATCTTTCCAACGAAATTTCATCTGTAACTTGTTTGATATACTCTAGTCCATCGTTCTTCTGGCTGTTCGCACTTGCAGAGTGCTCCATATTGCTAATAACACACTTGGAAACGATGAATTTGATAAAGTTAAATATATTAGAACAGTGATGAAGTTGATAGATTCGGTTTGAATCACTGAAGGCTGATATTAGCTTTATAATGCGTGCCTCTATGATACACTGGATCAAGCGCTCAGGCACAAATATATAAGTCCATATACCGAAGCTTAGAAACCCAAAACGTCTAAGGGCAGCAAGCCAACATATTCTCCTTGATCCCTACCCGGGGGTATCACTACAGTGCCTTGGTCTGAACAAACTTCGTTAATTCATATCTAATATTAAATGGGCTTTAAACAG